CCGAACAGTTGAACGGCTCGATTTCATCAAAGTCTAAGTCTAACGACTTCATTGGAACAAGATTGTTCATGCATGTCAGTATTTGCAAAAAGATGGAAAAAGTCCTCAAACGACACGATATGATCCGAGTCAGCCTGTTTCGCACCTCCCCTGGCACGAATTTCTACCTATGTATCTAGGTACCTAGTATCTAGCTTGTGAAAATGCATATGAGTTCAGCTCGCTCGCATATGCTTTAGATATGTAAGTCATGATCTCACCTTGATGATCCCGCATGCCGCATCTCCTTCTAGATTACTTCCATCACTCGATCCCACTTTCGGGCACCTCGGCTGTCTCCACATACCACGAGAGATCGCTACTCTCATCCATCTCAAACGCTGTGAACCCATTGCCCATGAATCTGAAGGGGTTTGCGGTGTTGTAGGTGATTTCGAAATCCTCGGCGCGAATTTCGCTGAGCATCCGGTGGAAGAGGTGCGCACTGCCACCAAACAACGCCGTCACCCTGCCGTTGACCTTGCCTCGCTTGTACCAGCTGCTGCAGTTGCCCGTCCAGACCAACGTCTTGTGGACTTCATCACCGTACCTTATGAAAGCCTTGGTCACCGATTTCTTTGGATGAATGTACTTGATGTCCTCGGTCGCCATCTTCTTTATCCACTTGACGAAATAGTCTCCGGTCCAGTTCAAGGATTCAACCAGTGAGCCGTGACCACCAAGGCAATTGGGCCCCATCATCATGAAGTAGTTGGGATACTCGGGAATGGCCACGGAAATGTACGACTCTGGATCGTCAGCCCATTGCGTTCGCAAATCCGTCTCCTTGTTCAAGCCAACAAGGGGATATCGTGGACGGTGCGACACGTCAAATCCCGTTGCGCAAATGACTAGTCATAGTCAGCATTATGCACATCGATACTCGGTGATGTCACATATACTTACGAACGTCGCACTCAAACGCCTCGCCATCGGCTGTATGAATGGCATTTTCGGTCACCTTGGTAATCGGACTGTTGGTCAAGTGGCAGTTTGGCTGGAGGAATGATTCTAGGTATCCAGGTCCTGGTGTGATACGCCGGCAGCCAAGCTCCCACGTGGGTATCAGCTTTTGGCACAGATCCAGGTCGTGATTCAACTTCTCGGCCATCTGCGCCGCAGCTAGTTTCATGCCTTCCTTATTATTTTCTCCCTTCATGAAGATGTAGAATGACTTGTTGGTTCTTGAGATGATGCCTTTGCGATGCAAGAGATGTTGTTCCGGGTCCTGGAACTTTTTCTTCTCTTCCTCTGTGTACTCGGGGTTGGGATCATCAAAGTCCCTTCCAAGATGCTTGGATGGGGGAGCACGATAGTACACCCAAGCTGGGCCCCTGATGAAGTTCTTGACCGTGGTGCCTGGGAGCTTGGTCATTTGGGGTACGATCTGGATTCCAGACGAACCATTTCCAATGACTGCGATCCGCTTGTTCGAGTAGTCGTAACTGTGGTCCCATCGCGCCGAGTGTGTGATTTGTCCCTTGAAATCTCGGAGGCCAGGGACACTGGGCCAGTTTTCATGAACAAGCACCCCTTGGCTGGAAATCAGGACATGACAGTACTCTTCTCTTTGCGTGCCCTCGTGTTCCACGGTGACTTTCCATTGTCCAAGGGCTTCCTGCCATTGCGCGCCGACAACTCTCGTGTTCAGTTTAAGATCACGATCCAGATTCCATTTCCTGACAGTTCTCTTAATGTAGTCAAGAATGTCGGCACCGCTGGCATAGAAGCGACGCCAATCAGGGTTTGGGTCGAACGGAAATGCCTAATTCCGTCAGTACCTAGCTCTTCTTATGCGGCCAAGGAAGCTTTTATTGTGAGAATATTATCTCAGTCGACGTACATATATATGCGCTGGAACGTCACATTGGACGCCCGGATAATTGTTGACGAGCCAAGTCCCACCAACATCGTGCAAAGCTTCGAATATTGTATGGTCGACAATGTCCCGCATTTCTGGAAAGCGGTGCTGGAATTTATGCGCCATGAGTAAGCCAGAGAACCCGGCACCAATGGTGAATACTTTCAGTTTCCGTGGCGTATACGCATAATCCGAGGAGAGTTTGAATGGATCATCTGCTATTGGTTCACCCGTGCGGACTTCTGGCGGCATAGCATGCACTGCCCGAGAACTTCGAAAGACGTCTGCAAAATCCGTCACTTCGAGACGTGGGATTTCCCCATCAGATGCGGGAGCATGTCGCATTGTAGACATCACGTCTTCGGCTGACAATGGAGTCTCTACTAATGCCGTCATGCTTGATGTTCGTACTGCCCCACTGATATCGCCTTGATCAGACGAGAACAATGCTTATGATAAGGCACAACAAGGGGTATCAACTTGACTAGATGATTGATATTTAGACTGGCTCCTGAAACTAGTCTTGTTGATATAACACCATCCTGCACAACAACTCGGCGACTGGAACGACAATCTTGCGAGCTATGATTTCAGTGCGGGTAAACATTTGTGTGATGGGCCGAGGATCTCCGTCATCTCACAATGCTGCATCCATGATGAATCGATTTGCAAGGGAACATCAATCCCGTTGTACAAATCTGGTTTCCTGATTGAGCGCTGGCGATTGCCAGAAATCGTTTACCGAAGGCATAGTCGTTTCGGTATATGCCAACCAACGTATTCGGCATGCCAAGTATGGTTAGCCAGCAGATCTCAATGCTCGGCAGTGGGGAAGCCGAGATCTTGTGGGGTATCAGTCTTGGATTCTGGGGCATCGAGATGGGAATAATGACCCGGAGCTGGGCGGCGGCTAGCTTCTATTGCCACGAAGCCATGCGCCACCAGATGTGTACTCGCAGTCACGCATAGCCTGAGCTTGGTTCCAGTGCTCACCAGCCGCCAAAGTATATCACCAAGGCCTTGAAGCAGATGTAGGTGTCTGAATGCCTTCGTTTTCAACAATCCCACATCCTGACTAGGTACAGAGAAATGATATCCAGTAAATTCAACAATGTCTGCATTTCAAAAAGCTAATGAAAGCTTGGACTACGATGTCCTCATCATTGGCGGTGGGTTGAGTGGCATCTACTCACTCTTGCGCATTCGAGCGCTGGGACTCAGAGTCAAGCTGCTGGAAGCAGGAGAAGCTGAAGGTGGGACTTGGTATTGGTGAGCATTTCCGTCCGTCTCTCGATGCGTGGCTGATATGTGTGGAAAGGAATCATTACCCAGGTGCACGATTCGATTCGGAAAGCTACTCGTATATTTTTTCTTTCTCGCAAGAGGTTTTGGACGAGTGGGATTGGACCGAGCATTTTGCACCCCAAGCCGAAACTCTGAGCTATATCCACTTTCTCACCAAAAAGTTTGACTTGAAAAAGGACATGCAGTTTAGCACCAGGATCAAGTCTGGCTACTTCCAAAGTCCTGGAAATCACTGGCTACTGACGGATGAGAATGGCAACACATACAAGAGCCGATACCTAGTAACAGCAATGGGCATTCTCAACCAGGCAACCCTGCCCGCTATACCCGGCGTCAACGACTACAAGGGTCAATCTTGGCACACGTCTAGATGGCCAGATAACCACTCCAGTCTGGAGGGGAAACGCGTTGGCATCATTGGCACCGGTGCTACAGCTATCCAGACTATTCAAGAGATTTATAGGACGGTGGGAAGCTTGACCGTCTTCCAGCGAACGCCCAATTGGACGGCACCATTGCGCAACACCAAGATCAGCCCCGCTGAGATGGTGGAGATCAGGGCACGCTATCCTGAAATCTTTCGACAATGTCTACAGTCATACTCTTGCTTCATCCACGTTGGCGACTCACGAAAGACCACAGATATCTCAAAAGAGGAGCTCTTTGCGCATTGGGAAAAGCTGTACCAATTGCCAGGCTTTGCCAAAGTCTTGGGTGTGTCAAAGGACATTGCCACAGATCGCGAGGCCAATCGCCTATATAGCGAATTTCATGCCAACAAAATCCGCCAACGCATCAAGGATCCTGCCACGGCGGAGAAGTTGATCCCCAAAAATCATGGATTTGGTACCCGACGAGTCCCCTTGGAAAGTGGATATTATGAGGCATTCAACGAGCCTCATGTCCGCCTTGTGGACGTCAATGAAAACCCCATAGAACGGATCACAGAAACCGGCATCAAGACGAAGGATGAAGACATTGAATTTGACGTCATTATCTATGCAACAGGATTTGATGCAGTGACTGGATCTTTCAACGCCGTCGATTTCGAGGGGCTTCATGGGACAAAGCTCAGGGAAACATGGAGTCACGGCATACAGACCTTTCTCGGACTGACAGTCAAGGATTTCCCCAACATGTTTATGATCATGGGACCTCACCAAATGTTCGGCAATATTCCGCGAAGCATCGAGTATGCTGTCAATTGGACAGCCGACTTTATCCAATATGCTATGAATAATAATATCCAGTTCGTGGAGGCCACGCAAGAGAACATGAACAAGTGGTATCAACACGTCGAAGATTGTGGCAAAGGATTGTTGGCCAATGAGGTTGATTCATGGATGACGGGTGTAAACAAGAATTTGTCGCACAAGCAGAAGCGGTCGCTGACTAGGTACAACGGCCCGGCTCCTGGATATAGACAACGCTGCGACGAGGTCAAGTCGAGACACTACTCTGATTTTGTACTTGCTTGAAGCCTTAAGATATTTCGATAGACAATTTAGCGCCAAGTCTCTACACCAACTGAAGTCTGATGTGCTCAATCGTGAATAAGAGCAACACGAGCTGCGACTTTGCCCTCCTCCAGCTTTTGTAGTATATCAGGAAAGTCTTTCAACTTCGCAGGCTGGACCTGAGGGCGGATGGTTCCATTCGCAATCAGTTGGAGCACCTCTCTAAGATCTCGGACTTGACCGCCGTAGGAGAAGATATAGCTCAGTCTCTTCCTCGTTCCAATTTTCATGTGGATTGTGTTTTCAGTATCAAGACTTCCAACGCACAAGAGCTTTCCTCCACGACGAACTGTTTTGTCAATTATCATTAGCGATGGACTCTTCGTAAGCTCAAGTGGAAGAAGGGGGAACAAAGTCAATCACCCACCAATTTGTTGTGCATCTTCGAATGTTTGATGCGTTCCAACAAAATCTAGCACAGTGTCAATCTTCAAGTCATTTTCGAGTACGAATTCTTGAGGGGATTTTCCAAGCGGCACTATATCAGACGTTGGAATCCCGAGCTTTGCAGCTGCGTCAAGACAATCCTGTTTGATGTCGGACACGATAACTCTTGCACCAATGTTGTGGACAATCTGCAGGGCATTAAATCCCAAGCCCCCAAGTCCAAACAAGAAACATGTTTCTGTGGCTTTGACTTCAGCCCGACGGTGGATAGCATGATATGCTGTTGTGACTGCATCTGTGGCTACTGCCGCCTCTGCTGGAGTAATACCTGATTCATGTCAGTGCTCTGCCTCGCTAGTCTCCCCAGTCACAATTGCGGAACGCTAGAAAATCCTAGACAGAGGGTAGACTTGGCGTGCACCATACCTTGCGGTGGCACAAGGACGGCACTACGGATGTCAATGGCTGCATATGGAGCATAGAATCCGTCCTGTCCTATACCAGAGTGGTGTCCCCTTTCACATATTTGACTTAGATCTCGGGAGCACTCTGGACAGTCTGGCATAGCACATCCTGGGACCGCGTGCAAGGCGACGACATCGCCCTTGGAGAATGGTCAGCCCGATTTCTTGACTAATACACAAATTCAATATATGATGCTTTGGCTCACCACTTGAAGTGTTGTGTCCTTGACCCCGTCTCCAATTTGGACGATTCGTCCACAGCCTTCATGTCCCTGACCAGATTATTAGCCTTGGAAAGCATGGTATAGCTTGACATAGGCCCAATATTACCATTATCCATTTTTCTTGAAACCACGAGGCTTGCTTCTCCAGAGTAAGCAAAGAATGATCGGATCGGCAGACTTTAATCATCAGCGTGTTATTTTTCCCTCACTGATTATTGGTCTTGCTCACCTCCAGAGGCAAGCATCTTGCACAAGATGCCAGTCGGAGGCGTGGTTGGAACAGGCACTTCTTCCCAGACCCATTCACTCTATTAGACCAATCATTGCACCTTTTGGTAATCCAACTTACAGGTTGTGGATTTCCTCTGTGCTTTCTCCATGCAAACATGGTCTGTGGAATTTTCGACTCCATGATGACTAGTGAGAGCTTCCCCGGGCACTGGTGAATTAGGTATGCTGGGGATCCGGAATGATTCCGTTCTTGAATGGAAATAGTGCGACGAGATTGGCATCAACTGGCAATTTATTGGGCGTCACAATGCAAAGATTCCACTTCTTTTATTGCTGGGGAATGGCCCCGGCCCCCGCGTCGTGCTAGCATCGATGGTGGTGGACATGCCAGAGACTGAGGACGGAACTGGGCAGGAAAAGCATGATGTCGGTAAGTCCGCCCTACTCCTCGGTAGTCCCGTGCAGGCTTAGTGTGTGGAGTGGACGGACAAATGTTGAAGCTCTGACGATTCTCTCGGTAGGGGCATTTGGGGGCATTCTGGGGTAACGGATCATGGGGAACATTCACCCGCGGGTGACGAGTCATGAAGTGCGGAATCTGAAAGTACCCACAGAAAACAGGCACCGCCCTGGGCGTTCTAGGTCACGATCGTGTGCGGAATTGCGAGCATCAGATCCATGACTGATAAGCCGACAACCGCCCACGCCCGCGGTAAGTCATCCTGATTGAATAATAGATATCTCAACATATCTGTGCTCCATTTCTGTCATCAATTCAAAAGCTGCAAATCTACAATTCATCCCACGATCCGTTCTCTGTCTCAACTTTTGCACTTGTAGTACAAATTTTAGGTCGACAGATTTCTTTGCAAGATGGTGTTTTATCCTCCAAGTTGGGTGCCACAGCTCCCCATTGGTTAGTCCAAAATCCCCGCACAAGGTTGCATCCGGCCAAACCTTGCGCTGACAGCAACGACGTCACAGATCCCCCAGACTCGATCACAATCTCAGAGTTTATGAGCAATGAAAAGTACGGAAGATGTCCAATCTCGAAAAGTCGTAACCCTTTCACGTGCGGCCTGACTGGGCGGTCGTTCTCGACCAATGACTTTTTCCAGCGATCAGAATGTCTCGCTAGGGCCCTCAGCAAGAAGATGGCTTGGCTGCCAAATGAGGGCACCTGCTGGGACAAGGTTATTAGTATCTTCTCGTTGAACACGGTAAGTTTTCAATCACCTGCATTAGTCTCCCCCAACGAGGGACCAGACCCGGTTGATTCAGCCCTACCGGTACAATGTGCGCTGCTGACGGATTTTGTAGATTGATTATATTCCCGTCGCATATTCCATCCACAGACTCTCGGGAATTGCTACTCCTGCCAATGCAGCATACACAGATGTTGAGCTTACGCATCAGCTCAAATCCTCAGGGGCGCAAGTCCTCTTCACATGCGTACCACTTTTGGACACGGCACTCAAAGCCGCCAAGGCAAGCGGCATCCCAAATGACAGAATCTTCATCATACCCATGGTGGGCAATGAGAAGAAAGTTCCGTTCCAGAGCATTGAAGAGCTCATTTCGGAAGGAAGCCATCTACCAGAACTCGAGTCCTTGTCATGGACAGAAGGCCAAGGTGCACGACAACCTGCTTTCCTCTGCTACTCTAGTGGCACTTCAGGATTACCGGTATGTGACAATCGACGCCAACACTCATGTGCCTCGATAGGAAACTAAATGTCAATAGAAAGCGGTCATGATCTCACACAGAAATGTCATTGCAAACATCTTGCAACACGCTACATATGAGTCGGTAGCTAGGAAACAACGTGGAGTTTTTACCCAGGTTGAACTGGGCCTCATGCCCTTCAGTCACATTTACGGTCTCATCGTCATTTCTCATACGGCTCCTTGGCGTGGTGATGAGATTATTGTCTTGCCCAAGTTCGAGCTCGAGACGTACCTTGCTGCGATTCAGCGCTTCAAAATCGAACATCTCGTCATTGTAAGACTTTTTGGCCTTCCTTCACGTATAGCCCTGCTAATCCTCTTAGGTCCCGCCTATTGTTATCCGCATGATCCAGATGAAGGACTGCTGTAGCAAGTATGATTTGAGCAGTGTGAGATTCGTATACTCGGGAGCTGCACCACTGGGCGAGGAAACCATCAAGGAGCTCAATGCGATTTACCCCAAATGGACCATTGCTCAGGCATACGGTAAGCCTTTCATTTCCCATCTAGCTTGAATATGGCATTTGCTGACTTTGCACAGGTATGACGGAGACAGCGGTTGTTGTCAGCTCTACTAGCGAACATGACGTTTTGAACAAGTCATCCGGCTCACTGCTGCCCAGCGTCCGAGTCAAGATTGTCGACCTCGAGGGCAACGAAGTGACCAAGCACGACTCACCCGGAGAGATACTGGTGCAATCTCCTGCCGCAGTGCTTGGATATTTGAACAACGAAAAGGCATCGACGGAAACCTTTATCCACGACAAGGATGGTCGGTGGGTAAAGACAGGAGACGAGGGTGTGATCACCAAGTCAGCCGCAGGCAATGAGCATCTCGTCATTGTCGACAGGATCAAGGAGCTGATCAAGGTCAAGGTATGTTTCGGCTTGAATGTGTTTCACAGACGACTGCTAACTGTCATAGGGTCACCAAGTTGCCCCGGCGGAGCTTGAAGCACATATTCTAGCACACAGCGCCGTGTCTGATTGTGCAGTCATTCAGACCCCCGACGATGCTAGCGGAGAGGTTCCCAAGGCGTTTGTGGTCAAGTCGCCGGAATTCAAGAACAAACCAGACGAGGAGGTTGCGCAAGCCATCATGAAGCATGTCGCAGATCACAAATCGCACTACAAGAGAATCACAGGCGGAGTAGAATTTCTAGACGAGATACCCAAAAGCCCAAGTGGCAAAATCCTGAGGAGACTTCTCCGGGATAGAGAGAAGGAGAGGAGAAGAAAGGCAGGTGCCAAGTTGTAAAATCGTTGCTGCAAAATCATTGACAGCCATTATATCTGTCAAATGTATTATTTCTGGAGCGAATGAAATTGAACAGAACAAGAAAAAGATTAATCGCAACTTTCCATGATGATCATGGTACGAGCCAAGTTTATCGAGCAATTACAGTTCTGAAGCGCTCACTGGAGAATCTGCTGTTGCAACACTTGGCGAGGGGCGCAACGAACAGCAATGCATAAGCCGTTGGATTGTATTCAGCATTCAACTTTAAAGTGCATATCTAAATGGTGCATGAATAATTACCGTTCCAGCCGTGCTCTTGGGCGTTTTCGACTCAGTCCCGCGCTCTTCGGGCAACATAATCTCGGCACTCAAATCCGGAAGACCTGTCTCGCCTAATCCTTTCTCGTTAGAGTACCAAAAGACCAAAATACCAATAAGCGCGAGGAAAGCAGCGACTGATTCTAAAGACAATACAGCAATCATTCCCTGAAGATATTTTGGGGCATCACTCTGACGGAATATTTGGCCTACGATTGCTTGCTAATAACGACCATGTCAGAACCGATCTATTCGGCTTTGCGTTCATGTTAAGAAAAAAGAGATAATACTTACCCCAGCATTTGTAAATATGATATACATTGCGGAATAAATGCTTCGTTGTGTTGGCGTTCGTGAATTCAAGGTCGCCCAAACGATTCCCATCAAATCTAAACGCAAAGTGAGTTAAGCTTCAAGGCCATTGGCACACTGAACAATGATTGGTATATGATCCTTACAGGATGACCCAGTAAAGGCAACCATCATCTGAAAGATGGCATACTTTATCCAGATGTACACATTATCCAGAGTCTCTAAATAGTAGAATGCTGCTGAAAAGGCAATGAATGGAATCGCGGTACAGAATATGACCACACCCCGTATATCGAATCGATCACTACTATAATATCAGTAATGAGCCTCCACGTCTGTGATAGGTCTCGAATAGTAACTGGATGGATAATATGCCTAGCGGGTCGTGATTGAACTTACGCAAACCAGCCACAAATGAAGATGATCGGAATTTGAGCCCAATAGCCAACGCTGCTCAAAGCATTGCCTTTGATTGTACTGAAGCCTAGACTTGTCACGATCTGAGCATTGTATGTTTCAAGAGTCGAAACGGGCGCTGTCCACGCAAGGGCAAAAACAAGAATCAAGTAAATACGCCAGTTGGATAAAGCCTTGGCTACATCTTGAAGCGAGATTTTTATTTTCTGGGCATCTTTCTTCGAGGGATTATCGACCAGTAATCGGGTGGTCAAAATATATTCTTGTCGATTGGTGAGGATGCAAAGGCCTGGAATGAGTGTTCTCGAATCTTCAGTCGATCGAGGAAAAAAGAATAAGTTAAGGACACCGATGAACAATGTCATCATGCCCTCAACTGCCGGGTTGATTAGCATCACCAAACAGATAGGTAGTAGGGGTCAAATTGGTCGTTTGTCGGACAGGAGCACATACTAAAGAACAGCCATTGCCAGGTAGCAAAGCCTCTCACGTCTCCTAAAGAGAGAACTCCGGCAGCAATAAGCCCACTGCATCCCTTGCCGATGTAATTTCCGATCCAGAATAACCCGACCCTTTTAAAAAGTCAGCGATAGATAGGTACAAGTCATAGGAACAGAGCATGATGGAATTCTGAAGACAGTTGACTCCCCTCCTTTCTCTGCATCTGTCATGCTTCACTTTCTGTTTTGCGTTTATTTTTATTACTTTACCTTTTAGCAAATTCTTGGCGAGTAGAAAGGGTCGAAATGTAATAAACACCCCCAGGGATAAAACCAGACTCTGCAAGTCCCAAGAACGCTCGGCACACGTAGAAACCGGTCTGGTTTGTGATGACGCACTGAATTGTCGCTACTAATTCCCATACAATCACTGAGGGCTAATTAGCACATGATACTGGCTACCAAGATCATATTTAGGGCTGTAGAGCAGGGGTAGGACCAGGCATGAAAAACCACCACTTACTCTGGCAAGGCAGCCAGAATTTGGCGCCGACACGCTGCAAAACAAGATTTGATCTTCAAAGCGTATAAGACAAAGATTAGACTGCATCCATCACAAGATTGGGGCCGGCAAGAAGACAAAATGAGGACTCAAGTTTTCACTTTTGAGAATGGGACGTACGGGAGCTCCCCGAGCAGGATGCACAAATAAAGGATTGTTTGGCCGTTGCTTATGGTGTTCTGTGTGATATTAAGGTCGGTACGCATGCCGCTTGTCAATGCAGCAGATCTAATCAATGCAAGAGCAGATTAGCCAACTCATCTGAACCAAGTGTGACATTGAATCAATACAAGACCGAGGAATAAGATTCAGCCAAAGAGATATTGGGGACCTACATGTTGCCACGATCAATCTGCAGGCTAAAGAATCCCATCATCACGAGAGGCAGGATGAAGAAATCCACCTTTCGGATGGCGCGCAGCTCTTCTGCTGCAGACCAGTCAACCGACAATTCCGTCCGTGATGCATCAATATACATAGCAGATTCGGGCTTCGGTTCTATGATGGCAGTCTCGCCAGCCTTAGGCGCGGGTTGAGTCAAATGCGACGCCATCGAACTAGCCTTTTTGCCGCGCTATATTGAACAATTGCTCAACAGGCGGGAAGAAATAAGCAGTAAGGTAAAGAGGGTACTATGGGTTTTCGGGCAACTCGACCTTGGCGAACCTGAACAATGTCTGGACACTCAGTCATCGAATGGTACACTAGTCGTCTCATAGCTTTATTATATAATGTTTGGAATACATCAGTATGCTCGATAGATCGCTTGTGCTGTGGCGGAAGGTCGTCGCTCACCTCCGACGAAGCCAATCCATTTTTATGGTTGAGATGTGGTTATTATAAACATGACAGTGGTGCTAGACGCGCGGGATAGCAAAACGAAACTAGATTGGGTATAGCTGATTATTACTACAAAGTACATTACGGGCGGCAACCGACACCAACTTTTTTGTCCACCGGCGATGAGCGAAACCCAGGTGGATCTTTGCTGCACGGCGCATACCTGGCTCAAAGACTCCGAGATGATCACTGGCGTAGTTGGGTCTGTGATCTGGACACATCATGCCACCTATTGAGACTGGGTTAGGATCCGCATCTCCGATGGAATTTCATTCTAAATTGGCCGTGTTGGGATGTCAGTTTTCCTATGGCACGTGGCAGTGAGTTTTGCCTCTACCCATGTGAAGATTCTCGAAAGATCACAAGAGAGAAGCCGTACCATCGCACGCCTCTGCATCGATAGACTCATCGCCATCCTGGAAAAGTTTAATTTGTTGTTTGTTTCAACTGTCAGCGAACCTCCACCTCTGAATGATCGAAAGGACTAACCCGTATCTCTTTCAGATCCTAGCGGATTTGCAAAATGACGCGGCGTTCCGTTGATCTGGCGACCGAGCTCGGCGAATCTTTCTATCTTCCACCATGTGGTTTGAGTCTTGACATCCTTGGTACATTGAAAAACTCGGCCGGTCTACAGCTGCACCCTCGGCATACAACACCACGACAAGATGGGGCGCTGCTCAACATAGTGTCAACTGGCTACGTTGCTTGTGGTGGCCACTCAGGCGACGCTGTGGTCATGGCACAAACCATTCACGAGTTGGTCGCCATGGGCAAAGCAATAGGGGCGCACCCGTCTTATCCAGATATTTTCGGATTCGGTCAGGTAACACCAAGCAATCTCGACAATGACCAACTGTTTTCTGTGCTCGTATCCCAATTGGGGAGTGTCTGCGCTTTGGCAAAGGCTGCGGGGACTCAGATCCAGGCCGTGAAATGCCACGGCGCGCTCGCATTCGATGTTGCCTACAAACCAGAAGTGACCATTACAATGGCTCGCGCCATGCTTCAAGTGGACAGTAGCATGGCCCTCGTCATCTTTGCGGGAAGTAAGGGGATTGAGGCTGCCTGCGGATGCGGCATTCGCGTGATCCGAGAAGCCTATGTAGATAGGCGGTATGATATCAATGGCAGAATCCTCAACCGCAAGCTGCCTGGCGCCCTGATCGTGGATGCTAAAGAAGCCGTGGAGCAAGCAATATCCATTATTCTACGCGGCCGTGTTCTTGCGGAGGATGGCGAGTGGATTGATCTTGCTGCAGATTCTCTATGCCTTCATGCAGACACCCCCGGCTCAAGAACGATTGCCGAGAAACTACAAGTCGCATTAAGTGAGGCTTGTATTGTCGTCAAAGCTGCTTAGGAGAATACTTGACTTCGGATTGTGTTGGTTGTCCTGTAGTGTTATAGAATTAGTAAAGTACCTATGTATGTACCTACCTATGTACGTCTGGTAGTAACACTGCTCTGAAGTGCTCCACTCTGGTGGGAATGGTGGTTGACCTGGTCCAAAGATGTGATCAATAACTTTGATACGCCCACGGGACAATGCCTACTAGTTCCCATGAGCGTTCTGGGCCATTAGACTTGGTTCTCTTCGATAAGAATCACGGAAGTATGACTCTCTTTTTTTTTTTTTTTAATCTTTTTCCCACTTTCAATCTCGCGGGATGAGTTGTGATGTGTTATCACCGCCGGGATGTAGTTTTGGTGGGAAGGCTAGTCAACTGGGTGTAGGTAGCCGACTGTGCGAGGGACCAGATATGTGATAATTGAGTATAAACCGGCTTCTGCACCCGCAACAGTTTAATACTACAGACCAAGTAAAATGGAATGATACATATGTAGGAATACAAGTCCGCCCGATTACCTAACCTAGTCGGTACCTACCTGTTTACACGGATAAGAGCCTGCTGCGTCCAGAATCTGTTAGCAGAATTCACGATAGAGACATCCTGCCTATAATGAAATACTAGAGAGATGATTGGGGGAGCCTTTGCGATAGCTAAATATTTAATATAACTACATAAAGAAAGCGATCCAAGAGAATTTTGAAGTGTTGGTATTATACAAGCAATTAATTGATCGAATGATCATGATGGTACAAGCATTAGAGTTTTGCCTTGATACCTACCTATGTACCTAAAGGTAGCGCACGCAAGCTCCGAAACGCTCCTAGAGAACCACTGGAGTCAGTGGCCGTTGCACCATCTGGCGGGGAGAGGCACTGGGAGACTTAGGGATCAAACACTAAACTTGACCATGCTCCCAGAGAACCCCGAACGTCTTCCAATATTCAATCAATGTATGAAAACAATACGCTTGGTTTTAAATGACCAATGCCTGTTCGATTGAATGTAAGAATGGGTTACAATATTGTATATAATCCATGACACGTCCAGTAGCTAATGAGCACCAGCAGAATATATGTTGCCTCCCACCAGCGCCAATGTACTTCCGACGGCTCAACTTCCGACCCTGTCGCCGTGTAGGCCTTGTCATGCTATCATGCATCAAGCCTTGGGCTCAGCCATCATATCATCAAGTCCAACCAATAGAACATGGTAAGGCAGAATATGATATTACTTTCTGTTTTCCATGAATCTGTTCTGACTACCCCACATTTTCGGGAGGTTCGCAACATACGTCGGAATGCTTTCCATTCAACTCGAGGTCATGATGCGGAGTGATGGTGAGATTGTTGAAGTTCATAAGTACTGCGCATGCTGCTGAATCCTCTAGGCAGAACCTAAACAAGAATCAGTTTGGTCTCCATCCATCAATAATCATGTCTACGCCAACTACATCGACCTCGAAGAAGCGCATCTACCTCAACTTCTTTGACCATGGCTGCACGGGCTCTCATATGTCTCCTGGTCAGTGGCGGTAAGTCGTTGTTCTCCAAGACCTAGCTTTTCATATCAGCTACGGCTAAGTAATGATGTGTAGAGGTGAGGGCGACCAAGGGACAACAAAAGACACACTGAGTTATTGGATCAACCTTGCCAAGCTCGCTGAAAAGGGCAAGATCTCATTCATTTTCCTCGCGGACAGTTACAACACCCATGACATATATGGAGGGAGTTCTGATTACATGCTGCGAGCTGGGGCTCATACAGCCACTCTCGACCCTTTCACTCTCATACCTGCAATGGCGGCGGTAAGCATTCAATCTAACGGCATGGATTTTGAATATCGGCCGGCGCAGGCTGGTCTTGAGATTTGCTGACTGTGGATGAAGGCGACCAAGACTGTTGGCTTTGGTGTCACTGCAAGCACTAGCTACATGACTCCATACGCGCTGGCAAGGACTTTCTCATCACTGGATCATCTCACGAATGGCCGTGTTGCCTGGAATGTCGTTACCAGCTGGAGTAAAAGCGCCGCCCAAGCTCTCGGCCACGATGATGTCGTCCCTCACGATGAGCGATACGCAGTCGCGGATGAATTCATGGATATCATGTACAAATTTTGGGAGAGTTCATGGGCAGATGGCTCTGCAATCTTCGACAAGGCAACACGCACGGCCTTTGACCCAGCAAAAGTGAAAAAGATTGAGCACAAGGGTATAAGTCAAATGCAAACCACCCCTCAGACCTGTGCTTACATTCTTTTAGGGAAATACTTGAGTGCGTCTGCTCTCGGTCCTCTTCACCCTTCTCCTCAGCGCACTCCGGTGATATTCCAAGCCGGGACCTCCAAGGCAGGTAGTGCATTCGCCGCAAAACATGCCGAGGCAATCTACGTTGGGGGCCTGGTTCCTGCGCAGACCAAAGGTTCGATTGCGTCCATCCGAGCTGCCGCGGCCGCAAGAGGTCGAGACCCCAAGTCGCTCAAGTTCTTTGTCGGAATTTCCTGCATACTGGGCCAAACTAACGAAGAGGCCCAAGCCAAATATGAAGTCGCCAAGGAGAATGCGGATATAGTGGGCGGACTTGCACAATTCTCTGGATATACTGGAATTGACTTGGCTCGCTTTCCATTAGATGATGTATTTGAGCTCAAGGATGCACCCGGTGATGCAGCTGTGCATACCTTTTTGGAGAACTTCAACAAGGCCACAGGCAGTAGCGAGCCATGGACCCCTCGGAAGCTTGGAGAGAAAATGGCACTGGGAGGTTTTCATCCTCTTCCCATTGGCACGCCCGAGGTCGTCGCGGACGAGTTTGAACGTTGGATTGACGAGGCGGACGTAGATGGCTTCAACATTGCCTACATCACAACACCAGGCAGCCAGGAAGACGTTGTCGAACTTCTTGTACCTGAGTTGATGAGGCGAGGACTGATGTGGGAAGATTATGAAGTTGAGGGCGGCAGCTTGAGAGAGAACCTTTATTCGAATCCAGGACAAAAGGAATTGCCAGAGGATCACTATGGGCACAAATTCAAGTGGGGATCTGGCTTTGAGGGCGAGTCGATTGAGAAGTTGAGGGCGGCCCACGCAGCGCAAGATCCCACCAATGTTGAATAGGCAGGAAATGAATTGTACTTCTTCAAATTAAATACGCTCACGGTAGCCCCCTCAAGGCGAATCATTGTATGCATTTGATAGTAACATGTCAGGTACAAGTTTGTAGGCTATGCGCAATGTAGTGACAAGCATTGCCAATCATGCCCAATTATTTGATTTTTCCCGCACATCATGTAGCCTTTTCGACCAAAGGCGTCCAGCTCTTGATGATTCCCTCGGCATCCCGATCCAGTGAGAAATTAGCCCCTTTGATTTCAATGAGTGGTACATCATCTCTATGCATCTTGACATTCTCAGCATGAGCCCAGAGCACATCGTCTCTAGCGCACATGACCACTATCGGGCACTTGACCATCTTTTCCACTCGTCAGTACCAATCTTCTCCGGCTGGTTGGGATTTTATAACTAACCTTGAAGTACCTTTCCTTGTCTTGATCCCATAAGGCTCCGTATATCTGGTTGCGACCTTTCCATGCTCTGACGTGGTCGATAGCCTCGCGCTGGTACAGGTCGAGATCGTCGCCAACACCCATACCTCTCAAGTAATCCCATGTCTTTAGGAGATGCGATCCATCTGGTACAGGCTGGTTGAAGGGGGCGAAGAACCTGCCAATCTGTCAATTTGAAGACTCAAACATGTGCATCATATATTGACTGACTTTTCTTTCATTTTGGCTCGCTCTTCCGCGCTCCTATGACATGTCTCATTATCGGAATTCTTATCAAGTCGGTCATTTGGGGACTTACATGATGCTAGCACCCACGAGACAGATACTCTTCACATCATCGGGGTACATGGCAGCCATTTCAGTAGCCAAACTTGCCCCCGAGTGATGACCAATGATATGGAAACCGCTCACAATTCCCAGGCTGGCAAGGACAGTTTTGAACAAGTCTACATACCATCGGGTTCCCTTGCTCAATATCTCCTCTATTGTGGCTGGATCGGGGTCGAATGAACCGCCAAAGCCGGGCATATCTAATGCATAACATGTATGTCCTTTGCCACAGTAATGTTGTATCAGTTTTGTGTATGATACTGAAGATGAGGCTGATTTGTGCAGAAACACCAACGCGTCACCAGTGACTACTGAAGGTAGGGCGTATCGGTAGTGCACTTGACCATAGGAGGAGTCGGCATAGGCTTTGCGAATGTTGATTAGTGGCATATTTGCTGATTAAGGATTATTGGTAATTTTCTGATTAAATTGTGCTTGAACCGTTAATGGTCTTGTCAGACTATATGTCTGCATGTATATGATTCTATCCTGTCGGATCGTCGGGATGTGTCGTCGGCTTCGGGATCCAGAGCAGTGGAATGCCCCACGCCCTAGCAACGTTATAGGGAGTTACCGCAACGCGCATCAAGTGCTTCAAAAGGGAAGCGGGCCTCCCCGGTAGGTCGTACGATCATCGACCGTGTCGCAAGCATAGGAATCTTTAATATTGACCCATTCACCTAATTTTGAGCTGATGAATGTTTAATCTTTACTTCTATTATGCTTCTAATGTTTTGCCAACGCCTATCAATGTTGATACCAATCAGTGCAGCCGCCCTCCCCGTTCAAATGCTAACTTTGCCATTCTATGGTTACAAGCAAACCACCATTTTCTTGCCCTTCATATTGCCCTTTTTCAACATGTCAAGACTCTCTTCGACAACTTCCAAGCCGCCCTCGATGAGATGTAGTGAAGGCAGAACAATCTTCCCGCTCTCAAGCAGCTTTCCGAGCTCCTCCGTGTAGCAAACATTCGTCTTGTCGAGAACGAATTGCTTCATTTCGACCGTGTGCACGACGACATTTTCTGGCACTTGCTGCGAGCCCGACATCATCGCAAGCGGTGCAAATTGGACTGGCTGCTCTGTCGAAACGGCCTTCAAGCACAATGCAGCGGTCTTGGTCCCGACGAGATCAATTGCTCGGGTAATGTTACCGCTAGTAACACTCCGAATCTCCTCGACCAAATCCTCTTCCGACTTTCCATCACGAACGACGACGTGCGTCGCTCCGAGGCTTTCCGAAAGGGTTTTGGTCTCTCCAGAATTTACTGTAATGACCTTGACACCACTATGGACGGCAAACTGGGTTGCAAATTGCCCAGTCACTGTCGACCCTCCCCAGATTAATAACCATTGGTCTTCGGTTGGCTCCGTTCTGGTAGAGGGTGTGGGAATATCCAACCATTTCCAGAGCGACATGCCTGCGGTGAGGGCAGCCACGCCGAGACAGGCGGCGGCCTCGAACGGAACGGTGCTTGGAATGGGAAGCACGGTATGTGATGGTACAACAACGTATTCTTGGAAACAGCCGGCGCGGACATCCCTATAGTATGTACTTGTCCAAACTCTTTCTCCTTGTTGGAACCCAGAGACAGTTTTGCCGACTTGAGCTACCACACCAGACATCTCTCTACCAGTCACCTTTCGATTTGTCAGCAGCTTATTGGACCATTACTTGCATGGACGAGCGACATACCCATGGGAATTGCGGGAGGCAGAAATTGAAGTCGACCGATTTCCAGTCGATTGGGTTCAAACCGACATAGCGACCCCGAATCATGATCTCGTCGTCACCAATTGTGGGCATGGGAAAATCATGTCTGATCTCATATTTCCCCTTTTCTGCCACGACGAGTGCTTTTTGGACCTGGGGAAGAATTTCGGCAGCCGACGATGCAACAGACCCCTCGGATGTGGAAACCGAGCCCTTCCCTACATCAAGGACGATGTCTGAAGATCTTCTTTGACTCTTTGATGTGCCGTTTGATTTGAGCTTGCGCAAAAGAGTGCGAACTGTTTTCCACGAGTTGCGACTCTTGTAGACATGTGCAGACCGAACCTCGGACATTTTGAGCAGTTGTGTCTCGACGATTGTCCACAAGAAAGCTGCAACGGCACACTGCCTAGTTATGCTCAAGTCATTGATATTTTTCAGGTGAGAAAAGTAAAGCTGGGCATTGGAGGTTATGATGTCGATGGCACATAGCTCCCAGATCCCAGATCCCAGAGGTGGCCGGCTACGGCTCACGGATTAGAACATAAACACCGACGTCGTTAATCCACCCAGGAGGGCATCTTGTCCTATCATTGCGCCCGTAGCTCGCAGCTCTAGGCTATTTGGTGGTGGGAGGTGTGGCGCTCCGTGGTCACGACAAGATTGCATGAGATTGCACCATCCGTCGGCTCCCTCGACTATCGGCCGTCGGAGGGAAAACATCGGCGCTGATCCGACGCATCACCAACCATTTGCACCTGCGAGTGATCCACACTGACAAATCCACTTCTGCTTGGCGTATCTAATCCTAGAACAGCAGGCTGCAGCAGAGAGTTCATTTCATTTGTTTCATCCCCCAATTTCTGCAACAACAGTAACGGGCGCAATGGAATGAATGCGTCGTTCCATCGCATACTCTTATCCGTCGGCAAGTGATTGCTCGATATTCTTTCAAAACATTTTGAAAGTCAAAAACTGCAACAGAGTTCATAGGCAATTGAGCATTGAGTTATTGATCAATAGACTTGTTTTGCACATGATTTCCTGATTGATTTCGCCTCTTGCATCACGTTGAAAATGGCTTCCATCAATACACAGCGGCGACCTTGCCGTATCATGAACATCAGTGGCTCACCAGCAGACCGGCGAGATGTTCTTGCGCTCTACGCGGCCTCGGATGAGCCCGTGGATGTGTTTGTGGGCGATTGGATGTCCGAGCTGAACATGCCTAGCCGAGCCTACAGTGTCGCCAACGGTCTTGGAGTTGGCTATGAAGAGACTTTTCTCGAGGCTCTGGAGCCAGCCCTTGAGCATCTAGCGAGACGCAAAATCAAATTGGCTGCAGTAAGCTTCTTGACCGATTGAGTGGTGTTTAAGGGGATTTATCACAATGACATTTGGCTCACCTGGTATATCCTAGAACGGTGGCACAGTGGCCGCAAAAGACTTGTTTGACGTCGTCGTCAAGATGGTAGAGGAAAAACAATTGGATCTGGTAGTCGCGTGGGTGGAAGGTGACCTTGTAAGAAACCACTATCACTTAAGATTCATCTTCGCTCTGATATTCAAAATAATGTAGGTCATGGACCAAGTTCAAGCACAACGGGAAAACGGCACCAAGTTCAAGCATATTTCCACTGGTGAGATGCTAGACGAATGGGAGTACACGCCTCTATTCGCACAATGCTATCTCGGAGGCATGGGTATCGCCGAGGCTTTCAGATCTGGGGCGGACATTGTCATCTGTGGCAGAGTTGCAGACGCGGCACCCATTGTTGGAAGCGCTGCATGGTTTCATGACTGGAGTCGATCGGATTTTGACCAACTTGCAAGATGTAAGCGTGCACACTAAGCACAAAAAACATGACTGACTGACTGCTGTGGTAGCACTCATCGCCGGTCATCTCATCGAGTGTTCGACTTACGTGACTGGCGGCAACTATACTGGCTTCAAGAGCCTGGACTGGGATCATTTGGACGATTTGGGCTATCCGATTGCTGAGATTGGACCAGACGGGGATGTTGTCATCACGAAACCCGGGGGCACTGGCGGCATGGTCAATATTGAAACATGCAAGGAGCAGCTCCTCTATGAGATACAGGGCAAGTGGTATCTCAATTCTGACGTGACAGCGGTAATAGAGCAGGCGAAATTCGAACAAATTGGCAAGGATCGAGTCAGACTGTCGGGAATCACTGGCAGGCCACCACCGAGAACCACAAAAGTCGGCTTGACAGCTCTCGGAGGCTACAAGGCCGAGGTCCACTGGGCTCTGGTCGGTCTTGACATAACCGAAAAGGTGAAAATGCTCGAGATTCAGATGAAGGCATCATTCGGGGAGGAGAGACTCAAGAGATTCACTACATTCAGCTTAACCACATATGGCTCTGTCCCCAAGAATCCGACCAACATGAACGCTGCCACCGTGGACTTGAGATTGCTGGTACAGGCAAAGAACAAGGAGGACTTGTCAGACGAGAACTTTGCTCGACCCGCGTTTGACATTATCATGTCAAGTTTTCCCGCTGCAACATTCCATCCGGACAAGCGGACTGCCACCCCTCTAGCTGTAAGTCTTGTCTTTCCGTGCCATGAAGCTATGAACGTCCTGTGAAAGGTTCAACTGACATAAAAATAGTACCAAGAATATTTTCCTACCCTTATTGCTCAGCCTACAATCAAAGTTCATTTCTCAAACCCGGCACAAAAGACAATCAGCATACCTCCACCTGACATTACTATCGAGCATCCCGAAATCCAGCCATCATACGAGACAGCAAATCCCATCCCTCTAGAGACATTTGGGCCCACTGTCCAAGTTCCCTTTGGGTACCGCGTCCTCGGAAGAGCGGGGGATAAGGGGTCAAACTGCAATGTGGGATTCTTTGTCCGAGACGAGAATGAGTGGCCATGGCTGCAATCATTCCTCACGACCAACACCTTTACCGAGTTGATGGGAGAGGAGTGAGTACTGCAACTACCAACGCTTGAATGGATTACTTGTGCTAAAGTCGGAACTGCAGATACCAAGGGCAAACCATTGACCGTATGGAATTTCCCAATCTGTGGGCTGTCCATTTCCTCGTCAAAGACTTTCTCGACCGTGGCGTTACTGCTAATGCAACCTACGATGTTCTTGGAAAGTGAGTCGTATCAACCGTTCAATGGCGAGCGCCCCAAAGACTGCTCCAATACACACAATCACTCGTGCAGTTGATTCTTTGACAGGTCAAGGCTAATGCAAGCTCCTAGGTTTTTGGCCGAGTTTATCAGATGCCGGCTAGTCGATATGCCTGTACAATTCCTGATGAAGGGGAAAATCTGAAGACTGACGAAAATACGACGATCGCTATCTTGTACCGTGTTGGGACAGCAGCCTTACGGCCGGCAGTGTTGAAGTATTCATCAGTTTGTATACCCATTGTTGCCTGCTTCATCGCTGGATGATGCTATACTAGCACAGGTTGCCTCCTGACCCATATAAGCCCAAATTTTGATGGTGGATGTCAATGGGGGAGTGCAGAGCTTACAAGCTGATTCGATAGTCTTGCTTAAAGAGATACATACGGGACAGTAGATTGGCCCATTGAACCACTTGTCTTGCCGTGGGCAATTTCATGAACTTGTGTCCAAAAATGACTCGATGGTCTCTCCTTATCAGTTCTGGCACTGGTCGTGTAGGATAAGTCGGTCTCCTCCGCGGGCGAGATTCTGGGCGGTTTTGGCTTCCATAGTGCTAGCAAAGCCACTAAAATCAGCGTACGCGGCAGCTGATTGGCGACTGACTATATCAGTTCGGCCACCACCGGTCCCCTGTCTAGCGATTGAACCCGCCCAACGTCGCCGCGATTTTAGCGTTGGTCTGATAAGGCCCCCGATTCGAGACCCAGACAACCGTGGACTCTGGAGAGAGAACGAGAAGGGAGGGGGCATTCACTGTGTACGACATTGGATTTCTTTGATATGCTTGATTGTCTTTTCCCCCGTTACTTTTGCCTTATCGTATTCAATACTGCCGGAAATAAGCCACACATCCTTGTCCATTTTGGCCAACCAGTCCCAGGCACTTGGATTACATTACATGACGCTTGCTTTCTCGGCACTAAAGTCGACCTCTAACAAGGATGCCCGCCCTTTGACGGCATAGCTTTGGGGTCGTTAGGTAGGTAGGGGACCATGTTGCAGCGACTTGTTCTGAAAAAGAGACAAAATGGCCGATCTTCGGTCTTTAATTCATCAGCGAGCAGTCGACAAGAGTAGTTGGGGCCCCGTGGACGTTGCTGAGGCGGATATTTGTCAAACTCCAAGGCGACTTTTTGGTAGAATATGAAGTAGTAGAGTTTCAAGAACCTTACAAGCCCAACTTGCCAATCCGTCGAAACTCGAGCATAACAGCACCATGACTGTCGCAGTCGCGGTACAGGCAGAAGCAGCCAGCGCCGCCACGCCAGCGACGAGACCCCGTCCCATTAAACGGCCTCGTGTTGCTGTAGCTTGCAAGCGTTGCAAGACTAGAAAACAGATACGTCCCGACTTTTCCATATCTACTGAATCAACTGCTGACTTATATTTACAAGTGCAATGGATTACAGTAGGTACAAAAGTTTCTAGATTATAATCAACTATACTAATCAAGTACGAAAAGGCCATGCGCCAACTGTCAAGACTTTGGTGCTACTTGCGAGTATCTCCCACCAAAGTCAATGATACATCGAGAACAACAGAAATCTGTCCAGGCAGTTCAGGCGGTAGAAGATCGAGTTGCCGAGCTCGAATCTATTCTTCGAAGGGAAGGTTTCGGCCCGCATGGAGAGAAACGCAAGCAGCGAGCCGACGACGACGGCTGCTATACACAGTCGCCTTCCGCCTTTGAGGCGCCACCAGGGAAACGATGGCGGCCTTCCCCAGCACCTACGGATGCAAGGTCCGATGTGTCATCGCCATTACCAAAGAGAATGGCAGTCACCACTGTTGTCGAGATCCTGCGCGACCTCTCAATAGAAGCATCCGGAGGCTATATCGGGGCGTCTTCCCAGATCACCATGGGGCGAATGATTAGCTCGATAGTCCAGGCGAGAGAGTACAATGTCAACGGCTCCACGGAAAGGGGGTGGGAGCATTTGAGCCCCAAATCAGCAAACACTGCATCCGCTTCGACGACTGCTGGGTTAGAGCTGTCACAAGTACCCCATGAAATTGCCGAAAAGGTATCGTGCTGCCGCCTGTCATGAACGAAGGCTCGTTCCAACGACTGATTCACATTTTGCAGCTACTTTATGGTTATGTCCGCCACATATCGACCCGATGGCCAGTCATACAGACCCCGTTCGTGCGCCTGCTGCATACGGAGCGCCATACTCTGTCCGACGCATTCTTGTGAGTATTGTATTTTGCAATTAGATTCACACAGTGTCCAATTAAACATATATAGCACGAGTGTTTTGCATTTGATATATGCGATAGGCGGCAGGTTTCTTGAGACCACTGGCGAGACGGGAGATTTCTTTCCCGAGCAGCATTACGACCAAGCTCTCAAGAGCCTTGACGATATTCTACGGCTTCATGACATACGATCTGTGCAATTCCTTCTTCTGCTCTCGATATTCAGCCTGCGCTCCCCAAGGGGTCCTGGGGCATGGACATACACGGGTCTGGCCATGCGAACCTGTATTGTGAGTCTTCGAACTGGCTTCACATGCACTTTCACTTACAAAAGGAATCAAGGACCTTGGATTGCATAGAAAATCACAAAAGAAGAGGCCGCCTCTCGAGTATGAAATGTGCAAGAGAGTCTTTTGGACATGCTACTGCCTCGACAGGCAGGTTTCCATCATACTGGGGAGGCCATTTGCCATTGCAGATCGAGATATCGACGTACCTGTTCGTGCAAATCACCCCCGTACTGATAGAAATGGAATGCTTACCCTGGTATTAGCTTCCTTTGGACATTGATGAATCTTGCGAAGATATGGAAGTACTCGAGAAAGCAGCGGCGGCTGCCACGGTTGAAACCCCAGACAGTCCCACACCTAAATCAACATCCATGACAGGCTTCATCTACATCTGCAAATTGCGCAAGTTGGAGTCGAATATCCAACAATCCATCTATCGGGTCGACCAATCCGCACCTGCTACGGAAGCTGAAGTCGAGCGTTTCATTCAGCAGCTTGAAGACTGGAAAGCCAGGTGAGTATTGAATAGTTGTATAATGAGCGCCTATACTAACTTCAGATAGCATGCCCATAGATGCTGCATCTACAAACCCCGAAGCCATGATAGTAGATGGATATGACAATTATGTAAGTATACTATGATCTCGTGCCAGGATCTTCATCTGACGGTGTTGCAGATGGTTTACTACTACAAATGTCTTCGCTTCCTTCTGCATCCAGTCATTCTGTCTGCAGAATTGTCGGACAAGAAATATTTGATCAAATGCGCAGAAGCTTGTGGAGGAGTATGCAGAACCTACAAGAAGCTCCATCAGTCTGTTCCGGTTGGATTCAGCGTAATGGCTCTTCACTCGATATTCCTGGCTGGTATGTTTCGGTGCAAGTGAATTAAGATGTGAGGCTCTGCTAATCATCATTAGGCCTGACACTTATATACTGCGCTTGGGCTGCACCAAAGGAGGTCTTCAGCATCAGCACCAGCAACGACATGAATGCTTGTAGCATTGTTTTATACATGCAAGTGTACCTACACTGACTCTACGAATAATGTCTAACAGTGTCACAGCATCACGGAGCGATGGCCAGGTGCAAGAAAGTATCGAGACGTCTATGAGTCAATCAAGCAAATGGTACTAGACTCAATTGAAGAGGGCCAATACGAACCTCGGCGGGCAATCACCAATCTCCGTCCAGGCCTGCATGCGGCCCTCAGAGCAATTGACCACCATGACGATGGCCAAGGAGAGTATAGCGCTTCTTCCATGGTGACTGATATGGCTGGAGGTTCGCTACCACCAGATCCTGAAGCGCCACAGATTTCAGCTTCGAATTGCTCTGTCAACATACCTGGCACACAGTCTCACTTTAACATGATGCTGCCTCTGGAGCTTCACGAGCCTGACGGATTCACGGATACACTATTCGCAACACCTACTAGTGATTGGATGATGGCATAAACTAGGCAGAAATTAACAAGACGAGGTATTTCCATCCCATATATCGTCAGCTCACTGTGGCTTGGGATGAGGTCTCTAATTAACTACTTTGATTTGAAGTGTGCATCTGATTAATTGCTCTGTCTACTGTTCTCGCTCCAGAATGGGAGACCCGCCTCCATTCTGGCAATGCCATACACGGACGCGCTGTCCAATGACTCGCCGGCATATTCCCGGGCCTTGGTCATACGATTGAGGGCCGTTGCCAGTGTAGGCAATTGCGTCCCTTTTTCTTCAGCAATAGCTAGGGCGTGGCGAGCATCCTTGGACGCCAGACTGACGGCAAAACCTGGTGGCGTGCCCAGCGGCGGCGCCCAGGCCCCGGACGTCATGCGCTTGGAATAACTCTCGAGAACGGGACCAAACATGCTGCCGATAAACTCCTCCATGCGCCCTGTTCCCAGACCCGTCTTCTCGGCGAACACTTGAGCCTCGGCAATCAACTCTTGGAAGCCAATGACAAAGATGTTGCCCGAAATCTTGAGTAAACTTGAATTCTGGACGTCGGCGCCCATGTTGATAATTTGGCGGCCCATCACGTCCTGAATGAATGGTGATACTCGTGTGATTTGCTCATGGGGACCCGCCATGGCAAAGATGAGCTTGCCTGCTGCCGCCATGGGGCTTGCGCCAAAGACGGGGGAAGCAATAAACTCTGCGCCCTTGACTTTCAGGGCCTTGGCTACGGCGGAGCTTGTTGACGGATGCACTGTTGATGTGTCGATGAACAGCTTACCCTGGATGTTCTCAAGCGAGGTGGCTTCCTCTACCAGAGCGTCCAGGATGCTGTCATCCGAGATCTTTCATGCCGCGTCTGTTCAGTATCCCGTAAAAAGTGGTTGAGGGTTTCTAAACCGACATACCATGGTAAAAATAATGTCAGTCGACTTGACCACCGTCTTGAAGTCATCAACGGGGCTGGCGCCCTCGGCCTTGAGGGGATCGCCTCTTGCCAATGTGCGGTTGCTGTATACAAGTGGTGAAGAACCGATAGCTGTGAGGTGCTTTTGGAGGTTGAGGGCCATGCCGATGCCCATCGACCCAAGGCCGTACTATTCGATCGCGTCAGTCTCTATGGAGGAGCAAATCCAGGCACGATTTGTCTTGCCAAAGGAAACGTACCCATCCAATCCTTGGTAAAGACATGGTTCCCAACAAATTATAGGCAGGAAATTTTCAGAATTCTATCTTCCGATTTTCAAATGCGATGCCAGCAATATTTAAGAGTGCTAAGACCAAACAAGTGTAACACCTTGTCCCTGTCCGAGGTAAATCTTCGCTTTGATGTTGATCAATGTTTTCATTTCCAGTGCGAGCATTCTATATTCAACCTTTGTATCCAAACAGGCACCTGAGAGAGGGGATGAACTTCCTACAGGTTACACTATTACAGGTTGGCTGAACGTGGCTTGCGAAAGAAGAGCGGCAGCGGCGGTGGAGCTCCGCTATTGTCCACATGCCCCAGATCATTTCTAGGGGCACTCAGTGCTGTCCACTCAATTTAGCTCAAGCCACTTGATACACATAACAACTCGTATTCCATAATAGGTACTAGGTGATCATCCAATACGATACTGATGCATGCATTGATGGCTTGCCGCATCAAGTGAGATAGATTTCCTCGAGGAAGGTCTTTTGTCTTTGTTGGCCAACCTATGAATTTCTAGTGTAATTTCTATAGGTAACAGACCCACCTCACTGAAATAATTGGACCAAGTCGGCCCAGCCATGTCAATGTCATCTTTCTTATCGGCCAAGTCTATTGTAGGGCAGCACCTAGGCACACGTAGAGGAGTAATCCCATTGCTGGTTGCATCTACACGATTCTATCTTGCCGCGTTCGCCATGGCATCTTGAACTGCATTAACTAGTGATGGCCCAATCACCCATACAGATCGACTCTTGCAAATCTGCACAATGAGATTCACTAGATCAGTCTCGCCCTGAGCCAATGTCAGGTTGAGCATATCCGCATCAAATGACCACAAGCGACGGGAGGCAGACCCTGGGCTGTGATGAAGGGATCGCTGTTTGCTACTCTCTGTCACTGTTTCCAGGATAGAATTCAAAATAAGGATGCTCGAACCAAAGGAGCGGCTCGTCAGCGTGCCATTGCATTTGTTCAGCTTTTCATAAATGTCAGCAGTTGCCACATGCAGCGTACGCCAGACAGTCAGGAGCAGTCGATAGCTGGCTGCCGTAATCCAAGGTGATTCGCGTAATGCCAGTCTTGCATCAAGCGCAGCAATGGCAGATAATGCCTCAGTCAGATCGTCAATGACAGCGATCATGCCATCGCCTTCATCGTTCCGCTGCTTGGCTGCATGCGTGGTGCGTTTAAACGTGACGTAGCTGTCCACGGTGAGATGCGTGGCGGTAACCAGACTAGCAAACACTCGGTTCTCCACGATGCCGCCGACTAGAAGGTCGTCTGGTCGACAGAGACTCAGCTTGAGCGACCAAGTCAAAATCTGACAGGCATGCCAGACTGACTGATCAGCCTCAAGCGTCGCTGAACCCACCTTCTCCTTTACTACGGCAGAGAGCACGCTGAGAGCAGAACAAATCTGCCGCGTTTGGCTTTGTGTTAGGATGTGAAATGCAGACGGGTCAGCAGGGCTAGGCGGAAGCTGGTAGTAACATCGCGTAAAGTCCTTGACCAGCGCGTCAAGATTGCTCAAGACACACATCATAGCAAATGATGAGCGGGCCAACATTGCGAGCAAGCTGGCGTCCTGTGTCTCTGATAGGAGTGACTGCGTAGCTGTGGATAGGAAGCCCTTGAAGGAGCTAGTTGTGGCCCGAGGCGAGCCAGAGATCATATTATAGTCATGTTGGCAGCGACGCTCATACCAAGCCTCGGCCGTCTCCGCTTCCCATAACGACTCGGCTAGAGGCAGTTCCCAGAGACATTCGACCGTTGAGATCAGGGGTCGGATATTGGCGCACGAGAAAACGTGATGGTCTAGAAGGAGCAGCGTGTATATGGAGAGTTTCAATGACTCTTCACTGATGTAGATTTGCCACTGCTCGTACGCCTCCACAGCCTGAGCTGCTTCCGAACTTTCTGCCTCCATCTGCGGCCACACAGGGGAGTTTGCCGAAGTAGCGACGACTTGCTTGAGAAGGCCAAGATCTCTTACAGCCTGATGAACATTAGATAAGTGTCTGGTCTCTGTGATACGGAATTTCGGCATGGTGGGATGCTGCACTTACATCAACCAGCGATCTCAGCATCTTCCGAACTCTCTCTGCATGCGAGGCATTGTCCATAAATGCACCATAGACAATGTGCAAAAGCCATGACTGCATCATCCATGTCTTTCGTAGCTCTCGCCAGTCATAAGATGCCTAGATGACTGTGAGCAATCTATTCAACTCTTACCGGGTGGGAATGCTCTGATGAACTTGAGGACCGGAAACCTACGCGACGATTGAGTTCATCAACGCCCTGACGCCAGAGACTCTGACTCTTCTTTACACAAGCGGCTTTGGCATGTCCGAGGCCGGGTGTCTCAGCCGAGTACAACAGGCCGATAGCGACGATAATGTCCACTAAAAGCTTTGGTGGTGAGGATGTCAAAAATGTCGAACGATGTACAAGAGGCAGCGCTGGGTGGAAATATTCAAAGTAGGCGTTTACATGTATGTCTGTTGAAGACATACCGTCCCTTGATTCGTACAAGATTAGCCTAGGCAATACATGGGGGCTGGCTCGACTCTCTTGACAAGTTATTCGACTTACGGGGATGTGACAGAGTCGAAAGCAGTCCTTGCAACGGTTGGTGCATCATCCATATAAGTCGGCATGGAGCCGGCAGCCGACGTCACATTTGCTGCCGCTGGTGCTGGCGTTGCACTGTTTGAGGCCAGACAAATCGTACCTGGGGACACTTGAGTACTACCAACATCTCCCACGGGCTCCGGGTTGCGGTGCGTTATAGAACAGCGTTCAGTGTGGCGCTTGCAGACATCTCTGTAACACAGGGGAATTGGTCAGCAAGTGATGGGAAACCACACCATGACTACACAACTCAAGGGTATCATGTCATTTTGTACCTCCTAGAGAATCGACATAGACAATGTTGGCATTGGAATATCCTGCGAGTCTCGCCGCCGTGGCCTAGGAAACCGAACAAGCCCCTGCGTCAGCATGCCGATACGGACAGGCCACCAGATCAACATACGAGTTCTCTTGTGTCGTTGTAAATTTTCCTTTGAACAGGGTCAGTCTCGATTTTTGGCAGCCTGGGTAATATGTCCCACCTACACTTCTTGTAAAGGTCTTGGAGCAGATGTTGCAGCTAAATGGCCGATCATTGGAACTCATTTTAAGGCGAAACAAGATCTGCTGACCCAACGGAATCCGATGCGGAAAGTAGTGTTTACTAGCGAGCAGACCTCAATCGAGTGTGCGTTGGAATCGACAGGATATGCTAAGAATGGGTTGCGATGGCATTCAAAGGTTTGGAGGCAGTTGGAGAACACGGAGCTGGGCACAGCACAGTTGGAAGTCTCCCAGCGGCTTTCGCAGCCTACATAGTTGTCACCGGTAGGCACTGGACATCCCTGGAGAGTGCGCCACCAATCGACTAATAGCCGCTTCTAGATACCTGTATCTACGCTGAAATTTGAGCGTCCCACCCAATCAACTTAGGCCCAATCCCGATAAGGCTTTCCTGACTCCAGGTATTTTAGTCACCGGAATCTACAGAGTCCACGGGTACTACATGACTTGACTGTGGTGCGGGGCGACCATTGCTAAAATCAAGTAATCGTCGTCACTCCTCTTTTTTTCCACCGATCGCATCCTTTCATCAGCTCATCCGGACCTCTGCACTTTGTCTATGGACTCTGCCGTATATTGCACATTGTTGTGGTTCAGTCCTGCCAGCGAGATACGCGAGTTATCGGCCATGTATACGTGGAAGCTCTCTTTTCATTGAAATGGTCAGCAGTCTGTTCTGAACATAAGATAGGGAGGGGAAAGGAAAACAAGACGAAGAAACTCACTTTTCAAGCTCAACACGCGATCCAGAGGCAATCCCAGGATACAAAACATCCCCTTTTGCTGAATGATGCGCTCCCACTGCCCCGGCGTCTCTAACTTTACAAGCGCATCGTACAGCCCCTGCCGCATGCCGGCGATTCGGGAGCTCATGGTTTGAAGATTTCTTTGCCACTCGGCGCGGAGTTCGACGTCGCCAAGAACAGCCGCCACGATGCGGGCGCCAAAGGCCGGCGGGTTGGATATTTCGCTGCGGACGAACTGGGCCAACCTGGATTCGACGGCCATTGCGGCGGAGGGTGTCTGTGTGACGAAGCTGACTAACCCAACACGCTCACCGTAGAGGCCCATATTCTTGGCAAAGGATGCGCAGACGGCCGCCTCGATGCCCATGTCGTTGATGAAATGCCGGATAGCAAAGGCGTCCGTGTCGTAAGATCCGGAGGTGATGCCCAGGTATGCTGCATCGAAGAGCGGGAACAGCTTCCGCCGTTTAGTGATTGTTGCCATCTTCCGCCACTGGTCCTCGCTTGGATCGCAACCACTGGGATTGTGAGCGCACGCATGTAGCACAAAAATGGAGCCAGGTTCGGCATTTTCAAGAGTCTGCTCGACAGAGCGAAAGTCCAGTTTGCCCGTTGCCTCGTCATAGTACTTGTAGCTTTGCACATTGAAACCGACAGCCTCAAAGACTTGACGATGGTTGGACCAAGTGGGTTCTGTGATGTAGACCGTGTGAGACGGGCCCAGCGCCTGGTAGAGCATCAAACCAGCCAAGTGCAAGGCTCCCGTGCCGGACAGCGCTTGACACGAGGCCACCCGCCCCTCGGTCACTGCTGGCGCAGACTCGCCTAACATCAGCTCGGTCGCCAGGCCTCTGAAGCTGGCCAGACCCAAGATTGGAAGATATTCGTGGTTGGCGTCCCTGATCTTTTCCTTGGCGCCTTGAATTGCTGGCAAAATCCATGGGTCACCATTTTCGTCCTTGTACGTGCCTTGGCCGAGATTGACCTTTTGGGCACTACGGTCCGCATTGTAATGCTTGGTGAGCTCAAATATCGCGTCAGGCGGTATGAAAGTTACGTCCTGGAAAAACTCGCAAGGCGGCAACCCGATGGAGCCCATCTTGGCGGTCTTGATCACGCCTCGCAGTGCTTGAAGCTCAATCTGATAAATGGATACCAAAGCTCAGCAAGTCAATGAAATACAACAACCAGCGATGTACCTAATTGCTGTTCGAGTTTTATGGTGAGTATAAGAGATATTTCAAATTTTTACCAAGCATTTGATATGCTTTGATTTCAGTATCTTAGGATTACCATGCAGATGGACAGAGGATTAGTCCAATGCTCCGGGTGGCGCTCCACCTCCACTTGCATCACCGATTCCATCTTCGTCCTCGATTACGAGAACTGACTGACTACCATGGTAGCACACGGCTCAGGAAAGAATGCACTACGTGCAATCGTTGGTCTATAGGTCCCGCGACGTGTTATGAAAACCCAGCCTCAACCGACGCCATAAAAGTCATCCACCGTCATCAGGTAATGATCTGCCAAAGTCTCGACCGTAGCCAAGCAAGTCAATATCCTCTTCCATTCATCAGAACCTTTGATCTTCCTTGCGCCTTCCAATATGACTGTCGGCATTGCCACCAAGCCGCCTTTCGGCGTGTATACGCCACTCGTTACCTTTTTTGCAGAAGATGAGTCCATCGACTTTGGTGCTATGGAGTCCCATGTGCGGCGCATGGCTGAAGCTGGAGTAGCAGGTCTTGTGCTACAGGGAAGCAATGGCGAGGCGCCACACCTGGACCACGAAGAGCGACAGACAGTTATTAGCAAGGCCCGCGCAATCCTCGACGCCAACGGCTATAACCAAGTCAAACTCATTGTTGGTTGTGGCGCTCCCAGCGTCCGGGAGACTGTGAAATATATTGCAGAGGCAAATGCCGCTGGAGCTGACTTTGCGTTGGTCCTGCCCCCGGCCTACTGGGCACCTGCTATGACCCCTGCGGTCGTTGAGAACTTCTTTGGAGCAGTAAGTCGATGATTGCCTTCTTTTTCAACCTTCATCATGTGGAATAGGTGCTCATATTGAATCAAATGCAACAGGTTGCTGAAGTGACAGAACTTCCATTTTTGATATACAACTTCCCCACGGTAACCTCTGGCATTGACATTTCTTCGGACTGTATTATCCCGTTGGGCCAGAAATATCCCGGCAAGATTGTCGGATGCAAGTTGACTTGTGGCAACTTGGGCAAACTGCAGCGCGTGTGGTCGAATCTACCAGAAGATGATTTCGCCGCTTTTGCCGGCAAGTCGGATTTCATGCTTCCAGGATTGGTAGCTGGATCCAACGGTGTCATTGCAGCTCTTGCGAACGTTGTGCCCAGGACGCATGTCCAACTACTGAGCCTGTGGAGGGATGGCAAGGTCCAGGAGGCCCGACAGCTGCAGTCCAAGTTGAGCAATGCCGACGGCGCGCTGCAAAAGGTTGGAGTGGCCGGTGTCAAGGCGGTCGTCTCTCACTTTTTTGGCTATGGTACTGGCAAGGGTCGACGGCCCTTGGGTACAGCCAGTGTCGGAACTTTAAGTGAAGAAATCATGGGGCCCATTACCGCCCTTGTAGATTTGGAAAAGTCCTCTTTGGCTTGATACAAAGATGATTTGGCTCCTTATTTACGTCTCACCATTTATGAACCCCGACATTTTAACATTAGAACATCACGCTTGACAGCAAAATTTAAAACTTATCATCACGATGCAGGGTGAGTGAAGGACACAGGACATTATCAACGCGTACATAGGTATTGAACAATTAACTTGAAAAATGCTATAATTGCGTAGTTCAATGAATTGATCATGTATGTAGATGATTGTCCGTATATATTGAAAACATTCGATATGTGCGGGGTCGACAGCAAGCACTGCGTCTTCTTTCTCTTTTCTCTCTCCTTAGGTCCGTCGCCTCTCTTTCTCCACGGACGATAAAATATTTCTCAGATTTCAAAATATTGAAATTTGTGGGATCGTGTAGGCGGCTAGCCAGCCAGGATGCTTCTCTCGGCATCACCCCCAGGTCCAGAGATGGAAGGATTTGTATGCCATTATTCCATCAATCGAAACACGTCAAATCAATCTATCAAAGTCCTACTGATTTAGTTCCAGAAATTAGCGCTCGATACCTAAGTCTGGGGTACCTAGATAGGGGCAGTCCACATCGTGGCGTCGCACGAGCGAGTCACGCCGCAAGCAGCTGGGGAAGGTGGAGGTGGAGGTGGAGGTGGAGGTGGACAATGATGAAAGTGGAGGGGGAGTGACGGCCAGGCACTGGACTTTTTGCGGTTCCTCGTACTGTCGTCCGATGATTGAATGGAATGGTAGCTTTACATGCACATATCAATGCTAGAGTTTATAGCCAGGTAGCAACAGCGAATTTCAGGATATCACTGCCTTCTTGTATCTTGCATCTGTCCAACCCGCAGTCTCACGAAGATTTCTATCTTCATTGAAACATTTTCTTCGCGGTGCACTTCAAACTAAGAACTGCTCGATCTTTTAACAGACAACTGAAAGACACACATACAGATTCGCGGACATGGGTTCTCTTGGCATCACTGTGGATGCTGTTCCCACTAGCAAGCTGGCCAACGCCAAGTCAACCGCAGATATTCAGGTTCAGGTCAAGTCAGCCGACATGGCTGACGATGCGCCTACTGCAGAGTATAAAATCATTGAAGAACCTAGCAGAACTAAACGGCAATTGCGTGTTCTCTGCGTCGGTGCTGGGGCAAGCGCCATCAACTTTGCTCACGAGGTGCAGGAGAGTAACCTGGATCTGGATCTTGTCTGCTACGAAAAGAATCCCTCCATTGGTGGTACCTGGTACGAGAACAAGTACCCTGGCTGCGGCTGCGACATTCCATCAGTAAACTATCAACTGTCCTGGGCGCCTTCGACAAAATGGTCCTCCTTGTATGTCCTCCCTACTAGCCAATCGAGAAGAAAGCGAAACAAGCAATAATCATTACTAACTGGGTATTCACAGCTACTCAAGCGCATCAGAGATTTTGGCTTACTTTCAAAACATCGTCGACAAGTATGGCCTCATGCGCTACATCAAGTTGTCACATCGTGTCGTCGGGGCATTTTGGAATGAAGAGGAAAAAATGTGGCACGTAAAGATCCAACGGGGAGACGATCCAAATGATGTCATTGAGGATAAGGCGCATGTTTTCATCAATGCCACCGGCGTTCTCAACAAGTGGAAATGGCCTGCCATCAAGGGTCGTGAGCTGTTCCAGGGCCCCATGCTGCATAGTGCCAACTGGGACTACTCGGTTGACCTCAAGGGAAAGAAAGTGGGAGTCATTGGTTCGGGCTCGTCAGCAGTTCAAATTGTGCCCAGTATTCAACCGAGTGAGTTAAATGGATTATTACATTTCGGCGCGGTTCGATCTTGCTGACGTTTTGGTGAAATCAGTTGTTGGCGAGATGGAGTGTTTCATTCGCAGCCCCGGCTGGGTGACGGCTGGCTTTGGCCAAAGATTTGCAGGCAAGAATGGGAGCAACTTTACATATTCGGAGAAACAAAAGACGATCTTGGCCGAGAATCCCCAAAAGTATCTCGCCTATCGCAAAAAGATTGAGTCCGAGCTCAACTCGCGATTCCGCTTCATCTTGAATGGATCCCAGGAGCAAATGGACGCCCGAGCAGTAAGAATATTATGTCTGATTACGTGAACATGGGGCCGTTATACTAACTGAAAAACTCTTTATGTAGTTTGCGGAGAAGGAGATGCGTCGCAAGCTTGCCTCCAAGCCCGAGATTGCTGACCTTATTGTCCCCAAGAACTTTGCTGTTGGATGCCGCCGCCCGACCCCTGGCAACGGCTATCTCGAAGCCCTGTGCGAGGAAAATGTCACGGTTGTGCCTACAGCCATCCAGGAGATCACACCAAAGGGCGTTCTTACCACTGATGGCGTTGAGCATGAGTTCGACGTCATCGTTTGCGCCACAGGCTTTGATGTTAGCTGGAAGCCAGCCTATCCCACCATTGGTCGAGACCAGAAGAGTCTCAGCGACGAGTGGCACAGCCAGCCCAGCACTTACTTATCCATCACGGTTCCTCACTTCCCCAACTACTTGATCTTTAACGGGCCCTATGGACCCTATGGTCACGGTAGTTTCCTTCCCATTACGGAGCTTCTGGCCAAACATTTTGTAAAAATCCTGGACAAGATGTCTTCTGAGGGGGTTACTTCATTCGACCCAAAACAGGAAGCTGTCGATGACTTCATTCAGCACCGCCGCCAGTTTCTCCCACGTACCGCATGGTCATCTCCATGTAGATCCTGGTTCAAGCAAGGCACCGTTGACGGTGAAATCATGATGTGGCCCGGCTCTCGTATCCACTTTTTTGAGACTATGGAAAACCCGCGTTGGGAGGACTATAATCTCAGCTACACAACAAGCAACCGTTTTGGCTATTTTGGAAATGGCTTCGCTGCCCGAGAGTTTAGTGGGCAGGATTTGAGTTGGTATTTGGGCATGCTGGAGGGCGGTGACATGCAGCCAGAGCTGCCCGATGAGGATTTCCTTGACTTCATGGTCCAATCAGCGGAATAAATGCTGTCGGAATGGTTCTTGCAATACGTACTCCAGAATCTTGGAACGGATGCTATGTATATATTTAACTGACGAAAAGGTCAAGATGCCAAGATACTCATGACGGTTTCTCTCAAAAAGTAAGCCGATTCACGTAGATGTCAAGTGAACGAAAAATGCAACGAATTCAGTAGGAGACTAGGTACCTACACAAGTAACCGGATATTTGTGCACTGATGCGATATTATTTTCAATATTCCTCAGAATCTGTACAAATTTATTGATGTTCGAAAAGAATGAAATAAAAAGGAATATCTCTTATCATTTTATCATACAATTTCTTTTCTTTCTCTTTCACAACCATTATTCCATTAAACTTTTCTCATGGATACATTCTCAGAACTGTAGATTAATCTATTTCGTTGTACGCAGACTTTGGCTCAACTATTGCATTACATCATCCATATCTTAGAATAATCTCAATTCATAGCTAGCTAAAAAGAAAATAAGTTCAGTTCAGGTGAGGGTCACTGGTACCATTCGCCACCGCCCCGAAAAGGAAACAAACACTACATAAAACAATATAGCCTATAGTTCTTTACAACGGTCAAGTTGATTCAAATGAATGTAGGGTACCAGTGTAGGTATGTAGGTATACTCAAAGAACGTAGCGGAAGTGAGGTTGCTCAAAATCAGTGAGACCCATAAACTTGGCTCTCTCAATTTCCTCAGTGACTTGGGCTGTGCCAGACTCTTCCTGGACCCGATCTCTACGTTTGTTCTCTCGAATGTTGATGAAACGGATGACAATGAGCACACACGCCGCAGCGCCATACATGATTGCCACCATCAGCTTTCCGCTATGATATTCCGGAGCCTCGTTAGACCGGAAGGTCTGGGGCCCGATCCAATTGCCGGCACCGTATGCGAGGATTTGCAGCCCGTTCACGGTGGCCTTTTTGGTATATCCGAGAGTGTTGTTGGAGATCATTACCATGACAAGCCCCCAGGAGGCACCGGAGACGCTGATCAAGTAGTATCCGACGAGCAAGCCAGCCTTTGCATCTTGAGGGAGCGTAATCATCAGAATGCCGCCCAACATGGGAAAGAGAATGGCGATAAACGAGAAGAGTGACCTGTCCTTGTACTTGTCGGAAAGCCAAGTGAAGAGCAGTTTGCCTCCCATATCGAAAATACCGGACGGAGCGCCCAGGAGCAACGCCATGCGAGAACCGAAGCCAAACGATGCAATGGTGAGGGAGCCAAAGGTCGTGATGCCACCGTTGGGGATGTTCATGAGTGCCGAGAAAAGGACATAAAGGTAGGTACGGGGGTCTCTGAACGCCTCGAAAAACTGATTCCATTTCCAGGTGCGATTACCCATACCCTGGAAGTTTCCTCGAATGCGCTCAACGGCAATAGATCTTTCCTTGTCGTTCAAGAAGCGTGCGTTCAAGACATTGTCGGGCATGAACCAGAAACAGAAACCACCAGTGACAGTAGTCATGAGGCCCAGGATCAGGAAGAGAATTTTCCACGAGGCAATAGCAGCATTGGTAACGCCAGACAGTCCATAGCCAACAGCCGCCATGATTATGAGCGTGATACCGTTGCAGGCTAACCAGTAACCAACGCGACGGCCTTGCTCATTCTGCTTGTACCACATTGAGGTGACAATGACAAAGGCTGGGGTGACTGTAGCTTCAAATACACCCAGGAAGAATCGAACGGTCAGGAGGCCACCATAGCTGGAAACGACGGCATGTAGCGTCAATACAATGCCCCATAGTGCGACATTGATTGATGTATACAATGACCGGAACTTTATATGCGTGCACGGACCAAAATGCATAAATTTTCAGTTCCAATTACCACTTTCTAATTACGATATCTCAGCCACCACGGGGTTTACGGAACTAGGAATAAGCTTATTTTAACCGTTATCTAGTATTTTATATACTACCCCTTAGCTTTTTTAACTATACGCAGCCGGTTTGGGATAAACTGGATTAAGGTATTAATTAAGTCTATTTTTATCTCCTTTTACGCATTTTAAATTAACTTTCTCGCGTATATTTCGTCGGCAATATTTTTTTAAGCTTTAAAAAAGCAGGTTCTAATTTACGGATTTGCTTTTTTAGTTCTTATTATACGTATTCGATAGGGTTAAAATCCGGGCTATAAGGTGGCTATTTAATAAGCTCTACCCTTTCGTCGGATAGCTATTTTATCGTACGGTAACTTTTATATACTAAAGCGTTATTTTAAACGAAAAAATCGCTAAATATATATAGCGGAAATAGGCCTTTTTTAAAGACCTTTATATACGATTTTAAGCTTATTCCTTGGCGCGGTATATCCGGATTTCTTTAGCAAAATATAATCGGGGACCTTCCTTCTTTTTTACGGTTTTGCTATATTATTCCCTAAATTATTACGGAGATTTTCGGCTTTTTATAGCTTTATATATTTATAAAATCGGGACGGAACCTTTCGCTTGCTAAACGGAAAACCTATTAGCTAGGTTTCCCGGATTTATTATATACCGTATATTCGTCCGAAAATAAAGCTCGGAAAAGCTTACGTAGCTCCGCCGGTTTTAAATATTTTCGTGCGAAAACAAGCCTAGCCGTAGCGTTTTTTTCCGTAAAAAGGATCCTTTTAGCCTTTTTTTAATTTTTAAAATAATAACGTTAAAAATTTTTTTTATAAGTTTTCGTATAAATAAAAAAGGCGCTCTTTTTAATAAACTAGGAATAGGTATCTTCCGGGTATTTGCGGGCAAAAATAATTAAATAGCGTTTTTCCCGGAAAATTATTTTATATTTCCTTATTCGGCGATTACTAGTTTTCTTAATATTATTTATTTTAATATAAACAACAATTTCCGTAATGGTTTAACGCTATACGGTACTAAACGCGTCCGCGATAATAATATACTTTTTATTAGCTATAGCGGCACCGGCAATAAATATACGGGCTTTTTTAAAAAACTCCCCGTTTCTCTGGCGATTTCCGGATAATTCGGTCCCAAATTAACGTAAAATAGTCATTATTATAATATATAATATAAAAAATAAAAAAAAGGGTGGAAAACGCGTTATTTTGATTATAGCGCGTCGATTAGCGTGGCACGGATATAAAGTTCCGATCTCTGTACTTGGCAATGGGCAAGCGACGGAGCAAGTATGTGGTAGGAAATCTATGTTGCACCATGTTAGACGAGTCCAATGCGAGCCTATAGTATTTGACCGACTCACTCGTATAGGATATAACCAGCATAGAAGATGCTAGAGGCCCAACTGTACTGCTGCGAATTCGGATCGAGATGCGTGTCCTCACGGATACCCATCAAGGACGCATAGTTGAGACTAATCTTGTCGGCAAACTGAATGGCGTAGATCCAGCACATCAAGGGCAAAATATACATGTCAATCTTTCGCAAGACTGACGCCTCCTCCTCGGGGGTAAAGTGAAGCACCTCATCGCCAGCCACAGCCATGGCAGGGTCGACATCTTTGGGTGAGGTCTTTACATCATCAACAGAGGCCACGCCCATGCTGGCGATCTTGGAGATCTCTGGACCTGAATCCGTTGGCTCTTTGCATGATTCCACTTGGTCGCTCGGAGAAATGGGCTTGGTCGATGCCATTGTCAGGTACGCTGGAGCTCGAGTACGACACGAGGGATTTGGCGCTGCCGTTGACTGAGTAGAAAGAAGGAAGCAATAAAACGGTGTCGGCAACGCTGTTGCGGCTGATGCGCGGTGCTCTGATGGCAACAGAAACCACTTAGAGAATGTCGTTGGCTCGAGTTGAGGTGGTTGCCTCGAGCGTCCCAGGAATCCAGCCAACAATACCACAGGCTATATCTGTGTTTCCGACGCTCCCAATCATCAACGATAACACGCGGAGATAGTCTGGGTCGTCACAGACCTTATCGTCATGAACGAATGGAGCTGAACACCTCTAGCCAGCCAAGCCCCTTGCAGCGACAACCCAGACCACCACTTGAAGCAACCCGGGGTATCTGGTATCTTCCTTGAGCATTAGCTTGACTCATGGATAGTGGACGGCACTATCTGATGGAGCCCCACTGCGTCTCGCGCAGAGTTGGGCCAAGGAGCGGCGGTGGAGGTGGAGGTGGAGGTGAACTCAAGGCACAGGAGCTAAGTGCCACAGCATCGGCAGCTCCCAACCTATTGTGGTTAAATAAGTAACGGCGGCTCAACGATATGTGAAGCCTATAGCGTCGCTTGGGCATACGAATTACTTCTGGTATAGTCGCAATACTTTACAGGTCTCGATATTTGCTACAAAAATGGCTGCGCGTCAAAATACAACGGTCCCCAAGTGGGCACCTCCGGCAACAACCAAAGAAAATTGTAAGCCTTGAACAGTGACTCTTGTTTGTCCGTGTTGATGCCCAGCTTTCCTGCAGAAGAGTACTACCTGCCACAAGCAGAGCTGGCCCTTGAGCATCTTCAAAAAAGTGACCCATGATGTCAAATACTAAACATGATCAAAGTGGACTATATTGACCTGGTTAATATTGACCTGTCTAAATTTGATGACCCACTGTCACGCAAGGAGCTGGCGCACGAGTTCTTCAGCGCCTTTACCCAGGATGGCTTTGTTACTGTCAGTGGCCACGGCATTTCCAATGAAGTGTGGGACGCTCAGATGGACCTTGCCAATGCAACCATGACCATGGACCCAGCAGCGAAAGTGCCTTTCGAGGGTAGGCAAACCATCCTCAATGTAGACAAGCTACCACTGACATGACGATCTAGTCACACCCGAGGAAGACGAGCAGGGAATTTATGTCGGTTTCAAAGCTGCTGGAGGCCTGGGGTTCCACAAAGAGGTTAGTTCTTTCATGAATGCAATCCCCATGAATGAGTACTAGTTGTGCTGATGCTCAAAGTGCTCCCAAAGATTGACTTTTACAACATGTTGTTGAATGACCCCAAGGCAGACCGAAAGCATCCAGCTCATTTGATCCATCATTTCGCCGAGACGCAAAAAGTCATGTTGCATATTCGCGATGATATTCAGAGAAAGTTTCTCGTTTTGTTGGCCATGTGCCTGGAAATTCCGGAACAGGAAATGCTGCAAACTCATCGCGCAGGTCAATCGAGCTCAGAATACTACCGATACGTATGTTTGAACTGCTCTTCGTTCGATTGTTAAGAGATGGGTCACAGTTGACTAACGCCAACTCTTACATAGATGAGCTATGCGCCTCTGACTCCAGAGGCCACTCTCAAGGCGCGTGGTCTCTTCATGCCTGCCCATGCTGATTGGGGCACCTTTTCGATCCTGTTTTCCCAGCCCGTTTGCGCACTTCAAATTCTTCACAAGAGCGGTGTCTTCAAGTGGGTTGAGGTATGTGCAGTCTTCCCTTCCTCATTGAAGATTTCAAGATTTGGGTTGCTGATCCAGACTGGATGCAGTACAAACCGTATACATTGGTGGTGAATGTGGGACAGGCCCTCGAGCTCATGACCGGAGGAGTCTTTCCCGCAACGATCCACCGCGTTGTCACCCCGCCCCCGGATCAGGTCAACTCCTTGCGCGTCGGCATATACTATTTCTCGCGTCCCAACGATGACTATAGTCTATTGCCGTTCAAGAACTCGCCTGTACTGAAGAAACTCGGCAAGGACAAGCCCTTGGACCCCTCAGTCACGTACAACACTGTACAATTCTTGGAGGCGAAGAAACACGGTTACCTGAAGCCGGATCTCGATTTTGATCGACCCCGCGACCCAGGCGTACACAGTGATCCTTTCCGTGAGGGCGACACCTTTGCTCCTACGGAGAAGCTTCTCGCATCCATCGCGGTGAAAGCGGCCACCTAAAGCTCATCGAGAAACCCAGAGGAGCGATGGTTTAGTCTAAGCTCATTTAGGATATGAAAGTGTGACCCTTTTCTCACCTGAGCCGATGTGTGAAGGGGGAACTGAAGACAAGATGATCGAGGAAGCATTGAAAGTTGTCTGAGTTGATCTCTAGTCTACAAAAGAGAGGTGCTGAAGAGCGACTATATACCCAAGCAGGTGATCTGCGGTGGGTACTGACTACGTCAGTACGACACCTTTCTATGGCGTCGTCAAATCCATTCTTGTTTGACATGTTCTGATAGTTTCTTGCAGTATCGGGTTTGTTGAAGAGTGCCAATGGCTCAGCTCAATTTAGCATGAGATTCAAATCACAAACCCAATAGCCTCGAGACTAAGAGTTTGTTTTTGGTGATACTATCAATGAGCTCAGTAATTCCTATATGCTCATCCTTTCCATGGGCAACGAGAATGCTCCCTGGGCCGTATAACACCTTCTTATGTGAGCCGCGTAGACGCGGAATATCTGTCCCATATGATACAGGTGCAGATTCAAATCCTTCCATGTCCCAGTCCAGAAATGTTTCGTTGTACTCAAAGAGGAACTTGACCTCCACATCCGGGTGTTTGTTGACAGTTTCGCTGACCAGCTGTTTGATTCCGGGGGCATCCGTAGCTACGCGGATGCCACAAAGTGCTTTTGCAGACCCGGCGAGGATGTTGTAGCCCTCTCCTCCCTCAATCTTGCCCATGTTGAAAGTCGATGGCCCAAGGACATCCGAGGAAGGCCAAGTAACACTTTCGAGATCAAGGAGAGCTTTGAGTAAAGCTGATATTGCGTTTTTGCCGCGATCAGGGTACCCCGAGTGACTAGACAGCATGTTAGAGGACCAAGATCTAAGAACAGGTATGTAAGGCCAACAAACGTACCAGGGTTTCCCGAGAGAACTAATCTCAAAGACTATATGCCCCTTGTGCCCCTTGGCCAGTTTACCTTCCGTAGGTTCGCCAAATAGTCCAGCCTCCCATTCGAGGCCCATGTCATTGGCTGCAATCATTCCCGGTCCACCCTTTTCCTCTCCAACAACGTATAGAAAGCTGACGTCGCCTTCCTTGATCTTCCCTTCGGTTCGCAGTTCCTCAATAGCTAACAACTGCGAGACTAGGGGACCCAGATCATCGCAGGCTCCTCGGCCTCGAATAATGTCTTCCTCAATGCTGAAAGGAATGTGTGGGGGGACAGTGTCCATGTGCGATGTTACAAGAAGTCGGTTCTTTCTCTGTTTGCCGAGGTATGCATAGACGTTGTGCCTTGTCGAGCCGGTTGAAATCGCGATCCTTTCAACAGTGTAGCCAAGTTTTTCCAAATGATCCGCAAGGAATATCCCAATTTCGAGTTCCTTTTCGCTAGTACTGTCAATCTCTATGAGAGACTGCAGCAATCTGACTGCTGGGTGAGATGCTGCGTCTGCCATGATCATCAAGAAGTTGGTCAATCGCAATCGACTCTCTGCCGCCTTGATCTCGTAGGTTGAGCAATTGCAAGGGCAAGCGCAGCAAGTCCAAGGACTGTAAAGGATTTTCAATAATGAGTCTACGTCATGTTCAATCGGATGCAAAACCGAATGCAAATAATAGAGTGCTGAGTCATCAGAGTCAGTAGCGGGTAATCTGTAGCAATATGATGGATCGGCTCGATATGACGCGCCGATCGTTGAACAGCAGGGCCTGACAGCTTGTATGACCCGGCGTTAATTGCCGTGTGGCTTATTTCAGTGCTGGTAGTAGCGGGCCACTGGTCCGGCCTCTCGGGTAGGTGCCGGCACTAGCCTATCGCTCGCTGCCCGCCCTGATAAGTGAGTCCGCTTGTCGTGTAGGGCACTTGGAACCCATTGATGCGCAAATGGTTTAAGCTGGAAATGTGACCTGCAATTGTACCTGGTCTCGGTGTATGAAAGCGAGTGCTGCAACAATCGCTGTGAGAAATGGGTGAATGTATAGTTGCGGAAAAGCCGACGGTGCTCCTGGTCGAGTCCTCGGTTCGGGGAGAGGATCCAGCAAACTGGAATCAAGTCCTTTCGAAATTCAATGTCATCCGCTACGATTGCAAGAACGTTGACGAATTTTGCGAGCGACTGGCACCCGGACAGGCGTACTCAAACATCGCTGCAATACTCCGGACAGGATGGCTGAAAGCGGGAACCTATGCTCATCATCGTCTCTTCGCGGGCAAGGCAGTCGATCTATACCCTGCTTCTCTCAAGTTGATCACATGTAGTGGCCATGGCTACGATGCGGCCGATATTGACGCCCTGTCTCGTAGAGGAATTTCCTATGCCAATACACCCAATACCTGCACCGAGGCCGTCGCCAACACAGCCCTGCACCTTATTCTCAACACCTATCGCTACTTTACACTGGCTGAACACTATACTCGTACCGATCAATGGTCCTCCAGCCGGGAGATTGGAACAATGGCCATTGAGCCTTGCGGTCAGGTGCTTGGAGTGGTCGGCTTGGGCGATATCGGTATGGCCATTGCGAAGAAGGCGGCGTACGCTCTGGATATGAAGATTCACTACCACAACCGCAAGCCGAGGTCAGACGCCGCCAACATATTGCCGGGAGGGGCGGTCTATCATGATTCTATGGAATCTCTCCTAGATGTGGTAGATTGTTTGTGCTTGGCTTGCCCTCTTACACCAGATACGGAGAACATCATCTCTTCTTCTACACTGGGACGTTTGGGCGATAGGAAGATCAGAATCGTCAACATTGCGAGAGGTGGACTGATTGATGAGGATGCACTCTTGGCCGCGATGCAATCTGGCAGTGTGATTGGCGTTGGGCTAGACGTGCATGCAAACGAACCCGGGATCAACCCAAAGCTGCGCGACAACTACAGAACAACGGTGCTGCCTCATATCGGCGTCGCTTCAAGGACAACGTGGGGACAATTCGATGAAGTTAATATTCGGAATTTGGACGAGTTCTTCTTTGGCAGCAAAGACAATGTTACTATTGTAAATCGAAGCTAGTGACACGAAACAATGGATGGGGGTAGTCGTGCTACCATTTCAAAAATGCAGGGTATATTCCAACGCCAAGAGAGGTATCGCTTTTATACGCCAGGTGTGAATGAAAGATCGCCGTTGAAAAGGTTGTTGGTGTTATCCCAAGCAAGCGACCAAGCTCCATCCTCGCCATCGAAAATGTGAAACGCATCTGGGCTCCAAGTGCGGTTATCGGAGCTGCTTAAAAAGTCCTGAATGAATGGGTCATTCAAGGGAGCAGCATTGCGTATTTCTGCAACTCCGGTGTTTGGTTCTCGTGGGATGCTTACACTGCCGCGACTATTACTCCTAGGGCTCAGGTGGGCTGCGTCGCTCCGCTTGATATTTGCTGCAAAGGTACCTGACGGTGTGATGTAACCCCTTCGAGGCCCGGAGAATTGCGGTGCTGTCTTTTGGAGCTCATCGACATCTTTTTGTAGGGAAAGAAGCCTCTCGTACATTTCCTGGGCCGGCAAGTTGCCATCTTCCACCATGCTTTGCAGTAGAGCGAGCGAGACAGTGATCGTGTCCGCGTCAAACTCGTTGGCCCTCAAAGTATTAGAAATAAGGAGGACTACGGCAGACGAAAACGTGTAGTGAGCGTCGAAGTAGCCAAATTTGGCAATTCTACCATCTATCCACAACTGGGAGAGCAGATTCGCCGACGCCCTTGCAGCGTATATACAAGCCTCACTCAGGGCAATAGCCATTGCGGATAGAGGTCTGGTTGGTTGTGACGCCGTTTGCGACAGGATTGGCTTGATATGATAGTTGAGAACATGAAGTAGGACTGGTCTGGTAGTGAGGATGATACACTGATTGAAATGCAGCCGAAGTGAAGCAACAGAGCGCGATCCGTAGGTGGGGAATCTGTCGTAGTCAAGCTTAAGATCCGGACAAAGCTCAGTGTCCCATTGTTTGAGATTGTTGAGAATCTGGTGGACATTGCTGATAAAATTCTTTGTCTTTGCGAGCCCAGACCCGTAAATGAGGCTCATGATGGAGCCTGTGATACGTGAGAGCTTGATGTTGGCAAGCAACTGTCGAGCATCCATAAAATCATCCAGCTCCTCTGTCGTGAGGCCATTGGACGATGGGAGAGGAGCATCAATATCCTCATCTCGAATCATGATGGGGTGTCCCAGCTTTGCGCTGCAAAGTCGTTCAAATGTGTAGACAGTCCACCAGACGCGGCGGCGATTCTCGATTTCGGCTGGGCTTATGCCAGGTTCATAAGTAATATTTCGATGCAACCCAATCGAAACGCTGAGACGTAATGCCAAACCGGTATAGGTGTAGGCGTTATTCTTTCGGTTCAAGGCATGCGAGTAGAATGACTAGGGACGAATCAGCTTGACCACGGTTACACATAGATATTGGGGTATCTTACCAACAACAGCAATGTTTCAATGTACTCTACGTCTGGTTCTTCATAATGTTCCTCAAAGTATGTGACCGCCTGAAGGAAGAAGGTGGTACCCGGAACAGTCCTCGAACCATCCTCTACAATCTCTGATCTCTTGAGGTACAGTTCGCCGAGAGCCAGGACGACGAAAAGCCGGCAGAGTGATATGGAGTTGGCTCCTTGTACGTCATCGTAAATCTGGTCCACTTTGGCAAAGTATGATCTCTTGCGGAGTAGGTGGTAATCTTTGCCAATAAAGTTGATGACAGTCTGCACGAGGAAGCGGGCATACGCGCGGCTTGGTAGGTTATGGCGAGAATGATGGGTGCGCTGCAAATCAGTATGCTTGAATACAGGAATAACAGCCGGAGAGACTACTTGATTTCCGCGAAGATGGCCACCAAGCCGAGCGGCAAATGCTGTACACGCGGCACCGCCGACGTATACTGGCCGCGAGGAGATGCCGTTGTCACGAATGGATATCCGGTCTTCGAGCAACGGCTTGGCTACATTTGCGGTGGCTCGATCCTCATCACGATTGTCGTCATCGGTTTGTGCTTCCAAAGCTTCAGGTAGAATGCCATTGCCGTCAACGCTCCTAGCAGCTCCCGTATTATCAACAGTAGAACGTGGTGATGCCGATGCGGACAATTTGCGCTTCCTGAGCTTGTCGTTTTCTGCTTGCATCTGTTCAATGTAGCTTGAAAAGTTGTCAGCATATTGCATTTCGTAGCAGCGGGTATCATGTCATTGATCAACGGAACGGCCGATGTAAACCCACCTTTCTAGAACTATGACCTTTCGTTCGCGAACGGGATACGTGCAGTTGTGGGCATTATCCGACCTCAAACAGCCCCGACAAGGCTTCTCCCCGGTGCATTTCGTCTTCTGGACATGGCAACGACTATGGGACAGTTAGTAAATCAGTCTGTATGACAGGATCAGGCCACCTACTTGCATGCTTTGAAGCTCCGCTTGAGTCGTTTTGCTGGAGACGGAGAGGCCTCGTCGATGTTGGTGAATGGTGTAGCCATTGGGCGTGTAATGCTACAACGGGGCAGTCCCGGTGCCCCGCATTCCAGCTCGGACGTGTCCCGAACCGTGGGGTTTAGCAGTAAAGACGCAGGTACCCAGGTAAAGCTCTGCGCAACTCTGATTTATACCCTGGAAGACTTGTTCTCACTCAATTGGAAAAGAACTTGAGCACCAGTCAGCAGAAAATGGATCAAGTAAAGAGATGATCGTTTGAAGTGAAAGATACGAATTGAGACAAGATGTAACAAGAGTCGATTACCTAGCTTGATGTGGTATAGGTATCAGCAAGGTATCATTCATCCTTATCAGGGTTATCTCCAGCTTGATTACAGTGCATTACTAGTGCTTTTCAACCCCAGCGAGGGCACCTCTAGCGCTCCCCGCGGGCCGTTGACCCTATCCACCCGTGCTACAGAGTCCACTACAAACCAACTACAAGGAATACCTGAAATACACATCCATGTCGCCAAGTTCTGGCCTCTGTGGCAGTGGTGTACCGTTGGCCTCTGCCTCTCTCAGTCTAGCATCACGTCTCTTATTCACGAGATGCATTCCAATCATCAAAGCGGCGACGGCACCCAAGGCGACAGCAGCAAGACCCATGGCGATCGAGAGCCCCGTGATATAACGGGGAGAATCCTCCGTGGTAAAGATCTGGCCCACGGCCACACCAGCAGTGTTTCCGAGCGTCAAAGTGGCCCCAACCATTGTTGCTCGCTTGAAGTGACGCGCAACATTGTCGCTCAGCCACATGATGCTCATACCAGTCGTTGGATAGACTCCCATGACGACAACTAGGTAGGACTGTTAGTCATTGTCCTTGGTTGATGGCTAGGCCAGACTTACTAAAGCAAGCAAAGTACCGAACTTGTACGCTCTCTACGGAAATCAACAAGGCATAACCAATAATTAGGCACAATAGAGGACCCCCGATCCAAAACCCGCGGTTGCGCTGCTTGTCCGACATGTAGGCCGTGAAAATGAACGTGATCAGTCCCCAGAAGTACACTGGTACGGTCAGGAGATTTGCCTGGACTGAGGTGTAGCCGAGACCTTTAATGATTGCTGGCAAAAATGTCGTGAACCCGTACAGCGAGATGTCAACCGCGAATTGGAAAATGAAGCTGTCTATGATTAGTATTCTTTGAACAACATTCGCCATGTTCAAGTTACATACTGAGCGAAGAACTTTGGGTCTGTGAGAGCTGCAATGACTGCGTCCCAGCTAAAAGTGTCGTCAATTCCCCAGTGTTGGTCTTGCTCGTAACGCAACTTCATCATCTGCTTTTCCTCGGCAGTGAGAAATTTGGCAGTGGTTGGTGACTCTGGGAATAGAAAGAAGAATACAGGGCAAATGAGAATTGTCATTATACCTTCAATGATGAACAAGGCTCTCCATGACCTAAAGTACGAGTTGGACTCGATCTGGGTGAGACCATAGGCGAATAAACCACCAAAGGCACTTGCGAGAGCACTGAAGGCGAAAATTACTGAAGATCTGCAAGCGGTCAGTCATTGCAAGAGGCCATTGCAATCATCGGTGCAACCTGCCTTTTTCCACGTTCTGACTTTTTGTAAATCATGCCAAGGTAAACGTTGATGCAGGGTATCAATCCTGCCTCGAAGAAGCCCGTCAAAAGACGGCATGCGTACAAGCCTTGATAATTCTGGACGAACCCAGTAGCTAGGCAGACAGCTCCCCTGCGATGCTATGTGAGCGTCATGGAAATTGGAATGGCAGATTTATATTTGGGTCCAGAACATACCAAGCAAAACAACAAAATGTCAAGAGGTATTTCGGTCCAATTATCTTCAATAATACTGCGACCGGGCCTTCAAAGGGAACGTAGGTAGCGTATAGCAGAGTGACGGCTGTACCATATTGATTACCGACCAGGCCAATATCTGTGCCGATTCCAGCAGTTTGGGCATTGCCAATGTTACTCCTGAGTTATGGTATAAGTTTATGCGTCTTTCGATTCAGGGACTTTTTGGTACGTGCCTGTCCAGGTTCGCAAGCATGTACAGGACTCCGAGAAGCCCAACCGCGTATATCTGTTGAAACAATATTAGAATGAATGCCAGTGGTAAGAATGGTTATAATAAAGAAGAAATTCAAAAGGAGAAAATGAACAAATACCACGACTTACATCGAACTTTCGCATCATCTTCGCCTCCTTTACAGGGTCAATATACGTGCCGACATCGCCAATACTGCCCTCGCCAGTGCTGGCGGGGTGAGCTGCGATAGTTTTGGTGTCATTCTTCACCTCCATTGCGCAATTCAACGGTGCTGGACTTGAGGCTGAGGAATTGTAAATGTCGCGATGGACACCAATTGGTGCTCATGGTGTTCTTGTGGTTACTTTTGTCGAGATTTATTGTATTATTACATACATCAATACCTTATCAACCTCCCTATCGTCCCCTTGTTGGGACTGATACATGAGTCGTTGGTCCACCTTGCCGATAAGCCGCCAGCAGTGGGTACCCGCATAGGGCCATGCGCCGATCGATGCCGAGTATGAGCTGATGCGTCTTATCTTACAGTCGGTTGAGATATTACATCCCGATCAGGGAGTCTAACAATTCGTATTGAATTGCGCCTGTACTTCATACAGTATCGTGGATAGGGATCGGTCTGGTGCGATGAAAGTCCGCCTGGCCAGTGCATTGGCAGCCTTTGACCTACCTTTGATCACGGGACCTTGTAAGTAAATATAGACAGACCAAGAATACACAGTATGATGAATGCCAATAATCCCTTGCCTCCTTTTACCGTTCGCATCACAACTTTCACTCAAAATGCCTGCAATATTGGACGAAGGCATCAGGGTTGCCATTGACCGGGGTGGGACATTTTGTGACTTGTAGGTAAACCTAAAACGACGTTTCGACAACAAGTTAACAAATTCATTAGTTGGGCGCAAATTCCTGGCCAAGAAGATGACCTCGTCTTCAAACTGCTGTCTGTCTGTCCAGACGAATACCCAGATGCCCCAACAGAGGGAATTCGTCAAATTCTGGAAAAGGCCACGGGGAAATCTATACCAAAAGGATCGCTGCTGGATCTCACTCCTATAGAAAGCATACGTATGGGGACAACGGTCGCCACGAATGCCCTTTTGGAACGAAAGGGGGAAAGAACAGCCTTGCTGATCACAAAGGGTTTCGCTGACCTTTTGATCATCGGCAACCAAGCCCGACCCAAGATTTTTGACCTGTCTGTACAAAAGCTGGGCAAGCTTTATGAAAAGACAATTGAGATCGATGAGCGTGTCACTGTGGAGGGCTTCTCTGAGGACCCCGATCCCGAGCCAATCGACGTCAACAGTGACCCATCTCTAGTAAAGGGACTATCAGGGGAGCCGCTTCGCATACTGAAACAACCAGATCTAGCCGTTGTCAGGACGAGCCTGGAGCAGCTTTGGGCAGAAGGGTTTCGCAGCATAGCTGTTGCGTTGATGCATTCTTACAACTTTCCGAATCATGAACTCCAAATTGGCGAGCTTGCACGAGAGATGGGCTTCAAGGTATCACTTTCTTCCCAACTACAAAGCATGATCAAACTTGTCCCTCGTGCACAATCTGCAGTAGCCGACGCGTATCTATCACCTATCACAGCAGAATACCTGGATCAGTTTCGACGAGGTTTCAAAGGTCATCTGGAGGACGAACAAAGCAACAAGTTGTTCCTATCGCAATCTCATGGTGGACTGGTCAAGCACACAGAGTTCACTGGTTTACGAGCCATTTTGTCTGGTCCAGCCGGTGGCGTCATCGGATTCGCAAAGACTTGCTACGACCCTAACGAAGGAACAGCAGTTCTTGGTTTCGACATGGGAGGGACAAGTACCGATGTATCACGTTACGGCGGCACATTGGAACACGTTTTTGAGAGCACTACCGCGGAGATTTCGATCCAGAGTCCTCAACTCGACGTGAACACGGTAGCCGCCGGAGGTGGCTCTATTCTGCAATGGAGCAATGGTCTGTTCAAGGTCGGCCCAGAGTCTGCTGGCGCAAACCCAGGTCCCGTATGTTATGGAAATGGGGGACCTCTCACCATAACGGACGCCAACTGCTTCCTGGGTCGAGTACTGCCCGATTATTTTCCCCGCAAGCTTCACTTTGATCGCGTGGCGAAAGAATTTGAAAAGCTCACGGATCTTGTGAATGAGGAAAAGCACGGATCAGATCGGCTCACGCCAGAGCAGGTTGCAATGGGCTTCATTGATGTCGCCAACGCGACCATGGCGAGACCGATTCGTAGCCTCAGCGAAGGCAAGGGATTTGAAACTGCTTCGCATAATCTTGCTTGCTTTGGTGGTGCTGGAGGCCAGCACGCGGTCGCAATTGCAAGAGACTTGGGAATCCGCCGAGTCCTCATCCATCGACTGTCCAGTATCCTTTCAGCGTTCGGCATGGCATTGGCTGACATAGTTGTCGAGAAGCAAGACCCAGAGGCGCTAGTGTACGGACCGGAAGCAGGCGACCATATCTCTCAAAGGTTCCAGTCTCTTGAGGACAAAGCTGTAATGGAATTGGAGGCACAGGGCATCGCAAAGCAGCGTGTTCATCATGAATTCTTCCTGAATATGAGGTACAGAGGCAGCGACACCGCTCTCATGATTGAACAACCCGAGAATCGCGACTTTGAGGCTGCATTTGTAGACCGTCATCTGCGCGAGTTCGGATTCGTTCAGCATCGCGACATTCTTGTCGACGACGTGCGCGTGAGAAGTGTTGGCAAGGCAATGGACATTCCACTGAAGAGCCCGTATGAAAAGATCAATGATTGGGAATCTTTTCCTTATCTTGACCCTTCTACAGCAAAGTCTTCGCGGAAAGTATACTTTGGGGCTACTGGCTGGACCGATGCAGCCGTCTTTCATATTTCTGCCCTACCAAAGTACACCAAAGTCAGAGGACCTGCGATTGCGGTTGACGCGACACAGACCATTCTTATTGAAGAAGACAGCGAAGCTCTAGTTCTCGATGAGCACCTCATTATCGATTTGGTCTCACCTAAGAAACGAGATGTAGATATCAACGAGGTTGACCCCATTCAGCTATCGGTATTTGGACATCGGTTCATGTCTGTAGCAGAGCAGGTAAGTTCAGCAGCTTCGGAGCTACTCGTAGTGCTAATCACCATTGCAGATGGGAAGGACACTGCAGAAGACATCGATTTCAACCAACATCAAGGAACGTCTCGACTTCTCGTGCGCCGTATTCTCTGCATCAGGCGGGCTTGTCGCGAATGCCCCTCATATCCCTGGGCATTTGGGTTCCATGAGCACAGCGATTCGGTATCAAGCCAACAAGTACGCTCCCAATGGGTTGAAGCCCGGCGACGTTATTCTTTCCAATCACCCTTGTGCTGGAGGTACACACTTGCCTGATTTGACCGTGACCACGCCTGTATTCGACGACGACGAAAACCCCACCGAGATTATGTTTTTCGTTGCCAACAGAGGTGAGATTCACATTCATCTGGATTTCGATTGACTACGCTAAATCATGTTTAGGTCATCACGCCGATATTGGCGGCATCCTTGCTGGTTCCATGCCTCCAAATTCGACCGAATTATGGCAGGAAGGAGCTGCTATCGAGTCATTCAAGATGGTCAAGGAGGGCAAATTCGACGAGGAAGGTCTGATAGAAGAGCTCTATGTCAAGCCCGGGCAGTATCCAGGATGCAGCGGGACTCGAACTTTAAAAGACAATATCGCTGACTTGAAGGCTGCCGTGGCTGCAAACAAGCGAGGCATTCACTTGATCCAGGCGCTCGTTCGCGAGTATACTTGGCCCGTTGTTCGCTTTTACATGGACGCAATTCAAAAGAATGCCGAGGAAAGTGTGCGCCAGCTTCTCAAGGACTTTAGCAAGCGCTTTCGAGGGCGTCCACTGAAGGCAGTCGACTACATGGACGATGGCACCCCCCTGGCATTGGAAATTACCATCAATGGCGAGGATGGCTCGGCGAGATTTGACTTTACTGGCACCGGTCCCGAGGCCTTTAACAACCTGGTATGTTTGACGCCAAGTAGGCCGAAAGCACGACTTGCTAACGAAGACAGAATACGCCATCCGCAGTCATGTACTCTGGAATCATTTACTGTCTGAGGTGCATGATTTCAACCGATATACCGCTGAACCAAGGGTGCTTGGCACCAGTAGAGGTATATGTTCCTCCGAACACTCTGCTCTCCCCCAGTCTCCAAGCTGCCACGGTAGGGTCCAACGTCGAGACGTCGCAACGTATTGTAGACCTCATTTTCAAAGCTTTCCGCGCTTGTGCTGCTAGTCAAGGAACTTGCAACAACCTTACATTTGGCTATGGAGGTACAGATGAAAAAGGGAACACGACCAAGGGCTTTGGATTTTACGAGACCATTGCCGGTGGCGCTGGAGCCGGTCCAACCTGGGATGGTCAATCTGGTGTTCACACAAACATCACCAACACGCGTATCACCGACCCAGAAACGATTGAGAAACGCTATCCCGTCATTCTGCGAGAGTTCTCCATTCGAAAAGGAAGCGGCGGTGCAGGATTCCGACGCGGCGGCGATGGCTGCATCAGATCAATTGAACTTTCTCGTCCAATGCAGGTAAGTATCTTGTCGGAGCGTCGCGTAGTGGCTCCGTATGGAATGGCTGGTGGAAGTGATGGTGAAAAGGGCGTCAACCTCTGGATACGCAAAGACTCTGCGACTGGGGAGACGCGTACGATCAGTCTAGGGCCGCGAGCCACGACAATGATGCAACCCGGGGACTCGATCATCATCAAGACACCCGGCGGCGGTGGTTATGGCCCAGATCCCTATGCTGTCGAAGAGTTTGTCCCACCTGAGGAATTGGAAATCATGCGCGCCGCAAGAAAGAACCCCATTTATGGTGCTTCAATCCCCCGCGCGAATGGGAGTGTGAGTCAAAGAGAAGCAATGGGAGCATCCACCTAGTTAATACATGCCATGAAAAAATATCACTTGGAGGCTCTGAATTGCCGGACTAAATATTTGTAACAATAAATTATCATCGCCTCTGGAGTCCTACAACAAAACATTGCCCGACCGAACAATTATGGGGTTCACCAGTCACTACATACTTATTTCCCCGTAATTAGGACCTACAACCACTGGGTTCATGGATTTGACATCCCATAACCCCATTAAGTCTTGGGCAGAGGGAAGTCGATCTAGGTTATAATGCTTCCACCATCCATCTTACACCTAAAGAATTTCCCAAATGATATCCATACTGGGTTTCCGTATTTCATGCTCGGCTCAGGTCGGCTTTTCATTACAAATATGTTACATGTTGATTCGTCGTTTGTAGTAGAACTTTGGCTATTGTAAAGGGTTCACATACTAATCAATAGCACCTCCAAGGTTTGGCTGTCAGCACTACTATTAGGTACACAGTATCTACTAGGTAGGTACCTTGTGTACAGGTATGTACTAGGTGCAAGTCCCCCAAGTTTTCCACTATTGTACGAGGTATGCAATACCTGTAATTGGGCAATAATACCCACCATCCTAATACAATAGTTGCCCGTTAGGCCAACCCGGCCCCTCCGTGAGCGCTACATGCCAGGTTACGGCAGGTACATATGCAAATACCTCTGTACCGACTTTGGTGCTTACAGATACTCACGTCTAAGAGTCGGCCATGCTTATGCCAGTAAAATGCGCGAATTGAACAAAGTAGTAGAATGCACGTGGAGCATTTCTAAGCACAGCATTTGTCCGCGACACGTCGGCCTCGTCAGGTACTCGCGAGAGCCGACACAGACATTGCGCACACAAGCGGTTCCGCCATCGCTTCATTGGTGCGTGAGAAGGTTGGCCTCTTCAAATATTAGTAGAAATGCATTGCATTTCAATGGCGCTCCATTGATCTTCTTGTCATGGTCAGTATCGAAGCGGTCGTTCAAGACACAATGTCAAGACTCAAGTATGATAATGTCATTGTATTTGGACCAACCGGCGATGTTGGTGGTGTTGTTGCTCAGGAAGCCTCCCGACGTGGTGCCAGAGTGTGGCTAGCTATGCGACGAATCAATGCCACCATCACTGCAATCAGCGAGCAAGACGAAAAAACGGAAAATTCCATCGCATCGAGGCAGATCTTTCTGATCCAAAGTCAGTCGAAAGAGCAGTGAAGGAATCAAAAGCAAAAGCTGCCTTCGTATATCGTGTCCAGACTGGCGACGCTCTCGAGAGCAGTTTTAGAGCTATGCAGTCGGGCGGAATAGAATATGTGGTTTTCCTCTCCTCATTCAACGTGAAACCGGAGCAAGATCTACGCCGGATCACGACCGACGATTTTATAGCCCATGTGCATGCTCAGGTGGAGATCAAGCTTGAGGACCTCAACATTTCCCATGTTGCACTGCGACCCGGAATGTTTGCGAGCAAGCCATTCAAGCAGGACCTCGATACAACAAAGACTCCATGGGAAGCCAGTGTCACATATGGAGATATACTCGAAGATTCTGTGTCGCCGGCTGACGTTGGGCGTGTCGGTGGCGCTGTTTTGGTTGAACGACCATCTATATCGTCCAAGGAAGCTATTTATTTGTGTGGACCACAACTCTTGACACTGAATCAGTTATGGGAGACAGTCATTGGGACTTCTGGACGCGAGATCAAGATTGTTCGTCCGACACTGGAAGAGAAGATTGCCGAGTTGACTGGGAAAGGCTTTCCGGCCCCTTTGGCGAAGAATCTTGTTCAGGGAATGGCCCAACGGAGGCATGTCAGCTTATATCCTGAGCCATTCTATACGCAAGCGGTGGAGAATATTGCAAAGTATTCGGGCGGCAAGCCAACCTCTTTTGCAGATTATGTGGCTAGCCAATACCTCGGATGAGAATGGCCCATGGTACTCTGTACGTAGGCACATGTACAGCTTGAACATCAATCGACCTGTACTTGCAGATTCGTAATTCATCTTGAACTTCAATAAAACCACTGATATTTGCTTGCGTTGTCCAGCGCAGCGACGTACTAGGTAGGTACGAGTTATGTGGCAGAGGCACTAAAACATACAGGCAAGGTCATCGCTTACAGGCGCAAGCCCACTACCTATACGAGCATATATGTAGGTACCTTAACGCAGACAGCGCCTCAGACTTGCGCACTATTGGAAACTTCATGCCCGCTAAATGCCACCAAATCACCCCCGCGCTTACGGTAGGTATGCAAGTATGACTTCAATACAAGGCGATGTTGGTGCGCGCGCGATCCTTCCATTAAAGTGGGGGCGTGACACGAGTAGATTTCTTGACCGTTGGAATAGAATTTCGTCGAAACTTGACACGAGAAAGAAAATCATTCTCCTTCTAATTGGATTTTCTTGACCATTTCTATTTCGGCTGATTCTGTAATCACTTTTTCCACGTTGTCTGAACATGACTATAACGGGCCTGAGTTCGCTCCACTGCGAGCACTTTATTCCCAGTGCTGAGACTCCCGCATTGGGCTTTACTCGCTGGTCTGACACCAACATTGATCGACCGTCTTTGGTTGTCATTCCAGAAAATGAGGCAGACGTTCAGGCTGCCATGGGTCTAGCAAGAACCAATCACCTCATCATTGTCACTGGTGGTGGCGGTCATGGAACTTATGTGCCTGTTGGGCCCAAGAACTTATACTTGGACATGAGAAAGTTCCAGACTATCCTCCTGGACAAGGCAAGATGCACTGTACGCATCGGTGGCGGCGTAGTGACCGGGGATTTGCTCAAGTCCCTGGCTTTGGATGGCTATTATACTGCTCTGCCAAATTCTAATGCCGTGGGTGTAGTTGGCTGTGTCCTTGGGGCAGGCAGCACACCGTTGAACGGTCTGCATGGGGTTATGGCTGACATGGTGCAATCATTTCGTATCGTTGTCTCCGAGGACTCCGTCATTGAGGTTAAAGCATCTTCCACTGGGGAACATTTGTCCCTCTTCAACGCTCTTTGTGGCGCTGGCCACGGACTCGGCGTTGTGACGGCCATTACAACGTCTGCATATCCTATATCTAGTCTCAACATGACGGATGACAAGATCTGCATACGTTCACTTATGTTCCCACCTACATCTATCGAAACGGCCGTGCGGGCATTTCTGGACCTTTCACGACCGTCGCCGAAAGTGAGCAACACACTTACATTCTTGCGCATTCCGGTAAGTGGTTCTGCGAACGGTGTACCAGTCATTGCTATAGGTAGTACATGTTTCGGATCGCTCCGGGATGCCAAGGATGAATCGAGCGCGCTGTATTCCGAAAGATTTGTAGAAGTGTCTTCAAAAGCAGGCACAGATATGGTACCAATGGAGCACCTCAATGACCGCTTCGAGCCTCAGAATAAGCATGGTGGACACAAAGCGATTGCATCATGTCGACTCAAGGCCATCGACGTGGAAACAATAACCACGGCTTTTGAAAGTTGGCTGTCGGTAACGGAGAGAGTTCCTGGTGCCTGGCGAAGCATCGTCGCGATATCGCGCTTCAACAGCACCAGGCATAAGGAGTTGGGGGCCGGTATTGGTGGTGATAGGTTCATTGAAAGTCGCGATAGAGACTTTTCTGCCATGACTATTGTCATGTGCAATGACGCGGCGGGATTAGACGCCATGACGGACTATATGACCAATTTCGTTCGTATGATGCGTGCAGGGGATGCGAGTAGTACACCGAGAAGTTTTCCAAACAACCTGAGATTTGGCATCGACTTGGAGGAGATGTTTGACAAACACAAGCTGGCCGAGCTCAGGCGTATCAAGCATATATGGGACCCGCAGGGCATTTTCTGGAGCCCGTTTATGAGCGACCCTGCGTAGGATATTGGCTTTATAAAACTGCATTCACTTGTCACAGGGACCTGGGATGGTCTTGAGATTTCTGTTTGCAATTGATACTCTTCCAGATGGTGCATTCCGACTTCGGGTGCAATGGTCAACTTGTCTTCCCCTCGAAGGGCGTGATGGGACGAGCCTAGGTAACCGTAGGTTAGAATCCAGAGAGTTTACCACTAGGATGGTGGGGACGGAACTGGATCCGTGTTGACAATTCCACCCCTAGCTACAGGCTTATTTGGGATGCATTTACGTATATCACCCATGACACAAAGTTTGACAAATGATGGTCATTCTTCACGATCATTTCATTCTTTCCAGAGCATAATTGCGACAATGACAACCAGAAAACCAGCCAGCAAAGATGGGCATGTTCTCATCATCGGAGCGGGAGTGTTTGGGCTCACAACTGCTCTGGAACTGAAAAAGCGCGACTATGCTCATGTTACGGTTTTAGATCGTCATCTCCCGCCAGTTCTTGATGGGAGTAGTGTCGATATTTCGCGAGTAATCCGCACCGACTACGCGGATCCTCTCTACGGACAAATGGCGAGAGAAGCGTATGACGGCTGGATGGGCGAGTTCAAAAATTACTACCATCACTCGGGCTTTGTGATGCTCGCGAATCAGCCTGGGCATGCATACCTCGAAAAGAGCAAAGAGCTCAACGAAGCCTTGGGGCAACCACTAGACGTATTTAACCAAGCTAGCGATGTTCTTCAACTTTACCCAAATATTCAGGCCAACTTGAGGGGACTCAAGGCATACCATAACCACAAGGGAGGGTGGGCGGACGCTAGCGCCAGTATTCGTCACTTGAGCTTGGAATGCAGTCGCCTTGGTGTTTCTTTCATTACGGGTTCTCGAGGGACTGTTGTGTCTCTCAAATATGCTGGAAAGCGTGTAGTCGGCGTCAATGTTGCACATGGTGATCCGATCCGGGCATCACAGGTCATCATTGCAGCTGGTGCCTGGTCAAACACCTTGATTCCCATAACTCATGCGACAACTGCGTCTGGCCAGCCTGTGGGATTCATTCAATTGACGAGCAAAGAGTCAGACGAGTTGAAAGACACACCAGTCATAATTAACCTCAGTACCGGCATGTTCTGCTTCCCTCCGACCCCTCAGAGTAACATTCTCAAGCTTGCTCGACACGGTTATGGCTGGGCTACACAACAGGAAGGAGGTGCAGATGAATCAGGAAGGTCTCAATTGGTGTCAGCCCCTAAGCGCGATGGAAACAATGTGGACGCCTCATACCTCCCGGTAGATGCCGAAGAGGCTCTACGTGAGGGACTCCGGCAGCTGCTGCCTAAATTTGCGAACCATCCATGGATGAACCGTCGATTATGCTGGTACTCGGATACTCGACAAGGTGATTTCATCATTGACCACCATCCTCGAATTGAGGGCTTGTTCCTAGCTACTGGTGGTGCGGGACAGTAAGTTGACTAGCAATCACATCTATCCCTTCTTTGCGGTTAGAAGCTAACGGAAGGATCAGTGCCTTCAAGTTTCTACCTGTCTTGGGGCATTATATCGTCGACTGTTACGAGAATAAAGCTTCGTCGGATATCAGACAAAAGTGGAGACTAGATGATGGGAACGGGTTACAAGAAGGAAGCATGGCAGGAGACGGGAGCCGGGGCGGTCCCCCATTACGGGTTCTCAGACGGGACGAGCAGGCAAAATTGTAGGAGATCGAGGGGCTGTGGTTGTTCTGTGATAAAAAGATGTTGAAGAGTAAATACAATATATGTAGGTGCTCAACATGATTCATTTGTTGACAGGGGACATTTTTAGATTGCCATATCAGAATGGTAGCTTGCAGTCCTGCTACATCATGCATCATGAAAGTAAGTAATTCCACTTCAATAATCTGACTTGTGAGCATGACTCCAAAGCCTCAAGAGTGGCCCTTCTTTTCCATACACAGGGTCCGTGGTAGGGCATTTGACGTTTGATATAATATTGAGAAAGACTTCTGGTGGCGACTTTCCAGTTTCGTTGCTCCATTTAGGACAATCCTATAAGGTTGATCGGAGGTCAGTCAATGCATGTATCATCATGAATGTCATTTCAGGATATTTACGCAAGGATAAACGCCAATATAACGATAGTCCGGAGAACTAGTGATTGACGAATGTGCTGTCCCGGCCGGAAGTACCACGACATCACCAGCCTCCACGTCGACCTTTAGACCAGTGCCATCACCATTATCCATACTGCCGAGGAGCAGAGTTGAAGTACCTTGAAATATACCTGCTTCTGAATCAATCGTGTGTCCTTGAAGGTGTGATTCGGTGTCGAATACCATAACACTCATGACTGTTCGGATGAAAGTGACGTATACTGATATGTCCCCATGTTCCCTGAGAGTTATCAGTAGACGATTCCACCCTTGCATTCATTTGATTGCATATTTTTCACCCACCCTCTTTTCCCAATTATTAGCAGTGAGAAATGAGGTAGTTCCTTCTTCTGTTGTAGGTCTTGGCAGTACGTTTCGATAGTGAAGCACGGGCAGGTTGTTATTGGGTGCGTCCCGCGTCGGCTCGAAAAAGTAGCAGCTAACTTGGGAAGGCATATTGAGATTCATGACTAATGCGGAGTTCTTGTCTCCAATTCGATTGGTAAAAGGACCAAACGAGCCTCCTTTTTGTGAGGATTCCTCCAGCACGGTCATTTCTCTTCTGCTCTTCCCGCCAAGGATAACTCCAAATCTTATCAGGCGGCACACGGTCCGTTTCCGTCTTCCGGGGACCCAGGCACGCTACGCTATTTCGTATCTCCCGGAATTCTTTAGTATCCATGGCCGCCACTGCACTGGGGTTGCCTTGGTCCAGCTAATCTTTACGCAGCTATCTTTGTTTTATCATATCCGCGGGTCTTCATCGGTTGCTCGGAAGAATGTTATCAGCGCTAAGCTCTACCGGCTGTTGTGGCAGGGAGATAAGCGTGCGGAGTATACTTGGGATTGTATTCATATCCAACCGCTTCATCCTATTTTGCATTCAATCGATGTCTCGCTACTTCAATCAAAGTGATTTGTTTCTCATTTAGAACGCTCGAATATCCAAACCACCATCATGAACGACTGCAAGCAGTCCCATCGAGACAATGAAGTCCCCCACGATGAAAAGGACGAAATGGAGAAGATCAAGCCTAGGGAAAGTCGTGGTGTCGGAAGTATGGTTGATCTGGGTGTCAATCCGGTACATGGTGACTTGAATCTTGTTTTCGTTGAACAAGCAATCGAAAGGATCGGCATGGGCGCTTTTCAGTGGAAGCTTGCTTTTACATGTGCCTTTGGATTCATTGTCGATCAAGTAAGCCCACTGTTCTGCACAATGTGATCTATCTACTGATTGGAAAGATGCTCTTAGTTTCCATCAGTCTTGTACCCACCCAAGCTGCAGCCGAATTCGGTCCAGAATACTCGACACTAATTTCTCCTTTCAACTATGCTGGCCTTTTTCTCGGTGCAATCGTCCTCGGACTCCTAGCCGACACAATTGGAAGAAAGCTAGTATGGCAAACTTCCCTATTTGCTGTCTGTATCTTTGTTATGGCAGCTGCGGGTTCTCCTTCCTGGGGTGCGCTCACGGGCTTCGTGACGATATACGGCTTCTTTGCCGGTGGCAATCGTGAGATTTTCAAATTTCTTTTCTTTTCTTATGAAGCAAACACTGATACTCTCCTCCTCCTCCTCTCAGTTGCCATTGACTTGACCCTACTCGCCGAGTGTTTACCTGCGCGATTCTCATTTTTGCTTACCGGAATGGCCGCCGTTTGGGGCCTGGGCAATGCCATCACAGGGCTGATCGGTATTTATCCAATCTTGACTTCACACAGGCGATTGCTGATAATGATATATATAAAGCTTGGCCTCTGCTTGTCAACTTCAGCTGCAATGGTACAACGCCCGACACGTGTCCCAAGTCAGAGAACATGGGATGGCGCTATCTCTACATCACTCTTGGCGGTCTTTGCCTATTGATGGCCGTTGGAAGAGCTCTGGTACTCAGTGGAAGCGAGTCACCGAAATGGCTGGCATCAAGAGGGCGTATTGAAGAAGCGGTCACTGTGCTCAACCACATTAGCAACACCAATGGGTCCGGGTACCAAGTCACAATGGCACAATTCAATTTGCCCGGAGACGAAGCTCACCACAAGAACATGTCACTGAGGCAGAGTTTGAGTCGCACAAATCAGTTATTCAAGGGCGCACAAAGAGTTCGTCTCATGATCTGCTTAATGCTACTTTGGATGTTGATTGGAATCTGGTAGGTCATCCGAACCCAAGCTGACGCTTTCTAAAGATCATGGGCCTAATGAATATTTGTAGTTACCCTCTTTTTACGATATTTCTCTCCTATTACCTGCAAGCCCATGGCGCACAATTAGGAGATGGTAGCGCATACCAAACGTATCGTGATTGGGCGATAACCTCAGTTGTTGGTATATTCGGTCCAATCTTGAGCATGATCATGGTCGCAGTGCCTTGGCTGCGGTCGCGACGATCTATCGCTATAACGGCTTGTCTGTGTGCGGTCTTTTCCGGAGTTTTCACGATCGTTGTGAATGAAGCACAGAATCTTGCGTTCTCATGCTTGACGGGGTTTTGGTTAAATGCGCTATACTCTATTATCTATTCGTGAGTCTTTTCCTCTCTGTTTCCTTCAAGTTTTCTCTGACACCCTTTTCCAGATATACACCTCAAGCTCTGAGTACCGAGAATCGTGGGTTTGGCAATGGACTGCTGATGGCATGCGGTCGTTTGGCTTCCCTCACTGCTCCCTTTATCGCGACATTTGCGGATGTTACCAGTCCTGTGCCATTGTTTGTATCATGTGGGATGTATGTGGTAATAGGTTTTATTGGACTCTTGCTTCCTGTAGAGACATCAGGTTTCGACCAGGAGATTAGCGCTTGAGGTGATGCCAGTCGGGCCTGATTTAGCTTATCTGCGTGTTGAAATGGGAGCGCAGTCACCTTCATTTCGGGCTTCATGCTCCACTATAGAACTGCATATATATACCTTCCACTGCTCCCATAGATACGTACAGACACCCAATCAACTAATCAATCACTTCACTTACCATAATTTCGTTTATCTCGACGCTGCGACGTACGTTTGGTCTCGAATACATGCTAATGACCCAATACGTTCCATCATAAAATTTGGCGGCCATCGTTTCAAATATAGTGAATGAATCATTGATCAATGATATAACGACTACACTACGGGTTTCTAGAATAAACCTGAAGTATAAAAGGTATTGGGGTTTATGCTAATAGGGGACGGTAGCTTTAAAAAAAGTATTAAGCAATAAGTATCTAAAGGTAAGGGTAATCGAATTAATTTATAAGTATAATCGTTAAAGCGTATTAAATGCTTTATTTATAGGTAAAATAAATGCTTAAATTAATTATTAAGGTAATAATTATTTATATAGGAAATCCTTTTATAATATATATCTATTTATTCCTTTATTAATGTTTTTTAGATTATAATACTAAGCCGATTTTATAGTTTTGGAGTCGATGGAGTTTAATAATTTTAATAATTTAATCGTTTAGATTATTGCTAAAATTATAATTTTATTAAATAGCTGGCTAGCAATTATTAAAAATGGTGGTTCCCGTTTTAACCTGTTTTCGGCTTTCGGTGCTAAGCCCCTTCTTTTTTTTTTAAGCGCTAATATATTTATTTATTTTTATATAAAAGTATATATTCGTAATATTAGCTCCTTTTTTTATATTTTTTATCCTCGAAAGATTTTAAGCTGCTTAAATAAATCGTAATGCCTATGTGCCGTAGTTATTTTATTTTTTTTTATTGTTTTTTTTTTGCTTTATTTATAATATATGTTTATTATATTAAAATTTTTATTAAAAATAACGAAAAAACGAAAAGCTCGTAAATAAATTAAGCTTTTTAATTTTATTAAATTAAACGGTCGTATTATAAATATGCCGTATACACTTTGCTTTAAAAATAAGCGTTTTTGCCGAATAGCGGACGAAAAGTCGATTCGTTATTTAGAGTATATTGCGTATTTTTCCCGGAAATGCGATAATATTTTAGTGGCTTTTACGCTCCGGAAGGTTTTAGATTAATAGCGGAAATTAAAAACCAAAAAAGAAAAAGCAAATAATAATTTTTTAAAACTTTACGAAAAAATAGCTAAGCTTTAATTTTTTTTAGCGGCTATTATTAATCGGTTATTTCGGATTCGGAAAATTAAAGCACGAATAAAGGCTTATAATTCCGAATTATTCGCTCGTAATATAAAGGAATTAAATAAAAAAAATAGGGTTTTTTTTGCTTTTAAAAGTTATAAATATTTCGTAATAAACGATTTTTAATCGTTAAGCATTTTTAACGAGCCCGATTAATCGGTATTCGGTTTCGGAAATAATTTTGTAGATTTTAGTCCTTTTATTAAAGCTAAAAATATTAATTAAAAGCGATATAATTTTTAATATGTTTTTTAGGTTCCTAAATATTTTCCTTAGGTGGGTAATTTTCTTATTTAACGTAGAACTAGTATTTATATCCGACCTTTTTATAATTAATAATTTTTTTGATAATATATTTTTATTAATTTAGTTCGGTTTTTAGCATTTCGTCGATTTTAGCGTTTTTTAGTACTGGTTTGAGTAATAAAATATAGAAGGTTTTATAGTTTCTTATAGTTTTTAGTAGCTTAAATCGGTAGTTAACGTTTAAAATTTTTTTATCGATTTTAAATAGTTTAAATTTTTTAAAATCGAATTTATCGCTTAATCGTTTTATTTTAATATTTTTGCGTAAAAAATAGACTTTATCTCCTTTTTTAAAAATTAGTTTTTTAATCTTTTTTTTATTATATCGGATTTTTGTTTTTTATTAAATAGCGATAAAGGTTTTTTAGAATTTTATTTATAGGTTTTTAAATTATTCGACGCGTAAAATAGCGTATAATACAAATTTTTTTTTTAGTGGTTTTTTAGTAATATCGGGTTCGTATCCGTAATTAGCGTAAAATAATAATATCCCAGTAAATTCTCGTATTATATTATTATATGCGAATTATGCGAATAGTAATAATATAACTTAATTATTTTATTTATAATTAACGTAATATTTAAGGTATTTTTCGAATACCTAATTAACTCGTTTTATTTATCCGTTAGTTTGCGGATAAAAAGCTATCGAAAGCTTATAGTCGTATTTTAGCTAATTAATAAATAATTTCTAAAATTTTAATATAAAAAGCTTATTTCGATTTAAAATAATCTTATTTAGTAATCCGTATTAATTAGCTATCGTTCGAAAAAACGTATAAGCTAATTCTTTTGCGTTATTAGCTTTTTTATATAAAAAGAAATAGGCGTATTTCGTGAGTCGCTTTATAAATATTAGGATATTATTATAAAAGGTTTTAATTAAAGGTTTTTTTAAAAATAATAGTTTTATTATAAAATCTAATATAATAGATTTTTATACCTTATTTAGCGGTGGTATGGGTTATAGTTCCCTATATTATTAGTATCGTGCTATTTTTGCTTTATTATATAAGTTATATTTTTTAATGATATTGCTAATATGCTTTTATAATTACGGGTAATTAAAGTGTTATTAGATTCGTTTGGTTATTTTAAATACCTTTTGGTGTCTATTAATGGGTGATTTATGGTAATTTTTAATTAATTCGTTAAATAGTATTTTTTTGATTTTAATTTTATCGGTATAGGTATCGAGTGTTCTTTTATCGTTAATTATTTTCCTAATTTAATTATTATTATTGCTAATTTTTATGGTTATATATAAGGTTATAATTAGTATTAAATTTCCGTTATCATTTATCGAAAAAATAGTGTTAATTTCTTTTAGTACTTTTTAGAAATAGTCCGGTTTTCGGCTTAAAGCGTCGGCTCGGCCGTTTTTTAATCTTTTTCGGTAGATAATTTTAAAATTAAAATTTGCTAAAAATTCTACCCATTTAATTTATTATTTATTAAGTTTTTTATTAATAATAAACGAGGCTAGATTTTTATAATTAGTGTAGATTTTAATTTAATATTTAGTTCTGCTAAAATAATATTTTTATTTTTAGAATGCTTTAATAATAGCTATAAATTCTTTATTATAAATCTGGTAATTTAATTATTTTTTTATAAATTTTTTGCTATAAAATGCAATTAAGTATGGCTTTTTATTATCGTCTTTTTATATAAATTATTTACTTATAGCGTAATTTAAGGCGTTTATTTCGATTTTAAATTCCCGTTTTAGGTCTATTATGCGTATTACGGGTTTATCTATAATTCGTTTTTTAACTGCCTCGAAGGCTTTCTGCGCTTTAAGTATTTAATCGAAGGATATATCTTTTTTTATTAGGTGTATAAATAGTACGGTAATACCTCTAAGTCCTTAAATAAATATTCGGTAGAAATTTACAAATCCTAAAAAGGATCTAACTTTAATTATTATTATCGGGGTAGGCTAATCCTTTATTATTAAAATCTTAGATAATTCTATTTTAATTTTTCCGGGGGATATTATATATCCTATAAAGGTAATTTTTTTTTTATAAAATTCGCTTTTTTTTAGGTTAACTAATAGGTTTGCGTTTTATAGTTTTTATAGCATTATTTTAACGTGCTATTAATATTCGTTAAAATCTTTAGAGTAAATAAATATATCGTCGAGGTATATTATTACGAATTTATCGAGGTATTTTTTTAAAACGTTATTAATTATATTTTAAAAGCTTATTAGTGCGTTAGTTAATCCGAAAAGTATAATTTTATATTCGAAATATCCGTATTTGTAACGGAAAGCGGTTTTTTATTTTTCTCTTTTTTTAATTCGTATTAAGCCGTATACGTTAGGTAAGTTTAGGGCCGTAAATTATTAGGCTCCGTGCAATTTATCGCGTAGGTTTTTAATTAAAAGTAAAAGGTATCGATTTTTAATCGTAATATTATTAAGCTTGCGGTAATTAATATAAAATTTTTATTTAGGTTTTTTATTTTTATTTTTTTTAGGTATAAAAAATATTAGGTATTTTGCGGATAAAATGGATTTTGTGATTTATCCTTTTTATAGTATATCCGTTAGGTATTTTTTTAGTGCCTTTTCGTATTAAGGTTTTATTAGGTATATTGGTATAAAGTGTGGTTTTTTCTTTTTTTAGAAAGGTATTTTATGGTCGTATTTTGTATGCTTTAGTAATCCTGTTTTTAGTATTTTATTAAATAAATCGCTAAATTCTTAGTATTTTTTTAATATTTTAGCCTCGAGTTTCGGCTTAATATATTTAGTTATAAAATAGAATTTAAATATTTTAAAATTGCTTAAGGGCTTATTTTAGCGCTTTTTAAAGGCTAACTCTTTTTTTAGTATATTTTATTAAAATTAGCCGGTATTCTAATTTATTTTAGGGTTATTCGCTTATAATTAAGGTATTTTTAGGATAATATCGTAATCTGTGATTTTTGTAATATTGCATTTAAGTCTTTTTTCGTGGTTTTAGATATAAATTTAAATATACGTAATTTTTATATTTATAATTCCGTTTTTATACGATATAAGTTTTTTATTAATAGTTTAGAATACGTAAGGCGTTTTTTTCTGCTTTTATAGTATTTATAAAGCGTTAACGATTATTAGCGAAATAAAATTTTTTTAAGCTCCCGTATCTATTAGGGCTCGTATTTTCTAATTTATAATTTTAATCTAGATTATAAGGTATTCGTTAATATTAATGCTATTTATAGCATATATGGATTTTTTAGTCGGGGTCTATTTTTATCGCTTTAAAAATGCCTGTGGTCGTTTCCCGAATTTTTATTAATTTATTTATTAGCTCGTCGCGTTTCGGCGGCCGTATATATTTATTATTTTGGTATGCTTAAATTCTTTTTAGCTCGTAAAGGTCGATTTCCGTATTATTTAGATAATTCGCTTATTTTTTATTATGTATTAGGGGTATTTTTTTGTTTTTTGTCGTTTTTAGAGGGCTTTTTTAGCTTTTTATATCCTTAATATACGAAATATAAGCTAGTAATAGTTTTAATATAGGTTTTTTTTATTTTTTTTATTATTTCGATAATTAGTCGTAATAATAAATTAGCTATCGAATATATCGGTAATTCGTATTCGTTATTTATAGCTCGTATTAGATTTTCGGTATTGTCGTTTTTTAGTTAGGTGGCTATAACGCGGATACGTTTTGCTATTTTATATTTCCTAAGGAGGTGTTATGCTTTAATTTTTTTTGCTACGTAATATTCGTAATTATAATATAGGTATTTTTCCTATTTTTTATCCCCGTTTTTTAGGCATCGGTTTAGCTTTTATAATCGTATATAAAGCATTACGAATCTTTAAGGGTCGATATAACTAATCTTTATATTTTTTATTTTTCCCGCCTTAAAAAGGTGGTAAATAGCGTTTTTATTATATCGTAAAGGAAATATTTTTTTTCGGATTTTATTTTATAAATATATATTATAATTAGGGTTAATATATTTATATTATATTACGGTATTATATGCTAGGTATGTATAGGTAAGCTTTGCGTTATTTTTTATTGCTGCTTTTAGGGTTCGTCGGGTTTATAAAATGTTGGTTTTTTTTTAGAAAATTTTTGCAAATTGTAGTGCGGTATCCTATTATTTTATTATAATAATAATTATATCGTAAACGTAGCTGGTTCCGTTTTTGGATATATAATCGATAATATGTTTTTCGTCGTTATTTTGGATAAGCTTAACGAGTTTGTTTTTTTTTTGCTTATTAGAATCTATATCGATATTAATGCTTTTTTTGCAATTAAAGGTGTTATCGCATAAATCTCGCTAATTCTGGCTTTTTGCTTATTTTATTTAGTAGTATGCTTCGTTTTCCGAGGCATCCGAAAATATGTAATCGTTATTATCCTAGAATTATTTTCGTTTTTTAAAATATACGGTTTTTCCTAATTTAGTGGCTGCTAAAATTTTTCGTTTTTAGGGATATTATTTATTTTTATCTTTATTAGATTTATACGTCCGATATTTATTATCGAAGCACGCCGTTTAAAAGAGTAATTTATAAGGTATATTATCCCTTTTAGTATTATTAAATTATTTTTTACTTTTTAATATTAGCTTAAATCCTGATTTTTTGGGTTAGCGATATTCGTTAGCGTAATATTTTATTTTATCGTAATTATAATATTTAATTTTAGATTTATTTTTGCGCTAAATAGCGTTAAGGTCTATTTATCCGCTATAGGTTCCGTATAAGGTTTTATTGCGCTAATTATTTTTAGGTTATTAAGGATTTTGTTATTTGCCTATATTGGCGTAATTGCGTTAGAATCGCGATATAAGGTGTCCCCTTTTTTTTTTATTTTATCGAGCGTATAATTGGTTATCGATTTTAACGGTAAATTCGCTATATTTGCTAAATTTAGCCGGTAGTTTAAGGATCCTGCTAAATTCGTTTTTAATACCGTTTTTAAGTCCTCGATAGTATAATATAATCCTAGTGTCGTTGGTGCATTTTATTTTGGCGATAATGCGTTTGAAATCTGCCGTATAATTGGATGCGGATCCTTTTTATTTAAGGTTTTTAAGTTTTTTTTTTAGCTTATCGTTTTTTATCCGGGTCTTAGAATAGGGATTAAAGCGTTATTTCGAATTTTATATAGTTTTGGAAAATATTTTGAGTTTCCGCTTTATATAGTTTTATTTGCTATTCGTGCTTAGTTACGTCCGAAAAATAGGGTTCGAATTAAGTAAATGCTCGTTTTTTAAAATAAAACGTAACGTAAAGTATTTTTTATTTTTTTGTTATAAATTAATTGCCGTAAAAGGTTTAGTAAGCTCGGACTTAGGCTAGGAATCCTTAGAGTAATCCGGGAATATTATTAAAAGCCGCTAATATGCTAAGCTTAAGCTTTTCGGAATAAATTAGGGTAGAAATAATATTAGCTGCCCTAGCTATAATATTATTAAAATTCTATAATTCCTATATAATTTATTTTATTTAGGCTTTACGCGTAAAGGAGGTAGTTTTTTTTTTTTAAATGCGCGGATTTTTTTAACTAATTCTAAATATTGGTTTTTAGTTAGTTCGAAATTATCTTTTTTTATTTTTTACGCAAGCAAGTGCTAAGAGTATTTAGATAAGAAAAAAGGAGTTTTTCCGGTTAACGATATTTTGCTAAATATTATTTAAGGTTTTTTTTAAAGGTAACGTACCTAAATAAAAATAATTAAAATATAACGATTATATTATAGGTTTCTAAAATAAACCTAAAATATAAAAAATATTAGGGTTTATGCTAATAAAAAACAATAGCTTTAAAAAAAATATTAAGTAATAAATATTTAAAAATAAAGGTAATCGAATTAATTTATAAATATAATCGTTAAAGCGTATTAAATGCTTTATTTATAAGTAAAATAAATGCTTAAATTAATTACTAAGGTAATAACTATTTATATAGGAAATCCTTTTATAATATATATTTATTTATTCCCTTATTAATATTTTTTGAATTATAATGCTAAACCGATTTTATAGTCCTGGAGTCGATGGAATTTAATGATTTTAATAATTTAATCGTCTAAATTATTACCAAAACTATAATCCTATTAGGCAGCTGGCTGGCAGTTGTTAAGGATGGTGGTTCCTGTTTTGACCTGTTCCCGGCTTTCGGTGCTAAGCCCCTCCCTTCTTTCCTTAAGCGCCAATACATTTGTTTGTTCTTATGCAAGGGTGCATATTCGTAACAAATGAAGTGACCAGAGCAATCTCATTGGCGTCCATGCTGTCCTTTGACACCTAGACTTTCAGACAGATAGGCAGGCACCAACCCGCAAAACTCTAACCTCCGACTGACTTCCCTTATTGTGGTTAATCACTCAGGAATCTTAATTTTCAACCATGGTAATCAGCACATGTGATAGGTTGGAGCATAATGGAATCTATTCGTTGTCAAAATGAAACTGTCTCCACTGGGTCATGCCGCTGAGCCTCCCCCACACAAACAAAGCTCTACACGGGAACGGTGATTTCAACAGCGACACTTTTCTGCATCTTGCTCCATTCCTCAGACTTCCTGGCAAAAGCATCCTCGGTGACGCTTTCTGAGATGCTGCCAACAGATGCCGAGTTCAAGGGGTCGCTGGCCCAGAGATAGTAGCTTATGTCTCCGCTACTGCCCGGCACTGTCGTTGATTCGAGCATGCTGGAACGCTCCTCAACACCAAGCTTGTCTGCATTGGGATCTTCTGTCCAAGAAATGCCGTTGCCCCAGTACGAGAAACGCTCAGCAGCATGATCCCAATTGTAATCCTCCCAACGGTTTTCCGCCAAAGTCTGCATATAGTGAAGCGAGCTGCCAGGCCATAATGCCGTGACTTTGCCATCCACTCCCTTCTTGACTGCAGATATGCGTAAGCGCCAACACTAGTGTCTATCTGAAATGAGAAGCGAAACAGCGACTTACACCAGCTTCGGCATGTTCCTGTCCATACCATATCACGCATGATTGATTGCGTGTGATCATCGAAATCTTGCTGGGCCTCCGGTCTCACGTCGAACGCCTTTACACGCTGTCGTATTACTTTTCGCAGCAGGCGAATGAAGTAGTCACTTGTCGCCTCCAAGCTTCCTGTGTCATGTCAATATGAAGAGTTCGGGTTCGTGATTAGACAAGAGATAAATACCCATGAGACTTCCGTTGGATATCGGAGTGTTAGGACCGAGATATATGAGATAGTTTGGAAATCCAGCGACTCCAGTTCCCATGTACGAGGTAGGTGTTTCCGACCACAAACGTTGAAGATCAACGCCGTTACGTCCAATGATTGGGAAGCGAGGCCGGAAGGATGTGTTAAAGCCCGTTGCGAGAACCAGGATATCGCAAGCTCGCTCTGTTCCGTCTACCACTACTCCCTGTGACGTTATGCTATCTACTCCTCCGAACACCGGGAGCACATTGTCTTCCTGCAGGCTGTGAATATATGGTTGTCCGGGGTTCATCCGGCGGCATCCAGCTTCGAATTTTGGAATGAGCTGTTCTTGCAGCGCTGGCGTTCGAATCAGTGTTTTCATATTTTCCTCCAAGTCTGCACGTAGGGCTTTTTGCTCGGGGGTGCCCTTCATGAATGCACGAAACATGCCATTAAACTGAGCTTCCAAGCCTTTTCTGAGATGCAGATAGTATGATGCATCTTTCTTGAAGCGATACTTTTCTTGCTCGGTATAAAACGGATTCGGAGATGGTGCTGTTTCTTCGAGGCCTATCGGAGGAGTGATCCAAGATGGAGTTCGAATGTATACATCGACGTGGCTTGCCAAAGGTTGGATTTGTGGTATCAACTGTATCGCACTGGCACCAGCACCAATTACGGCAACCCGTCTGCCCGTAATGTCGACGCTGGGATCCCAAGCCGCGGTGTGGAGACGAGGCCCAGCAAAAGAGGAAAGTCCTGGGATCTCAGGAATTTGAGGGTCGTTTAGTATCCCTCCAGCGTTGACCAAAATTTCGGACTGCACTCTATGTTGCCCGTTCAATTCCACGGTCCATGTTGCCGATTCCTCGCACCAAGACGCATGCGTCACTCTGGTGTTATATTGGATATATCGATCGAGATTGAATGTCTGGGCTACTCGCTTGAGGTAGGCTTGAATTTCGGCAGAAGAGGCAAAGCTATGCACGTGAACTTGCGGATTAGAATATACACGAAATCCTTGTTTGCCAAAAAAAAAAAAAAAAAAACTACACAACTTTGACCAGTCCGGATTCGGAGCAAAGGAAAACTGATATACATGGCTAGGAACATCACAGGCACAGCCTTTCTGGGGTCAGTATTATAGTGCGATCTTATGCAGCCTGGCGACGCACCGGGATACCTGTTTTCGAACCATGTGCCGCCAAGATCTGACGACTTTTCATATATTGCGAATTCAACATAATCTCCAAGGTGCTTTTGGAGTTTGTAAGCTTGAAGGCAGGGTCAGCGGTAATATCAGACCAAAATATGCGTCACAAAGCTTGCCCATTAGAATACCGGAGACTCTGTATGAATTAATGTTAGCTCCCACGCAAAGTCCGAAATTATGATCTGGAGTCAACGAACCCGGCACCGATGATTGTGCATCGCAAGCGATTCGAGCTCGACGTAGTATTGTCCTGTGCCATTGCGATATACAAAATTCTTCTCTACCCCAGTGAGTGCAAAATCGTGATTTCTTTTCCTTTTCAGACGATTGCATAGCAAATGCTTTTCTGGCAAGCATTATAGAGCATTGGTCTAGTCAAGATCCACAACGGTCTACCAACATCTGTGGGTACGGCTTTGGATCCGGGTCGAAGGCGCCAAGCCGGAACGATCGAAGTCCTATCTGTGACTCTTCAAGCGAGTCGAAGGCCTGTCCCATCAATGACCAGCTATCATTGTACTCTGCAAGATACATGTGGGTACGGAACTTTTGATACCGTGACTTGCACTTGGATGAATATCGGAGCCTGGCGGGATGCAGCGCGGAAAAGTCACTAGAGTTCCCCGTCAGTCCAAACACGGCACATCCTTACCCTCGGACACGAAGATGTATGTGCAAAAAGATATCCATTTATGTCCTCTCAAGTTTCTCGGGACACTCAAGCATTGCTGTTCTTGTGGTGTCGAGTTTTGAGTTAGTCTTTGTCATCCCCTCTACGCCTTGGTTTTCCGCACACGTACAATGGCTTCGTGGTTTGGACTTGGCAAGAAAGCCGAGGCGCCGGGCACAGATGTACCCGTGAGAGCTTTGCCAGCAACCTGGTACCATTCCTCCGCAATGTATGAGCTGGAAAGACGGGCCATTTTTAGCAAGAAATGGATCCTCGTGTCCCACCAACTTCGCTTTGTCAATGCGGGTGACTTTGTCCGCATTACAGAAGCTGGATTTCCATTCTTTCTGATAAAGGACCGTGCGGGCAACATTAATGCTTTCCATAACGTCTGTCGACATCGCGCATATCCCATCATCGAGAGAGACTCGGGAAAGGCTAGTGTGTTGGCCTGCAAATACCACGGTAAGCTTCTGAGATCAGGATCATGTTGAAATCAAACTGATGTTCTCTTAGGGTGGTCGTATGGATTTGCAGGCAATCTAGCCAAGGCTCCAAAGTATCAGGATCTCGAAGATTTTGACAAGACAGCAAACGGACTATACAGAATCCACGTCCATGTAGACAAACTGGGATTTGTGTGGATCAACCTTGACTCGGAGTCCCAACCATCGATACCCTGGGAACATGACTTTGCCGGGGTTGACACCCAGAAGCGCCTCCAGCCGTTTGACTTGACCAAGTTTCACTTTGATCACCAATGGGAAATGATTGGTGACTACAATTGGAAGACATTGGCTGATAATTACAACGAGGTGAGTCGAGAAACCACAGGAAAAATATACTGTTTTACCAAGAACTGACAGTGATTGGGGCATCAAGTGCTATCATTGCCCAACCGGCCATCCTGCACTGAATGGCATGTCAGACTTGTCAAAGTATTGGGTGGAAACCACCGGCGGACATATCCAACATTTCAATACGGATAGGCCAGGTACTAAAGGCATGGGGATCTTTAGTTCCTTTCTGTATCCTAATGCTTCGATCACTATATCGTGAGTTCTTTCTCTACAATATGCTACAAGATCTTCACTCTGAAAATTCCAGGGAAAATTTCTTCTACATCATGCGGTGCATCCCAATTTCAGCTACCCAAACCAAGATGGAATATGAAGTCTACCGAGGGAATGACGCACCGACAAAGGACTTTGATTGGATCAGTGACATTTTCAAGCAGGTTTTGAGAGAAGACAAAGACCTGTGCAACGCAGCACAGAAGAACCTAGAGACTGGCATCTTCACCAATGGAGAGTTGCACCCGCAGGCAGAGAAGGTGAGAATCCGATGGATAGATTTTCCCAGGTGCTCCATGCTAATACTTCCAGGGTCCCTTGTACTTTCAGCAAGTCACGAGACAATTGGTCATGTCCCACCGTAGAGGGGAAAAGGCTTCCGGCGAGGAACACTGGCCTGCCACGCCAAGGCAAAAAAGCACAGCTGCGAGTGACGAGGACGCGACTTTTTGCGCGAGTCTCAAGTGCCTGGAAGAGGTTTCAGACAAGGAACTTTCTTGGTAGTCAGCCCTTGAATCCATATATTCTTGTATAGTCAATTATACACTGGTGCATTGGAGTCTAGCCATGTCTCAATTGCCTGTCCATAATCGTTCGCGCTGAGTAGCCAACCGTCTTGCAAAATATTACCGCTCATTGCATGAGGTAGACGACCTGGGTGTTCTGGGCTGTTCGTAATGAACTCTGTCCTCCCAAAAGGGGTCCTTGGTTCCTTGTTTGGCGCATAGAGCGGAGTCGCTTTGGGCACCGCTCTGTGTCCAAATATGCCTACAGATCCAACAAGATCAAAGTCCACGCCGCTTTCTTGAGAAATGTTGTTCTCGGGAACAAGTGACTTTCCAAAGACATCGCTATTGTTTTGTGGTGAACTCCGGCTGGAGTATCCTTGAACGAGTAAGTCGTTCAAAAGTCTTGTATCAATGGTCCAAGCCGCCTGACTATTGCCAGTTTCTGGTCCACGAGGAGTTGGTGTAGCAACTACGCTTTCTTGTAGCCGCTCCAAATCCTCTGCCTATAATGCAGCTTCATATTAGCTCATGTAGATGTGCCAGAGCTTGTATATCGTTCATTCTGCCATCTTCAACTTACCATGGTGTTGACGATACGCCAGGTGGAACCCATGCGCCACAAGAAGTTCATGCACTTTTGTAGCCCTTTCTGTGCTGACTCTCTCAAGTCACTATCGGTTGTGACAAAGCTGTGCTGAAGATGGATCGTCGCTATGATGACAACACAGTGGGCCAGGGTAGGATCAGAAGTAGCAAACTGCTTGTCCTCCAAAACGTCCAAGAAATGACAGATCCAGCCTGCATTCCTCGTTATGTTCTCAAACGATTGCTGGATGAAAGAGTGAGGGATCGAGTCCCTAAAGTTTGCCAATCGGAGTGACAAGAGGAAAGGATGGTTCAATAAACATGGAATAGTAGAGTATACAAATTGGAGAAACAACCACGGACCCCAGTGATCCCTCTTTTGCTGCAATATCTCAGGTGCATACTCTTCGATGCGGTTCTTCTCATATCGGTGCGTCAAGGGAACTCGGGAGTCGATCTCTAGATGATGCTGCATGACAGAGGAGTAGTCTGACGAGGGTGCCCATGGGGGTACTGTCTCTGTAGTAGGGCGTTTGGCGGCATAAGCACGCGCCAGTTGCCAAACATCAGTCAGCATGGCTATATATTTGATCGAATCTCCCGAGTCTCCATCGCTAGACGTGAAGTCCGTCAATGGGAGCAGGTGTGCAGTAGCCTGAACACCACCGCCTATGGTCGGCATGAACCTTGCGACGACCGGAAGAGAACCATACAAGTTCTGAAGCATGAAGATACTGCGAATGCAGAGTCGGAGCTCTCTAGACTCTACAAGCGGGGAATTTGACTGACCAAGGCAGCTCATGAGGCTTTGGACCAGTTGACAAGCCATGGATAGGTTGAACTCCGCCTGTAAAGTCCTGCCGGCTGTAAAGCAAGTTAGTAAGCAGAATGTACGACTGTGGCGGGTAAATCTTTCCTGTGTTATCAAGCATTCCCAATAGACACAAAGTCTGTAAAGTAGAAAGTTCTATCTTGCTCGTAGCAAGGCGCTCCATAACCATGGTTCGACACTTGGTCGTCATGGCTTCGAGCTGTTCTTCCTTGCTAGAATTTGACGTCCCAGGTGGAAATCGCAAGCTCAACGAACCCAGCGCAATAAGAAGTTCCGGGTCTCGATTTGGAAGTGTCTCAATGAAATTCTCGGAATTGAATAGCTCAACCGGCTGCCGATGGCACCATTTCAGATAGAGGGAACCTATCCGGGCAATGGATTCAGAATTGAACGGGAAAGAACTGCTGGAGCATCAATGGTGGTCTTTGAGCGTTCGACACACAACTCACGGGACATAGTTTCTGGAGGAATCAGATACAGCAAGTCCTGTTGCTGGTGTCGGGCCAGGTTCGCCAACCTCGGGGGGTATATCTGTGGCTCGCCCCGATGCTCCATTTGAGCTTAAAATTGTGAGTTGTCGCTGATAGTCGCTCATCGAGGCAGAAACCTACCCAAGACGTGCCAGTACTTGGTCCAGCTTTCCTTCAAGACTATCCATTCGGTCCTCCTTGGTGTTTAAGTCAGTCAAATTGGGTAGAAGCTAGCTATTCTGGGTCCGATTACCAACTGGCGATTCTTCGCACCCAAGCTAATTTCCGAGTCCGCCAGATAGACACAATCTTGACCCAAACGCACACAATAAGAGCAAGCAGGTTTGTCTCCTGGGCATTTGGACTTTTTTCGACTACATATACAGTACGTCAGAAAATGTTCTGTTGTGCTAGCAGATCGAACACTTACCGACATGGCTCGCAGGCCTGGCGCACTCGTTTCGAAGGTCTTGATTCTTCCATTGCAAACAATCATGACGGTCGCCAGACACCCCTTTGTTGATGTGAGATGGTACGCGCGCCTTTCAAAGACGGAAGAGCTCCAGGTTTTGATATCAGATCCGACGGAGTTAGTTCGGGAACCGGATGATATCCTTCTTCTCGTTTCCTTATTCCAGGCGATGCGGTTTTTGGACTTGCGCCCCTCATTGCGTTGGGGGTCTTGTTGCTAGCCTAAGAGCTTATCTAAATTTCCTCAACTAGCCGCAACTCTTAACGTCACATTCTGATCCTACAAACATAAAGAGATGGAAATCAATTCCAAGTCAAAAAGTCAGAATGCTCATTTTTGCTTATACCGATAAGTAAATTTTATTTACACTTGTACAAAGGAGTTAGTCCTTGAATCTCCACGTTCAGTTGTGTTGGCTGTATGGCTAAATGGCACCTTTGTACCTGGTATGCACATGGTTGGGTAGCAAAACTCTCCACTGTCAACTTATACGGTGATCTTGGGAAGCTTTGCCGTAGAACCTTTTTCTTTGTCCTCGGAAATCAAGGGGGTTAGAGGTCAGAAATCAGCGGCGTACTGTGTACGCTGACCTTTGCTAATCAAGGTCTACATTTCAAGGACTCAGTTTATACGCCGACTACACAAGCCTGATTGTGGTCCTGACTATTATGGAGGTGTTTTTGACAGCGGAACTCCTATCTGTTCATGATATGCTTGGGATTCATGATCAACGGGCACAGAATACCCCGTATCTTTCGCCTTTAGTGCTTCCAACACGATCAGAGCATTAGTGAGGCAAGATTGCCAATGTTCTTGGCGCTGAATTGTAACAGAAGGTTTGTTACACCATGGTTATTCAATTGAGAAGAGTTGTAACATATAATGAAATGCAAATTGAAAACCCACCAATGTTGTCTGGAACGAGGGCCATATTTATGGGTGTTTGAGTTAGCGTGGGTCTTGGGTTTTCAGAAGGAGTTGACCTTACGTATCCTCAAAGCTGGTTATGAGTATTTGTATGTGAGCAGCGTGGCATTCTGGCGGTAGCCGAGTTGCCGCCGTACCATTCTCGGAACTCAGCAATTTACACCAATCTAGTCGACACGGAGGATAGGTCCCATGGTTACATTGACTAGTTACAACCAAATCGGGGTCGGTGCGTCGCATATATCCAATAACAATGACTATGCAAGTAGCATACCAGCACAGCGCACATCCAAACAAAAGAAATGACCATTTGTCACAGCAGTAGTGAAATCAGGAATGGGGAGTTACTGTGGGGGGGTTTTTTTTCCGCATATAAATATCGTCCTTGGCCTATCAATCTCTAGATCTGTGAGTATTGCAGAAGCGGCATTCAACTGGAAAATTGTCTTAGGACTTGGCCACAATATGCATTTTCCATACTCATTCCAGCTACTAGGCCTCCTGGCCAGTCAGGCTGGAGCTGTAACGGTTTTCCTATGCGGCGACTCGACCATGGCTGAGAATGGGGGCGGATCCGGAACACAGGGTTGGGGTCACTACCTGCAATATTCACTGCCCTCAAGCACCTATACTGTACAAAACAGTGCCATCGCCGGTCGTAGTGCACGCTCTTATACCCGCGAAGGACGGTTCCAGGCGGTCGCTGATCAGGTCAAGTCTGGAGACTGGGTTGTGATTGAGTTTGGACACAATGACGGAGGCAGTCTCACGCCCACGGATAACGGTCGGACTGATTGCTTCGGAGAGGGAACTCAAACTTGCCAGACCACATATGATGGGGTTTCCGAGACAGTGCTCACGTACCCAGCCTATTACGAGAATGCCGCCAAGTTGTTCTTGGCCAAAGGAGCCAAAGTCATTATGAGTTCTCCCACGCCAAACAACATTTGCGAGACTGGTACTTGCAGCTGGGGACCGTATCGATTTGACTATTATGCATGGTAAGTCTCACGTCACTGGTGATTCGATAGATGCGGACAAGAGACTTAAATCTTCTTATTAGGTACGCCGCCGCCGTCGCGGGTGGTACAGGTGCAGGTATGTCCAATTCTTGTCTTCCAGCCGGATCACGATTAATAGAATCCATAGGTGTTTACCACGTACCTCATGGTCAATATGCAGCACAGGCCATGACAAACCTTGGGGCCTCGGTTGTGAATGCCAACTATCCTGTTGATCACACGCACACAGGCCCTTACATGGCGGACATCATGGCGAAAGCCTTCGTTCTAGGTCTCAAGTGCGGAACGAGCGGGTTGGGAGCGGCAGTCGTCAACTCGACAAGCTCCATGACTTCGACAATCCTCGGCCCTTGCATTTCATTCAACAGCACTGTCCCGATCTAGTTCATTGGTGTCAGTTGTATGTATATGGAAAGTATCAGGCGCACACTTGATCATTAGCGGATCCAAGCGCTCAACAAGAAGAAATAACAGAGGCAGCGCCCAGCTCTCTTGAGTGGTGGTCATTGGCGTCGAGATGCGTGAGGCTTGGACCAAGAAAGGACAAATCAAATCACAGTGTATACAATAAAGCCCAAGTATGTCAATTGAGCCGATTGCATGCATAGTTTCCAGGAAATAGTATTTATTGAAAAATTACAATGGGTAGGTAGGTATGTAGGTGAAAGGTCATGAGAACTGAGGTACTGTGTAATTACTAGGCGGTAATCTTGTAGTCAGGTACCGCACTACAGTGCCGCCCAGCGACATGGTACTGGTACACTTCCGCTGTTTGATAAGATAAGAGCTTTTTCGTCATGACAGCCAGCTAAAGAATCCCATTCCCATTTCCCAGCGCGTTGGAATACCGCGAGCGCAAATATTTTGGCAATTCGACACCTGCAACTCGCACCGCCAATTTCGCATGAATGGGTGGCGGTCGGCATTTGACATCTCTCCGCATGCGATCATGTCTGTACACATTGCGCCAGCACCGGCCTTATAGCAATGGCTTCAGGTCAGGTCGGCGCATCCTCAGCTGTCACCATGACCTGAGCAACCCGACGGCACTCTTGCACCAAACACCCAAGCCGATTGCACAAAACTTCCTACTTTTCAATGTTTCCAGACGATATGCGAGCTCCACGAAAGCAGCCGTGAGCGATCTCGAGCGCCGAATAGCCGACATACCCATCTCTCGCTTTCGGAATTTTTGCATCGTCGCACACATTGACCATGGCAAATCCACCCTCAGTGATCGGCTCCTCGAGATCACAGGCACCATTTCGTCTTCCTCGTCAAATAAGCAGATCCTCGATACCCTCGAGGTCGAGCGCGAGCGCGGCATCACCGTCAAGGCGCAGACATGTACCATGATATACAACTACAAAGGCGAAGATTACCTCCTGCATTTGGTGGATACCCCTGGGCACGTCGACTTTCGCGCCGAGGTGACCAGATCGTATGCAAGCTGCGGCGGCGCACTCCTGCTCGTCGATGCCAGCCAAGGTGTACAAGCTCAAACGGTTGCCAACTTTTATCTCGCATTCGCCGAGGGGCTAAAGATCGTTCCCGTCGTCAACAAGATCGACATGAATGCAGCCGATGTGCCGCGAGTGCTGGAGCAGCTTCAGACCACGTTTGAGTTGGACTCGTCTAAGGCCATTGGGGTCAGCGCCAAGACTGGCCTCAATGTGAAGCAGCTTTTGCCAGCGATTGTTGAAAACGTGCCGGCGCCCGAGGGAGACGAGAAGAAACCCCTGAGAATGTTGCTGGTTGATTCATGGTACGACAGCTTTCGTGGCGTCATCTGCCTTGTCCGCATTTTCGACGGAACCGTCAGACCGGGAGACAATCTAGTCAGCTTTGCGACCGGGGGCAAGTATACTGTTGGAGAGGTTGGCATTAGATACCCAACTCAGACGCCACAGACGGTGCTGAGAGCAGGCCAGGTTGGATACATATTCTTCAATCCTGGTATGAAGAGGATTCAAGATGCAAAGATTGGAGACACGTTCACCACTGCTGGTTCGGAAGACGTTGTTGAGCCGTATCCTGGATTCGAGGAGCCCAAACCAATGGTTTTTGTTGCAGCCTTCCCGACTGATCCAACCGACTACCAGCGTCTAGCCGACGACATTGGACAGTTGGTTCTCAACGACCGTAGCGTCACTCTCATGAAAGACCATTCGGAAGCTCTAGGAGCCGGCTGGCGGCTGGGCTTCCTGGGCAGCTTGCACTGTTCTGTGTTCCAAGACCGCCTTCGCCAGGAACACGGGCAGAACATCATCATCACTGAACCTGCCGTTCAGTCCAAGGTTGTCTGGCCTGATGGAACTGAGAGCATCATTCAGAATCCCAGTGATTTTCCGGAGCCAGAGAACAGCAAATTACGAGGAGCAAGATATTACGAACCCTACGTCCTTGCGACCATGACTTTACCCGAGGAGTATCTTGGCCGCGCTATCGAACTTTGCGAGGCCAACCGGGGAGAGCAGGAGAGTATCGAATTCTTCCATGGATCACAGGTCATCTTGAAGTATCGGATACCGACAGCGCAACTGGTAGATGATCTGTTTGGCAAGCTCAAGGGTGCAACCAAAGGTTATGCGACATTGGACTATGAAGATGCAGGATGGAAGCAATCCCACCTTGTGAAGCTACAACTGCTCGTCAATAAGGAACCCGTCGACGTTCTAAGCCGTGTGGTGCACTCCTCTCAGGTTGACCGACTGGGAAGGCACTGGGTCACCAAATTCAAGGAGCACGTACAACGGCAAATGTTCGAGGTTGTCATCCAAGCTGCCGTGGGAAAGAAGATCATTGCCCGAGAGACTTTGAAACCATTTAGAAAAGATGTACTGGCAAAGCTTCACGCCAGTGACATCACAAGAAGGAAGAAACTCTTGGAAAAGCAGAAAGCTGGTCGTAAGCGTTTGCGAGCAGTAGGAAATGTTGTCATTGAACAGGAGGCTTTCCAACGATTCCTCACCAAATAGTGATCTAGATCATTAGAGTGTAAATTATGTATGTACATGTTGAGGACTAGAAGCAACTGGTTTAGCATCATTTATAGTTCAGTAGAACAAGTCTTCAAGACCCTCGCTCTCCGCATCTCGTTGCCTTTCCAATTCTCGTTTTGCAGACAGTGATTTCATACTGTTTCTCTCCCATGCAGCATGACATACTTGACGGACCCATCACGCTTCTATTCAAACTCTTCCTGTTTGTCATTTCCTTGGGTGGCATAGTCAAAGGTTGTGTAACTCTGATGAATATGCCAATCTGGCATGCAGAATCTGCTGGAAGTGCAGCAAGAACTTTCCGCTCTGCACATCTGACAATAGGCATGGACAAACTTAAATTAATTAAGTTGATGCTTCCATTTGATGCTGCTTTTAAGCTTAAATACTTTTGCATCATCCCTTCTTTGTCTTGATTCAAGTGGATCTTTCACGATTTACTTGCCTTGTAGTGCACAGCATTGATACTCTTCATCGTTTATCATTGTCATCAAACAATAGAAACATGTCCAAATACACTCGAATCAATATTGATCATTGATGACTATACAATAGATATCTACAGAAACACAGTCTGTTATAAGTAGCACCATCTAAGGGAGCCTGTATGCAGATGGCGAAGCCCATTGGGCATTGAGCTTTTTTTTTTTTTTTCTTGTAGGGCTCGCGCTCCAATATGTGAGAAAAGAATAACGCAGTTGCCATCAAAGCTGACTGCGAGAGAGAAGAAAAAAGCATTCAAGGTATCTCAAAATTTTGTAAAATAATTCCTCCAAACCCTCCGTCTGAAACGCCATGCCTAGTTTCGCAAATGTCTCTAAATGTTGATTTTCGTAAACCTCGTGGTGGAATATGTATGTCCAGAGCAGGACCCCATGGCCAGGGCAAGTCATGGCTTATGAGGAGTACACAGCAACATACTCGACCTCCATCATGCTGCCGTAGCCGTCGAGAGTCTCCGAGTTGGGCTCACCAGGCCAGTCACCCTAGAGATGGTCAGTAAAAATGGCAAAAGGCATCTGGACGTATTTCCACTTACACCGACAGCGAGATTGAGAAGGATGTACAAGGGACTGTGCGCAAGGGTCGCCCACGTGCCCTCGTCGGCAATGTCGGCACCAGTGACAGTGTTGAAGGTTGCGCCGTTGAGCTGCCACTGGATCGTCTGCAGAGTCCAGTCTGAGTTGGTGCGGTCGATTCTTACACCCCAAGTATTGAAGCCGTCGGCGGGCAAAGTAGTGGCTGCTTGTCTTCCCAAAGGCTCGGCACAAGGCCCGCCAACGGTTGTGCCACAATGAAGGGTACCATACGCAGTAGGCACTCCATTCACTTGCTCAAAGATGTCAATCTCTCCAGACAGTGGCCATTCAGTGCCGTGGCGAATGGCGTCGCCCAAGCACCAGAAAGCTGGCCAGAGACCTTGCTTATTCACCTGGGCATTGCTACCCAAGAGGATACTTGCTTGAATGACCATGACTTTTCCGTCCTCTGGGGTCCATGCACCGACCGTCTCGATACGGCCAGAGGTCCAAACGCCCGTGGTGCTCTTTCTGGGAACGAATTGGACCGTCTCTCCTCCGCTGATTTGAAGGTTGTTATTTGAAGTGGTATATGTTTGAACTTCGGCGTTTGTGTCAATGGCCGTGGCAATATTCCATACGCCCGTATCTGGCGTAGAGCCAGCAGTGCCAGCAAAGGACTCAGAGAACAGAATGCTGAACCCATCCATGCTGGGAGCTGCAATGGCCGAGGCCAAAGCCGGAAGAAATGGTAGCACAGAGCTGGTTTGGAAACGCATCTTGTCTATGGTTCAGTTGTGAGGTAGAAATTGAAAATGGTAGATATGAAGAAAGCTGCGAATCCGGTCGGTTCAGGTATATCGATAGAAGGTAGGTAGAGGTATGATGGTGATGTTGTTTTCGCACAGCAAAGCCCGACTAGCAGGTGATTGTTGGATATGTATATAGCAAAAGAAAAGAGAAAGAATGGTGGTTGGTTGACCTGAGCCGAGCGAGTGGCTAATCGACCGTAAAGAATGTAAGGCTCTTATGAGCAAGGCAGCGGGTGAAACGAATGAACGAGATATTGAAGAATAAAATGGATAAAGAGTCCAACAAGAATCAGCTCGGAAGCGAAAGCAACTGTACTTGTACGCGGAGCATCATGTTTTAATATAGGTTGCCCTGATCCGGCATTGGGAAGGTCGACACCCCCAGTTCGGACGACTATCCTTTCTTCAAGGCCAAGAACGCTAATTGCCGGGAACAGGGATAACGTGGGAGGCCTAGCCACGACCAAAGAGGACAAGTCCCAATCAGAGAAATAGAATTTAGGGAACCGCCAACAAATCACCAGCCTGATCAGGAAATATTTTGTGGAAACGCATGGGTGAAACTTCGTGGGAAAGCATTTCTGTGCTGCGGAGCAGGGGACCTGGACTAGACTGTGGTCGATAAGTGGCTCCCCGAGAGTCCTTGGATTCCATAAAGACACACTCTCTCAAGAGTCAAGACACATGGTGGCGCTTGTACCTGGCCCGCATGCCGAAGCGGAATGCTGCTGTTGCGGTTGCTGATGCATACAGCAGCACTAGGTAAGGTAGTTCACATACCTCTATGCTTCTGCCACCAGAAGAAAGTTGATAATGGATGGCTATTCTGGCATTATGACTGGTCCAAGTGCAAACAAGCTTGTTCTTCTGGCGCAACCTCCTCCACGGTCCGGCATGAATTCAGGCAGCTAAAAGCACAGCTAAGCCACCAATCAATCCTACTGTAGGTGCGTACCTGCAAAGGCAAAGTGTAGCCAGGCCGAAAGATGGGATAATCAAGGTATGCACGCAGCTTGGCGAGGGGTTGACACGTCTGCTTATCGTTAAATTTTGCATGTACATCAAGAGTAGAATCTTATGCATCATCGACTCTCTGGTGTAGAGCTGGACCTGATCTCACCCGTCATGTTGCTCGCGCGCGCGCTCACACCTCAAAGTTGTGAAGCAGGAAACAAAACCTGAATCGAAACATGTTGGCCACGCAGGAGACATTGCATTTTGAACACTTGAGGGATGCCTCCTGAGAGATAAGAGTCCGAGGTCTACTCTGCATATGCAGGCTTGAGTAGATGTTCTGTATGTCGGAGAGCAGATTCTGTGGCTCATGGCCCCTGATCTCTGGGTTTATGGTTTTTTCTTTCTTTTTCATGTAAATTGGCTGACAACTTGCACCCCCCTCTGGATTGTTCAGTGGTACCTGCGTGTCACCCATCCACTTGGTGGCATGTGGATGTAGTCTAGTTGGCAAGGTACGTACCGGTAGCTGGGTAAGGTCCACCTGGTATGGGCTCGGCGCTCGCTGGGCTGGCTAATCATTGATCTCCAGCAAGGATGGCGAGAATCAACTCCCAACCCGCCTCCCCCTCTCATTTCTTGAGCATGGAGCACAATTTGGCACATTCAAGCGCATAGCTAATGTAGGCACAGCGAGGTGACCACATCACCTGAAATACATGATACCTACCTAGGGTATGTCCACGACCTTTACGCAGTGGTCCGCCCACGTGGATGTCGAGTATACAAACGGCAAGTAGGCTACCTACCTGCCTGCAGATATGCATACAAGCAAACATGAGCCGTGAATGACAGAATCTTGAGGATATGTATGGGCAACTCTTGAGAGCTTGTTTGGAAAATCAAAATCCTTGGCCCACTTCCGTACCTACCTAAGTAGCTTTGAATAATATTTGTCACTTATGGATTTTCTATCATCGCTTGTCCTCCTCACCAAGAATGACTTTGAAGTAGCCAAGGTCCACTATAACCTGGTAGAAAATTCCAGGCGGTTTACTGCTTAGCAGTGATCCAGCCCCTATAGATATCCGCTAGCCTTCTTGGCAATGGCCGCCAGCGCGCGGCAACGTCCGCGTCAACTTTTCAAGGCTCTCAACCAAAGGATCGCTCTTAGTAGACACCAAAATAGAAAACGGCCACTTGCTCATGTACCATGTTGTATCCTTGTGCAAAAGGTCCATCGCTGGGGATCAATCAATGGTCATGACAGCTTCGGACGGGCAACCGCCATCGGTGCCAGTAGCTTTCAGATAATGGCACTCGGCCTGTTGTGCTGTGCGGCTTGCCTGCTCGGTCTTTCGGTGCGATACACCAGCTTCAGCACAGGCAGCACAGCACAGCGAGAGACCTCTGATTCAGTTGGCAGCATTAGCGTCTGGTGGAATTTGCTGCCGTAGGTGCCACGTCTATTTTGCAGCGCCTTTGGGACAAGAGGATATTAAAGCAGCCCAATTTTGGTTGAAATCTTGATGCCGAGGACTTGATCAGGTCAGTGGCGGCCTCAATCGTGTGCACCACCAACGGGGAGCTGTTAAGCCTGAACCAGTGATGGCCTCAGGGGTACGCCGTTTCAGGTTTTACCCATCTGCAACCCCTTCGACAAATCAGAGAGCGCTGCCAAGCTCTCAGAGCAAAAGCTCTTCTGGAAGAACCATCTTATCTTCCTCTGGGTACGGAATAGGTTAGTTTAAGGTACCCGACCGTGTCGACGAGGCACAGCTGTTGATATTTTGCGCTTTGATGGGGGTTTGTCAAGCTGCGCTGGCACCAATTCACCTGCGCACACGTTCCAACGCACAACATTGTGACACACCACGGGGGCACACATTGCATACACTGACTTTTGTACAAAGTATTCAATGCTCCCAAAAGACATTGGGCGGCAACGTCTTTTTGTATCGGAGGGTCAGTGATACATGGCTGGCTCTCAACGCTCACATGTTTGGGGCAACTTGTGTGTTTCACTCCTCTTGCTCACTGCTTTCCGCTGTGAGCCGACTTGCCAACTCCTTCAAGTGTTTCTTTTCAAGTGACCAGTGTACCCCGATGACTACTCTGTATTTCGTCCCAAGACACCCTTGCTAAAATGATAGCCGAAAAAGCCCTCCAAGCCGCCGCCGCTGTTCCGCTGCCGAGCGAGTCACCATGCCTACCAAAGAAAGAGCGCTGATCGCTCGGCGCCGTTCTCCATGCGGGAGCTATGGCGAGACCCAAGAATGGTCCAGCCACGGAGATCAAACGTGATCTAGTCGATTGGCCATCCCCCAATCCCCTTCTCGTGGTAGTAACGGAGAATTCAATGCCCCAGGTTGCACACAGCCACTCTCCCACTCTCCCACTCTCCCACTCTCCCACTGGCCAGAGCGACAGATCGACACATATTTCCCTGTTGATTGGGAAGTTCTTGGCAACACCAACTGGATGCCAGTCGACCTTGAGGGAGTAATATCGCCACATTTATGCGTTCGCGATTAGTACAAATAAATGCGCTGATGGCTGGTTCTCGGTGGATCGGCTGCCAAGTAGTACTGAGTATACTACGTACCATTATCAATCCTTATATTTCCTCTTCTCTTTGATAATCTTTGAGGGTTAATTTGCCCACATACTTTCTTCAGAGGCGTGCTAGATTCGCCAAACGATGCCACGGTACCGCATGAATGGGATGGGATGTCAATATAGCCTGCATGGGAAAGAATGCTTGTGAGGCTGTGGCAAACACTGCAATGTCATCATGGGGTCGATCTACCATACTATTGATCAATGTTGTAATATAATGGAGGAAACACAATAAATGCAATACTTGTATTGGTACAATTCCCCTCCTGCAACAGAAACGTCGCATTCTCCACGTCGTTGAGCCAAGGCCTGTAAGAGTCATGGTAGTGTAATGAGACAGCAGCAAGCCAACGCATACTCACAGTAACTCGACTCCATCCTTGCTATCAAAACCCTTGAAGCCTTCACCAGCCCGCCTGCCAAGACTGAGTCTTTTTGTAGAGCCGAAACAGATCATGTCGATGAAAATAGGCTGAATGCAGCGGGTGAAGCAAATGTCTCAACGATCATTACATCAGCCCTGTTTTTTGCTGCTTTAAGTGCACGATGATGTTATTAGTCTAGCATTGATTGCAGCATTGACATTCTTAACAACTGACAATTGGTTCTTTTGGTGCTATCCATGGCCGACATGAGGTCGGGGTGGCTGATATGGACTACTACTATACCTCATTTCCAACTCAGGGTATTCATCACAACTTGCAGCCTTGTCTTATTATACGCCTAGTTCTCAGGCAAGATGAGCGTCCCGAGCCGACAATCCAACTTTGTCCAGTTTGGAAGGATACTACAGATTGTGTCATAGTAAAACAGTTTGTTCTTGCCTGGTAGAAATGTTAAGTGAATAAGAGATGTCTCAAAGGACCGCAGCAATATCCTTTTTCCTTTCTGAGGTTCCTCTTGGTGTTGAGTCAAATCTGCTGGCATCGGTAGCTATAGTTTGCCTTATTTTCAGTAACCCCAATCTTTGGATTGACTGAACACGGGGTCACTGCTGATGGGCCGGATATCTGGTAATGGCTTTCTTGGTCAAAAGGTTGGTGGATGAAAATAACTCGTGGTCTATTATGATGATGCATACCCACTTTGTGCCCACGTCCTAGCCATATCATTATCTGCTGGTAATGAATATATTATGGGCAACAGATACTCGGCAACACGGCTCCAATAGTCACAATGACTACTCTGTAACTTGACTAGTTTTTTCTTGCAAGATAATGCTAGGACAATGATTTGAAGGCGGATGCGTTTACAGTCGCTTCATCTATTGAACATCAATCTGCATCCAAGGCAGCTGATCACTTTGTCATCAACTTGCAATTCTTTTTGCTTTTCAATTGAACACATATTCCTGATCAAGGAAACATCGGCACTGGCACTTAACCTCAGCAATGAGTGTGTTCCGATGAACCATCAAGGAGAATGACTTTCAATAGTTGGGCATGACAATCGGTTCGAGAACTACTTCGTTCATCCCACAAAGAAAACTTTTACCTGGTTGATTGTATTTTCCCATGGTGCTGGCTGTAATATTCAAGGTAATCACTTATTGCGAAGGCACTTACACCATGTGTCGTAGGAAAGCTTTGATGCGCTCAAAATATGAGGCATTTCAAAGCCTTCTGGCCATCGTCAAATGCTCTAGCTAAATAGAGCATTTTCCATTCTAGCCGTCAATCATTAATAATACCTTGACGCCATAAGGAGCTGAAAAGCCACGGAAGCAATGCGCTCAGGAGTCAAATCACTAAAAGACAACCACGTGAGCAAGTGGAAGTTGCATACCTACTTGGTAGGGAGGGACTCAATAATCCACACGTGAAGGCCAGATCAGTCAAGCCAGTATTGATGCAAGTATCTAGACAAATCTTTTACAACCAACCAAGGGCAATACTGATTTCAAATTAAACAACTTCGCTCACGTTTAATCATGCCATAATGAAGATAGAGAAAAATCAATTCAGGACGTCAAAAACATGTCATTTGCCATCTGAAGACTACTCGCAACAGATCTGAAAGTAAAGAGACACGTCCAATAACAACAGCGCAAGACTCCGTTGGGATCCCACAGCTCTTAAGCTCTTACCAACCCCCTACTCTGGCCACGAGTGAGTCCAATATTGCTCTATGATATACACGAGAGACAGTGGTCACTCTCGATCTTCTTCTCATCCCCTACCCGGCTCCTCAGAATTGCGCCATAACCAAAACGAGAGCTTTTGGCCAAGGAAAAGTATCGTCCCCCAATACCAGACGAAATGCCATCAACAAGACAAAGAAAAATTCCAGTTCATCGGCTCCAAAAACCCAAGCCACGAGGGGTGATAATGTATTAACAGCGTGAAGACTGATAAGTCAAAATGCGTGACACGCTGGGTATTTTCTTTTTCAATATAACAAAACGCGCAGTGGATCATCTTCTGCGTAGGTTTCAGCGACATGTGGGCAGTATCAGTAGCCTCGACCAAAGTCTGTGATGTAACAGCCGGTCTTGGCCAGAGACGACCCCGGCCAGTGAAGAAACGGTGTCCAAACCTCCACATGGCCCAGTCCAACCTCAACGCTTGACAGCGAGATGGAGCTGATTGCACTACAGCAAGATGTGTGTGTGTGGCCATAATTGTGTATAAGCATAATGTACGGCCGGCTAATACAAGTATGCCGATCTACTCTGAAAGCGAATTATTTTTTTGGTTGGTGTTGAATAAGTTGTGAAAATGGTGATTTTTTGAGTTCCATAGAAGTCGTGTGTTTTCGTTCGCCTTGTGACATTATAACAATCTCGCAGTCTGTAGGTGCAAGTATGTCTAGCCACAAGATATAAATGCGAGATCCATTTGCAGATCCGCGTGCAAAAGCCAATGAACGCCATGAGATGCCCGGCCAAGGAGTTCTGACCGCCTTGGGGAATGAATTGCTCGACATTGATCAACCTGAAAGGCTGCCGACTTGTAATAATGGCGCAGTCTACTCCGTTGTGATCTCACCCCCTGGCATATCAAAGTTGCTGGTAAAGTCAAAGCTGTCTGCACCACCATCGCCATCATGCAGGAATGAGTCGAAGTCGAAGTCCTGGAGTACGTTTCCGGAATCGATCGGATTGGCAAAGTCCAGATTGCTGATCTCGAAGCTCTTCACGTCGGAATTAGTATCGGGCTTCCCAAAGGCAATGCCAAAACTTACCATTGAACCGCCGTTGTCCATGTTAAAGGCATTCGGATCCGGATGGGCCTGTGGGGCGACCGGAGCTGGAGCTGGCGGCGCAGAGGTTTGCACATTAGGTACCGGTTGCGCTGCGGCATTCTGTCCGTTCTTGGCAAAATTTGCGGCAGGGTTAGCCGGGGTGATGGGAGTTGCAGGTGTAGGAGTCTCTTGATCCTGTGATGCTTCTGCAGCTGGTGTTGCGCCGGTGTTGGCATTCGACTTCTTCGCGGCGGCACCCTGACATTAGTATATCAGCTCTGCACAGGCAAAACAAGAACCGCTGGTACTAAACTTACCTTCTTGGTATTCTTTGTGTCCTTCTTCTTGGGGTTTGCCTTGGTAGATTGTTGTGGCGTAGGGGGAGCCGCGTTGCTGGTTGCCGGCGACGAAGGCTGAGTGCGGCCATTGGCAGGATTACCACCTGGACCAGGTGCGGACGGCGGCGGCATCTGAGCAGCTCGCTGCTGAGGGGTGCCCTGGACAGGTCCCTGAGGCCCTTGAATCATGGCGCCGTTCGGACCGCCCTGCCATTGCATCTGGTTGGGGCCCGCCTGACCTCCCTGAACTTGTCTGGCTGCCATCATTTGTGGGTTGACTTGGCCATTGAAGGGTTGGTTCGGGTGGGAGCTTGGTGGTGGCCGCATGCCTCCGCCCATGTGGGCAGCGTTGACCATGTTCGGGTCCATACCATTCATGTTTTTGAAGAAGGCAGCCTGGTTTCCAGCCATGCTCGGGTCCATGTTGCCGCCCTGCATGAAATTCATGGGGTTGGGAGAGCCTCTGGATTGCGCTCCCTCGGGTAGTGGCGATGGAATGCCGGCGTGATTCATCTGCGGTGTGCCTCGCTTCATCTGCTCACTTGGATTGGGAGAGGCGCCTGCGCGGGCTCCCTGGGGAGACGTGTCCGGGAAGGCTTGGCCGTTAGGTCCAGGAGGTCCTCCAGGTCCTCCGGGGCCGGCTGGCCCATCGCCTCGAGGCATGCTGCCCATGCTGTCCTGTTCCTGCCGAGCCATCATGAGCCGCTTCTTGTTTTGCTGTTCCAGGAGCATCAGTTGCATCTGATAATCTTGCAGGGCGTGATTGCTGCCGCCGCCCTGCCCGTTACCAGGTGCGCCAGGTCTTATGCCGCCTGCTGGGAACTCGTTGGCGTTGTAAAGGCTGCTAATATCAGCTGCGTTGGGACCAGGCTGCATCATGGGAGAGCCCTGGCCTTGAGGGCCGGGGTTTGTCATGGCCTTGTTAGGCATCTGTTGACCATGGTGTTGCTGCAAGTTCTGAGAGTACGTGGCGATGGGGTTCTTTTGAGCGCCAGGCGGCTGGTTGGCGAAATTCTGGAACTGTTTCAAAGTTAGTAACTTTGGAGTGTTCTACGGGAGTAGCAACTTGACGGCGGCTTGCGCTCGCATCATTTGTGCAGGATGATTTCCAAAAACCTACCCCTGGTTGACCCGGCATTCCTTGCTGTTGAGGCCGTCCATTAGGCATCATGCCCGGTTGTGGTTGGTTGAAAGGGGCCTGACCTTCCAACCTTGGCCTCTTGCTGGGTGACGGTGCATTATCGTTTGACCCGGGGGATGCCGGTCGGCGGTTGCCATCCATATCCGAGGGATCGCGTTGCATGGGGTTCTGTTTGGCTTGCTGCTGCATCATGGCCATAGCTTGGGGGCTTTTTCATGGTATGTCAGTCAACATATCGGTCATATATATTCCATGCGAACTTACTTGTTTTGGTTGTTCGCCATGGCAGTCCTGGCAAGGTTGTTCTTATTCGCCATCTGCATGCCGTTGGGCATGTTGCGCATCATGGCAGGGTTGAATTGCATCTGATCGGGGCGCATCTGTCGGAGCATTTCCTGCTGCTGACTTTGCTTCAGCCGGTTCTGTTGCTAGAGTCGAAGTCAGTATCAAGAAGCGAATACTCGGTTTTGATTTGTAGAATCAAGAAAACTGACCTGAGTGTGCTGAATATATGTATTCACTTGGGTGTTGCCGCCAGGCTTTAACCGATGACCATTTAGCATCTCCCAAAACAGCCCAAACCACTCGTAAAGAAAACAAGATTCTGACGAGATCGGAATGTTAGCTACGGGCAAGTCAGCAGGGCGCTTCTCCATGTCGTCCTTGCTGTCGGTATCCATGGGATCGTCGCCAGCGTTATTGCCCAGGCCGTTCTCGCGACGGCCAGGGCTGTCCTTCTGTAGTTGGACTTGGATCGGCTGTTCGCTGTTGAGCATAGCACGAGCAACGTCGTAGAGCCCCTCCTTGAGAAAATAATCATAGATATATGTGTTGAGCATATTCCTGTGTGTTTGTGTCTGGGACTGCGGCATTTGCTGCGCTGCGGTGGGCATAATGCCATTATTCATGGGCATGGGCATAGCGCCGGCTACCTGGCCAGCCATGGCGTTCATGTTGGCCATGTTGACGTTGTTCATGGTTATGGTGGCGAGCAGACAAGGTCTGCGTAGGTTCGGATGGGATCAGTCGTCGAGGTTGATGGAGCTAGTTGTGAGAGGTCGACGACCGTTGCCGCGCGGACGCGAGTTTTGAAGCTGATGATGGGGCGCAAAAAAGCCAGCTCGGAGACGATGGCCGGTTGGCTGCTCTCGCGGTCACAACGCGACGTGTTGTAAAAAAAAAAAATATCCCGGTGGGTGGGCTTGTCTCGGTGAGCCACAGCGGGCGCCGACACAAACAAAAGGGGACGTGTAATCAGTTTTTCTCGGATAGTCGCTTGTCGCTCGAGGGGAAGGACTGAAACCAGGCGCGTTGTTTCCGATGAGGCGACGCTGGCAAAAGAGCTTTTGAAATAGATTGATCTAATCGCCAATGATGAGACGGCGCGACGAGTCTAGATGACCTCAAGCACGGTTGTATGAGACGAGAAGGACTGGTACGCCAGAGGCCTCAAGCGCGAATTGAGTCAATGCAAAGTGGCTGGTGGGACGGGATGGTACAGTTGCAATCGAAGGGCAACTAAGGGGTAACAGATGAAATCCCCAGACGAGCATACGCGACGCCGTGCGAGAATTTCTTCGTGATTATGATGCACCTGCACCTGAAATGAAGACGTGGTAAAAGAAAAGGAAATACGAGCGACTAGGGGAATGCAGAAGCAACAGCAGCCGTCGCGATTGTAGAGGAGGGAGACGCTGAACGGGTAGGATGTCGGGGATCGCGGCGAAAAGCGACCTGAGCAGCGAAAACGCCAAAAGTCGACAACCCAGCTGCTGAATCAAATCGAGATCCCAGTCCACCCCAGTTCGGTCCAGACAGAGAGACCCGACGACTAGTCCAACCTGGATTGCGCAGGAAGGGAGCGGCGCGATTACGAGAGGAGGAGAGGAATAAGAAAAGTGAGGAACAGCGACGACGTCTGTTAAACGTATGCGCGATGCAGCAGCTTTGATGCTGTGCTGAGTTGACGAATACCTAGGTAAGCGGCAAGTAGGTAGGTAAAATGGTCCAGGTTGTTCCAGAATCGCGTTGGAGCCGGACGATTTAGGTAATTTCCGACTTTAACAGGCACGGTAACGGGGAGATACGGAGGTGATGACCACAAGGATGAGGATAATGTGGTGAATTTATCACTCATGAGCTGGTCGACTGCGAGCAAGGTCGGAATCCGAAAGTTGAAAGTCGATATTTCAACTCAAAAGATTGTCGCAGTTTCATCGACAAGAGTGACGATGGCGGGAGGGTCTGTGGGAAGAGAGGAAGAGGGATGATCGCGATGGAACGAAGCGCCGGCAGTCTTTGGGGGAGGAAGAGAGAGCTTGTGTCCATGGGTGGGCTCCAGGAGCCATAGATCTCAGACCGGCGGGATACCATGAGTCCACGCAGCTGGCAACCAACACCTTTCGGTTGCAGCCTACAAGGCACAGAACTAATGTATGGTTGGGGGCAAAACTGGCCTACAAGGTAGGTACGAAAACCTAGAAACACCGACCTCACAAGCACTTGAGCGCTGCAGAAACCAGCTAGTGCCCCAAAGTACAGAGGGGTCTTACCTCCCTGCCTACCTATAGTACATTACCCATAGTACCTAGAAACCTCAACTTGGGTGCCTGAATGTAGGGACGAGTAGTAGCTATTGCCACAGAGGTTGGAGAAAAGAACTGTTAAATAACATTGACCACTCTGTACTTGCATGTGGATTGAAATTCACCTATTTACATGTATCATGTTTTCGTTTATACTTAATTGTCGTCCGTGATATAGTCAGGTACGTTGTTTTCTTGTAATATTTGTGCATGGTTTTTTTTGCATACCAGATGATCTTTGATTTGCAATTCCAGTTCATTTCAAGGCTAGAAAGGACAAAATCAAATTCAATGCAAAATGTAACTAGGTAAACATTCAATGAAGCCAGATTCAGGCCTGCGGGAATGGGCATTGACAATAAAGGACAAAGCCGCAGCATGAGACCAGCAGCAAATCATCAGTTTGTGGAATCATTTGCTTCTTCTAGAGGTCGAGTCACAATATAAGACATTTCCCCATGCTAGACACATAAAATTCCGCATGCTTGCGTATTCTTAATGATAATATTCACGCTTGTGATATATTTCAAGCTGGAACAACTTGAGAAAACATAGAAAATTAAACACTTATCAAGCTCCGTAGACTGGCACGAAATGGTGCTAGCAGTAAACACATCCATGGGTTAATCGAAGGCGGGTATTATTTTTAGTCGAGACAGCATTTTGCTTACTTAAGGCTGGAGAAAACAGTCTACAGAATCGAGGATAAAACACTGCCCAAATTTGCGGGAGCCGCGATGATTTTGCAAAATACGAATTAAATAAATCAATTCATAAAGGGGCAATTTATCAGCATTTTAGCACGCAAAGCATGCATCAAATGAGCACCTAGTTCAAATGGTTGCAGAGGCGGGACTATATCAATGTCAATATGTACCGAGTCCTGGCCATTTTATAGTAGTATCTAATTCTTAGTGTAGGTAGAAGAGGAATATGAATAGGCAGATCGATGGAGGGTGCTTGGGGACGTCAACGGGCTGGTGGTCGGTAGCTTTTCCTGAGACAGATGGGGTCGCTGCGGCGCGATGCCATGCAGCCCAAGAAATCGTCCAGATGGGCGGGTTTTCTTGAGCACGCGCATATTTCAGAACGGATTTTCGGGGGAAGTTGAAAGCTGTGGCGGCTCCTTTTCTTCCTTGAGCTTCGAGACAGCTGTGCGGGACGGCGGCTCTGCGTATCTTTGAGCACGATTTCTCCAAAAATAAGGCTGGTAAGGCCGCTAAGGCATCAACTTCCGGCTTGGCACGGCACCAAATTGAATGGTCAAGCTGACTATGGCTGACCAACTGACATCCGGACAACACAGCGCTGTGTCAGCAGTAGATGGATTTTTACGCTTGAATTTGTATTACTTGGAGTGAGTAGAGACTCGTAAATGGCCACAATTTGCAAGAGGTATTTTGTGTAGGAATAGAAAAGAAAAGAAAATGGCGAGTGAAGTCTGGTGCTTGTGTGGCCGCGTCTTGGCCATGTACAAAGTCCAGACGAAGTAAATTGAGCCGCCAAGGACTCCGTACTGTGCTGCGTCGTAAGTTGTCTGACCACCAACTTCTTGTTCTTCAAGCCTCTGGTAATATGAGAATACTAGAATATTTCAATATTATAAACCACAGCCATGTGATCAACAGTTATTGTCAAGCCTGTGTATAAATTATATAAATAAAATGGGTACCAGTTCCTAGATGATGGTTCTAGAGTGACCCAAAGCCTCAATGACAATACCTTTATGCCTATCTGTAGTTGCAGGCATTGTTCCCTCGCGGACCTGGGCATCTATGTAGGTATACCCTCTTTGAAGAATGGACAGAAAACGATTACTTGTGATGCGATGCCATTTTGAATTGGAATTCAGTCAATGGCGTAGAAAACCCGAGTTCTATAGATACCTAGATAACTTTGAGATACGATATTCCACTTTTTTCATAGCTGGCAGCTAGCTACTGCAACCCTGTCTGCCTGTTGCAGAAAAGCGACCCAAATATGGAGAGAAGATCAGCAACGAACTCGCGAGCTATCCACATGTCGAGCATGTCGCGTCAACCCTGCTTGACTACTATTCTTCAAGGGTCAGTATGCAATCCCGGGTTTTTGCATGACAAGGCACCATCTGGTACTTGACTACAACAGGTGGCTTTGTTTACATCCTTCCCCCCTCCAAATTATAAATCTACTTCATGTAGGATAATGAACATCCACGCATGATGGCTTCATACTTTATGGTCATCAATCATTAATCTCTACTTTAGAGAGATGGGCTATATTGAGTAATTAACGTCGCAGCGTTGCCACAAATGGACCAAGGGCTCCGATTTCTCTAGGAAGCATTTAGATGGAATTTTCGAAATCTGTTAATCATTTCAGCCGGGTGGACAGATGCACATCCTCAGTCAGTACATGTAAAATGGAGCAAGTCATTGGAATCTAGATATCAAAAGATCAGTTCTATAAACCAACACGAACCCGACACCAGCGCCGAGGCAAGTGTGCACAACATCTGGATGCTGCCGAGTCATGTCCCAAGGTATCCCACGTCATTTACTTACCCAGCCAGTACATGTTCAACAAGTTGGCCTATTTTGACAGGTCCCTTTTGGCTCTGATTGTCTATTCGATGATTGGGAATGATGGGTAATGTCCATCTTTTACGCTCTGGCAAGAGCATAGGTACGCTTGCGACGGGCGAAGCCGTGCGAAGATGCGACCTCGGAAGATATAAAATCAGATTCGTTGGAAATATCATATCTCACAGGTCTCGCGGTCATGAGTGCATACAAACAACAGCTAGTCTTCAAGGTCCTGAGATGCATCCCCAGACGTGATTGTAGAAGCGATTCAGGGCATGCGAGCTACATATTCAAGCAGTCATGCGATCGCATCTCCCCTCTTGACCCCGGTGCAGTGCCGGCAAGCCAAATGTTGTTCAGGGAATTGAATAGATTTCAAGGCCCGTCGGCGTTCACTCCTGGCTCAGTGTAGAGCCGACGTTGCCCTCATTGCCGTAACTAAGTCGTATACATCATCTACCCATAATATCGTGTTCTTAATCATCCTCGGGCGGCAGTTCATCATCGATATACCTGATCAAGCTGATCCGCATCTCGGTAGTATCATTGCCCCTCAATATGTCACTGATAAAATGTGCTTCGACCTGCATCTGGACCATCTCCAAAGCTCCACGAAGTACGCCACAAAAAATGTTTGAGTACCAGAGCTCATCTTGGGCTCTGCCGTCATCTGGTAACTCTACAAAGTCGGCCAGCGGGTTCTCCTCAAAGACTAGTGAGAATTGCTTGTTGTCGTTTGTCCAGTTCGTGATGGTGGGCGTAATGTTGAGAAAGATCTTGAAGCCAACCTAGGCGCCGTCAGTGTTAGCAGGACAGGTCCCTCCATTCGCAGTACAGCAGAAATATGGGCGCGGAAACATGCGCACCTTTGCTATCATCTCGGCGGTCTCGCGGAAATTCGAACATCGGCGCATCGTGTTTGACTTTGCAAGATAATCTTCAATCAAGCGCAGGCCAATATTGTAGCCCATTCGATCGAGTTGCTTGTTGACCTCGACGTAGTCGGATTCGAAGTCTTTGCATAACTGAGCGACAATGGTGCCGTACGTGAGGGTCACTAACTCGGCGTTGACCTTGTCGATTCGGCCTCTACGTATGTGGTCAGAACAAGCGATTCGTGGCAGTCCGTGAGTAATTCTTACTTCCAGATCCTGGTTGTTGTCATTGTGTCAGCTCTCCAGTCTCAAGTTCAGTCGGCCGATTGCTAGACGTACTCCTCGCCCACACGGGCAGCCTTGCTTGCTGACATGCTCGATAATCGAGCCCACGGACAGGACTGTTGATCAGACCATTAAGAAGAAGGTGATTTTTGCGTATCTTTGATGGCACTTCAACCAATCATGTATTATGTGCGTGCTGCCTGGTCGCGGGTTTGAAGGATTGTTGTGGAAAATGTAATTGAACCGAATGCTCCTTATGCGCAAGCTGGGCCTCCTTTGAGCGCTACACATGGATCTATGGAGCGCATGCCGATAGGGACGGCAGAATCATAGAGCTGAGAGGTAGACATTTGGCAAGGCGGTGAACTTCTGGTGGGGCTCTACAGTCTACGTGACATCCATGTATCTAGGGTCCACTCTGTCCGCAAGGTCCACGGGTCGGTGCTTTCAAGCTTCTAGCTCCGACGTCACTCCTTCGGCCCGGAACATTGCTAGCACCGACCCATTTTCTTGAGCTAGTCCCGAGGTCGTGAAATGGATCCAATTGGATGCAGTAGATGGCCTTGGTGATAGCTTCAGCATTGGCAACCCATTGGCTTGACACGCAGTTACCTAGTCATTGACTTCAACCTCCACCGGCCCTGACAATTCTAGCCGCCTCACCTTATCTAACCACCTCAGAGAGAATAATCGTACACACGACGCGACTTCTTCAACTAAAAAGTATCATGGCCGAGAAGCGCCCCCGCCGCCCGTCTGACGATACAGGCGCGGCTGGACAGATGATTGTCAAGAGACAGAATGTGGGAGTTAGTACTGCATTGGCTCGTCGCGACGCTTCTTCAAGTGGTGCTTTGATTCAATCTGTAGGTTTTTTTTCTTTGCACGGAGGGTGTCTACGTTCAAACTGACAGACTTGTGTAATTAGGCTCCCCGAACGAGTAGCCTCGACGCTCCGGTGATGGAACTCACTGGCCATGCTGGCGAAGTCTTTTCCGCACGATTTGATCCCACCGGCAACCTCGTTGCAACAGGGTCCATGGACCGCAGTATACTTTTGTGGCGGTCCCATCACGACTGTGAGAACTACGGTGTTTTGAATGGTCATCGTGGCGCGGTATTAGACCTTCAATGGTCCCGAGACTCCTCTATTCTCTTCTCCGCATCCGCCGATATGCACCTCGCAAGTTGGGATTTGACATCGGGCCAACGGATACGGCGGTACATCGGCCATGAGGAGATTATCAATGCAATGGACATCACAAAGCGAGGCGAAGAAATACTCTTTAGTGGTAGCGACGACGGCACCATTGGAATATGGGATCCACGGACGAAGAATGCCTCCGACTACATTGAGACAGAGTTCCCCATCACCGCTGTGGCAGTGTCTGAAGCTGGAAATGAGATCTACTCTGGAGGAATTGACAACGACATCAAAGTTTGGGACTTGCGGAAGAAGGCTGTCGTATACTCAATGCTGGGCCACAACGATACCATCACCAGTTTGCGTGTCTCTCCGGATGCTCAATCTTTGCTGTCATACTCGCACGACTCGACCGCCAAGACTTGGGACATTCGACCTTTTGCACCTACAGAAAGACACATTCGCACTTTCGATGGTGCACAAGCCGGGATTGAAAAGAATCTGATGCGGGCTAGCTGGGACAAGAACGGTAAACAGATCGCTGCCCCTGGTGGTGATGGAACCGTGGTCATCTGGTCCAGTGACAACGGCAAACTGCTGTACAAGCTCCCAGGTCATAAGGGCACGGTAAATTGCGCAGAGTTCGCGCCAAGCGAAGAGCCGATCAGTAAGTTGACCTTTCTCATAATCAGTACTTTTCATTTCTAACAAATCCACAGTCCTCTCTGCGTCGTCTGACCGCCGAATCTTGTTGGGCGAGCTGCGATGAGCTCGCTTTGTATGATTTCCTGCGCTTTTTGACCTCTCAAGATGTTTGGTGGCTGAGTCCACGAGGGCCGGCAATGAGCCTATTTCCACTCCAAGGGAGTCAGCTATGCCAAGATGGTGCTATTGACACCGAGCGACGTTAACGTCAAAGTGACAAGATCAATTCTGTGATGTAAGCGTCTTTTGATCGCGCCCGCTGTGCGCATCGCAATGGATTGGGACGACAGCGGTAGTGAGCAATCAAACTGCCAAACGTTCAAGAAGTCATTGATGTGAAGAACAGGCTTGTTTTTCCACCAATCTCCAGATACCAATAAATCGAGAGCTTCGTTCTCCACCAGCTAGAAGTAGGGTCTTCCTTAGCTGTTGTAGCGAGCCTGGGGTGGACCTGGGGAATTTCGGAAGACATTGACTTGGTTGACGGCACTGGTGACCGATTCGACAAGTCCAATGCTGAGATGACGGTTCAGTGCGTTCACCCCCTGGCATTGTACGGTATTCCGAGATGCACTGGCATGTTCCTCAGTATCGAGAATTGCCTTGTATCTGGACAGAAACACATCGTTGATCGCACAATGATAAGTAGCAAGTAACGACAAAAGATAGTTCGTGACAGTGCTTGTAAATGTATTCACATTTCAAAATTATGTGGTTTTCTCTATCATGCCCAGTGCATGGTTGGGGGTCCATTCTGCTCTCTGGGTCGTGAATCAACATCAAACTGGACCTTGACCCAAAGCACTTTGAGGCTTAGCCCACCCGCGCCCAGGTATTTCCCTATCTGGCAAAGCGGCGGCTACTAGTCCTCCAGGATAGTCCCTCGGTAGCCAATCCGAAACACTTGATCCCCTGCATCGCGTCTCATGCTCGAGTTTCCGCCGTCAGAGAAGCCATCACTTTCAGTATGAGTCCCGTCCTATTGGTCCCAAGATGATGTGGTTCTGTATCTTTTGCGAATTCAGGGGTTCCGGAACCCCCAGATATTGACTCCTGCCTCTCTCTGTCCCAGCTGAGATGATTGGATTCTGCAGCGCAAATGGGCATACTACCTCACTGTGTGTCTGTCTGGCTCTGGTGGCCGTTGGGATGCTAGAGGTGTGCGACAGGCAGCTCGTGCGGCAAAAGATCTGCCTCAAGAGGACCCAAGAATCCATCACAAGCCTTACTGTCCTCGCACTGGAAATTTAGCCCCTCTGCAGACGCAGTTACATGGGGCTCTGATGAGACGTCGAGCGCGACCCTGAAGATTCGTGGCTGCGTCTGTGTCGTCGTCGCAGAAGCCACTACCTTCCATTTATCAAGACGTCCAAACAACCTTCCATGGTGTCTCGTGCACTCCTTGGCCCCTCCTCCACTCACGACACTGCTCAGTCAGTAACATGTGAGCCATTGCCTTCTCGTCCTTTACGCATCATACCCTCCTAGTTATTTGTTTTCATTCCTCGTGCGATCTTATGCGAGTCCATAAGCTTTCTTATTCATGTCGTTAAGCGCTCCTTGCAAATAAATTTTTATTCTTCTATTCCCTCGCTCAGTATCCCAAACAGGCACGGGCTCAGGTAGCCCGTTACGCGGCCGATTCTCTCACCTTTTGACTGGCCAACGTACTCTATTCGTCTTAATATAAGCAACAATATCCGTGCCGGCCCGCCACTTGATTCGTCTGGCACCTCGACGGACGACCGACCAACTTACAATAAGTGCTACATTCCGACCCTAAGATATCTTGTTCAGCAACCACTTGGCAGAGGCCTGTTAGGCAAGGGCTCGACTCAGGCAGCCACAAACGCGATTTGTCGCGGTACCCATTAGGGTGTAGAGAGTGATCGGATTGGGCGACTGGGTGCATCATCCACATTGATTCCTTCAGCTTTCTTCAGGCGACAGCAACATTTCCGTGGTCCTTGTTGCTTTCCAGTTCCTTCGACTAGCTTGTGCCAGAATATGTCTGTGAATCGTTGGTGAAGCTAGGTAGAAAAGTGCAGGTTTTTCCAAGATGGACTTTCTTCGTTCAAGAATGAATCATCAAGGCGATTTGCCCGGGGAGCACAGAATAGATCTGGAGCAAGGCCGCACATCCGAAGTGCCACAGGGACGAGAGGCTGGCCACAATAATGGACAAGAGCAAGGGCAAACACGTTGGACTCGCCTCAGGCCTCGATTATCTTTCATCAGCCCAGCTAGGTCTCAAGAAGGTGCCCGTAGCGTCACCAGAACAAACGTGGACCTTCGCGCCGACGGGAGCCGGAAAACATCGAGGCTTCATCTTGGTCTCCCCTCTATCCCATCTGCTCGCCTTGCAATTCCCAACATTGCGCGCACCCGAACGCACAATGGATCAAGACAACCGCGTGCTCGCGAAAGCACGCCCGATGGCACCGAAGATGGATCGCGCGCCTCATTCCAGAGACCACGCACGGAACGGCCTACAGCAGATGTCGAGATGCGGTCGACAATTGAAGGGTCAGAGTCCAGCCATAGGCAGGGAAGACGTTTATTTAGGGGGCGGCAGCGCGCCGAAATGCACCTCACAGATGTCGCTGGATCCAGAGCCCCTGGAAGGCGTGGCGATGACCACGCGCGATCGGAGCGGGGAGCAAAGCCCCAGAGATTTTTATTCTGCTTTCCATGGATTCAAAGTCGCCGTATTCGGTCTCAGATCTTGAGATGTTTCGTGTCAGGCATGTTCTTACTCCTGATGCTAGCAATATGTAAGTCTTGAACTCTCAAAATTTCAGCTCGGAGGCGTATACTCATCTCGTTTGCCACAGATCTTGCACTCAGCGTGACGAAGAACATCAACAACAGCGAATTCACCATCTTGCTGATTTTGATCATCCTCTTCGTAACCATCTTTTTCTGCCACGGTCTGATCCGGCTCTGTATGCTGATCGTAAAGCCAAGATCTGATGACGATGAGAATAGAGCCCGTCTGCCGGAGATGTTCGGCCCCGGCGGTTACGCTGTGCCTAGACGACCAATTCGTGTTCTCCTGGCTCGAGACGAAGAAGCAGCAGGCCTGGAAAGTGAGACAACAAAGCTGCAACCGCCTGCATATGGTCTCTGGAGAGAAAGTGTGGTATGTTTGTCAAGTCAATGATCATCAGATGCGCATACTTACAGAATCTAGCGCGTCGACCCAAATCGTATCTATTGGCAGCGCAACGACGAGCCCCCTTCAAGTGCTGATACAACCGCTCGTCCAGCAACAGCAAATAGGCCACCATCGTATATTTCAGACGACGGCATAGAATATGTAGTCGAAGCCCGACCAAGATCAATGGCGCCTTTATCAGATATGCTAGTGAGCAATGTGTCACTTCCTCCTCATCCCTCGGAAGCAGGGAGACTACAGCATGCACCGGATGTCTGAGCCGAGTAGCCTTGACAAAAATGTACTTGGAAATGATATAAGCCAATTCGTGGCCTTATTTGTGTAGTTCTGTACTATTAGCGATGGTGTTATGGAGTAATTTGCTGACGGCGCAATATGACAACTTCTTTTTTTTTTTTTTTTTTTGGCATGCTTAAAGTATTAAACACGACATATATCAATGATAATAAAACTTTTCAATCTGCATAACACAGTAAGAGTCCGAGATAACGGACAGTTTTATTACAATGACGGTCATCGACTCTATTATACAAAAAAGCTGATTGCAATAGTTTACAGCCTAGCATAAACCTTTCCTCGTGTTATATCTTCTGCGAAAGTGAATGATTCCACAAGTAATATTGCAAAATTATTCATGAGACTTGAGATTGGTTCTTTGAATGGTTCGCTTTTTTCCTCCCCGATTCTCAGCTCCGATGTATAATTTCTCTTTATTTCTTTCTTAGTATTTCGAGATTGGAAGCTGCGATTATGTAACGACTGACGACACGAATCCATGATCTGTGCGTGTCGATGGAATGGACAGATGCACTTTTGTTTGCATCATTTTGTGAAGTTTCTGGCTTGGACATCATTTGTTGTCCCATGCTATTCTCTTTCTTTTCATTGACCTTAAACAAAAGAATTGATGAAAGGGCTCGAATTCAGCATTGTCATGGGGTGTAAAGGCCGCAACAACAAGAACATATCGAGCATTGTCTTGACGCCTTGACTGGCCTGATTGAAATAGGCCGCTTCCGCGATGCAATTGTCTCTTCACAATTTCGTTCAATCATATCAAACCACATCTTTCGGATCAAAAGCCGGCTGCACAATGCATTGTTCGAACTCCCTCAAGCACATGGGTTCCGGCGGAATATCGTATTGCCGGCTCCATGAATGCGGCATCGAGATGGAAGCTTGCAAAGGAGATTACTGTTCCAAGAAGTGCTCTCGACGCGAACAGATGAATTGTTTGGCCCCCGCCTTACTGGGTGTATCTCTGATACTTTCAACCAGCTGCTTGGGGCTTGGTGTAGGGGTGCCTTGCTGGGCCGTGTTCTGCGTGAGCTTGACAGTGCTTGCTAGGAAATGGGTTGAGTGGTAGCTGGCCAGTGGTGTGCCGCGCCGATATGATCTTGATTTAAATAGATGTTTAATGATTGCAATGCTACATTCACCATGACATTCCCCGTCTGAGCAAGAGCCAAGCCATGTAAACTTGCAATATCAATTTAGAAAGTCAAGCATATGTGAAGAGTGTGGTGCTCAGATAAATCAACAGTAATATTTGTATTTATCGCGATTATAGTTATATAGCGAGAACCAAGTATAGTGTGGAATTTTCAACAAAACTTCAATACCACATTCAAGGAAGGGGAATTGTCGTATTGATCCTTGGTTACAACTTGGTGGCATTCGAAAGTCAATGATTGACGTACCTTGATTCTACATGAATAATTTGCACTTGTAGATCATGTGGAGACTAAATCATGCCTGAAATGAAACCAGTCGGTGTTGCAATCATATTGTATCGATAATACCTGTGATATCCGATTCTCAAGCAATGTCAAAGGGACTAAATTCCACCCGAGAGCCCTTTTTTTCTTTTTTTTTTTTTTTCCAAGGCAGGGTTCAATCTTTTATCGTTCGTGGGCACGCTTATTTTTTTGCACTTCACGTGGCTTCCAGGATATATCCCACCAAAGCGCAATTTAGCTTCTATCGAATCATGTTGCTTTCTTTCTTGCGCCGAGGTTACCGATAGCCCTTACTGTGGAGGTGCGGACTGGACCAGAAACCTACCCCCAGCCGCAGGGTTTTGTGCCTTCGCGCATATGCATTTCTAGTACTATGTAATCACAGAGATGCGCACCTCAACAGATACGCAGTTGCGTCATACTAATCCACTCGCTCAATTATAATCATCAGTTCAAGTAGAAACCAAGTACTGTCTTTGACCTTGGTATGCAGTGTGTCAGCTGTTTAGTCGCCGCAAAAGGGTCTACTGTGTAAGTTGGCCAAGGGCTTCAAGAGGCAAGATGGCGACACTGACTGCGGCACATAGGGAGGGTAGAGTGCGAATAGATGAACACAGATCATCATGGTGTACGTAAGCGGGCCGCGATTACAAAAGGAATGTCTACTGCTTACAGATGTACATAGGTAGGCGCCGAAAAGACAAAGCATTATTGCATGGGTACCTACCTTTACAAGAGAAGGGAATCGGGACTAGTCCTTTGGGACGGGTTCGAACCGAGTCGTTGGCATGAGGGCATGCGAGGCACAAACACTGAGAAACGGCGGCGACTGGCTTGACTGGGAATCAGCATATGCGCCAATCTGTGAGCTGCGATAGTGACCACAACTTGCATTAAACAATGAGATGGTCTCGAGATATAAGCTGACAGAACAGGGTTGACAGGGGGCCGATTTCCTTTTCGTCTGCTCGTCCGTGATTAATATTGGCTCTGACCAAGGCAGGGCCCCTGACTGGCCCGTAACATCACAAATGGGATTGCACATCTGTCCGTGGTTGAATACCTAGATACCGGGGGCGCAAGATCAAAGTTTATCACACAATGATTATTGCTTTCAGGTAGGTACCTACCCATCTAGCTGTTTGTTGATTTGTACCTATATGACCATTTCCTTTTATATCGGCAGGGCATGTTCCATTACGGCAGCGTATATTGCAGAAGAAAAGCGTGATCAGCTCACTCCAAACCTAAACAACCCACAAAGCCTATCGAAACGCCCCCGGAATATACTATGGACAACAGTCTTGAATTCATTTACGGGTAGGTTGATATGCATGTCTCTCGTTAGCATAGATGCCGTCTAGACACTGCGAGATACATACCTCCCTGCGTTGGGCACTTGGAAAATAAAAACAAGAAGCCCTTTTTATTCTAGTAGCACATGCGGCTCCACTGAAATGTTGCTTTTTGGACTGGGAAGTAGATTTCTTCCGTTGCGCCCGCGTGCCCGCCGCACGCGCCCCCCATGCTTAGTATGTAGTGAACCTAGGTTAGGTATGCCATGCCAGCCATGAGCATGCCATGCCCAAATCTGACTGACGCTTCGTGCACATCCAAACTAATCCCGCCTTCCCTGCTGGCGTTGGCCGGCTCCATCGTTCGGGCGATCGTGGGTCTTTCTGCTTAGCCGTGTGCTCAAAGTTTTCCTCCCATTTTCCCTGGCCCTTTTCCATTTCTTTCCCCTCCTTCAATTTTTTACAAAAGTGTGCCATCTCCCCCTCTCCGGCCACTAGATAAATTCTTTTTTCTTCTTCAATCTCCTCCCTCGGTGATCGCAGAAGCGCAGACGTTGCTTGGAAGCCAAAAGGTTGCAGTCCGCATTTCGCAGTACAGGGTATCAAGCGAGCAGGAATCACATTTTTATAACCTAAAGGTATGTATGAATTCTTTTCCTCTTCGACTTTTTAAGCCTCCAAACCTTGTGTGTCTCCCTGATCAGATCTGGACAATCTGGTAGTCCACTTTGCAGTCTGAGTTTTTCATTCAGACTTTGTCCTCCAAAGGTTGATGGTCCTGGTTTGCCAAAGCGACTATATATATGCAACTTGGAATATCTACCCAGCAACGGCGTCCAACATCCATGAGTGGTGGTTCAGTTGTTACTATCCAGCTCGTGCCACCATGACCACCATGCTCGGACAGTCTACGCCAGGAACAGAGGCACGCGCCAGTGCGTGAACCCGCTCTGCACGGACGATTCCTAAGGTGCGGGATCTCTATCGTCGCAACCTTGTCCGATAGGACAGATGATTCCCTGTTCACGTCGTGTCGCACCACACTGTGCCAGCTCCGATCACGACGCCTCGCAACAACCCTAGCACAACGTCGAGACTACTTGCATAGGCCAGTATCACTAGCTGAATACTGTCCCAAGCATGGTCTCATTTTGTGCTACAAAGGTTGGAACTATCTCTGGGGACACGCAGCAATTATCGTTCTGGTAAAAGAGGCTGGACGACTTGCACGACGCGATGTTTCGAGCGAATGGTTGGTTGCACAGGTCATGCATGCTGCAGGCAGCTGGTAATCTAGCCCCACGGGCTTGTGTCACCGCACTCTACTCCACGTCAGCTGTGTGGGATGATTGCGAATTCGTCACAACGAAAGCCACATTCACGTGAAGCTCGAACTGCGTGTCGTCGACATCAACTCCAGACATGCGTTGTTGCGTAGTCGCACTCGAACCTGGCTTGCGACATGAGAGCTATCCTAGCAACGATCGTCAACTCATCTGCAAAGAGACTACCAGAACCTGACACATGAAAAAGAGGCTTTTGGGTGACGAGATCGCTAACAAAGGGTTTTCAGTTTTATCCAAATCGGTCAAAATGTCGTCGCTGTCGCGTCGGGCTTGCTACAAATGTGGCAATGTGGGCCACTATGCCGAGGTCTGCTCCTCGGCGGAACGTCTTTGCTACAACTGCAAACAGCCAGGTAAGAGGTGGTCGTCGTCTCTTCGTGACAATCAGCTAACCTCGATCAACTAGGCCACGAGTCCAACCAGTGCCCTCTCCCACGTACAACTGAGGCCAAGCAGTGTTATCACTGCCAGGGACTTGGCCACGTTCAAGCTGACTGTCCTACTCTGCGCCTCACTGGTGCCGGTGCCAGTGGCCGCTGCTACAACTGCGGTCAGCCTGGTCACCTAGCTCGTGCATGCCCAAACCCAGCCGCTGTTGGCATTCCCCGGGGTCCTCCGGTCGGCCGCGGTGGATATGGAGGCGGCTTTGGTCGCGGAGGATTTGCCGGAGGCGCTCGTCCTGCCACCTGTTACAAGTGTGGTGGTCCCAACCACTTTGCTCGGGACTGCCAGGCACAGGCCATGAAGTGCTATGCCTGCGGAAAGCTCGGTCACATCTCTCGCGACTGCACCGCACCCAACGGTGGCCCGCTCAATACTGCCGGCAAGACCTGTTACCAGTGTGGTGAGGCAGGCCACATTTCTCGCGACTGCCCGCAGAAGGCTGCAAGCGGAGAGATTGGCGTTCCGGCTCCTGTTGACGTGACCCCTGCTCCCCAGGCCATCCCTCCCGTTGCCTAAGCTGCCCGAGACCCGGAGGCATGAAATGCTGTGGCGATGCCGACACGGGGGGATGGTAGAGGAAGGAAACAAACTGACGACGTTATGAATCCACTCTCTGTTCGTGGACAAAGGACAGAGCTGACGGTCTTGAAATGAACGATACCACCCAACAGCTAATCTGCATGTTCTTCTCACTGCGTCCCGAATTTCGAGGCTCAGAAGGGATACATGATCGACTGCCGGACCCTGAGTCTCCGCATCACAATATTCTTTTTTTCTTTGTCTAAGCACCAATTATTTTTTTGGGTCGTCTTTTATACGACGCCTGTTCCTCGGCCTTTTCGTACACGACGCCGGTTTCGAAGCAAGACCGGCATGGTTGTTTACTTGACAGGTAACAATGTTCAAGTCGGTCAGCCTTTAGTCAATGAAACGTTTACAATGTTTCAATATGACGCCTTGTATCTTTGACGATACTTATTTACCAGAATATCGGCTACCCCCTTCCCCCTTTTTTTCTATTCATTTTATTTTCTCCTATTGTATTTTCTTTGCAACATCATCACCAGAGTACGAAGACCCCGACCCGACACGACACGATTGATGCGCAAACGACGCCACAACTCACGAGAGGAAGAAGCCACAGACTTGACAGTTGCAGCAGACGTGGTTGGACTCGCACTGTTAGCTACCGAGTGCGAGTGTTGGCGGATGCGGTCTATGAGAGTGTAGTGAGAGCGCGGTGTGAGGTAGCGAGAGTAGTGCGTAGCGAGAAGAACAAGACAGTGTGCTGCAGACGAGGTCCCCATCATCCTTGCTCATCGCGGTTCCTGTGGGCTGGTCTACATGTCGGCTGGTGTTACGCTGAAGGATGTTGCGGTACTAACGGCCGAGCTCAGTCCGATGCTGGCGACTTGACGACAAGCTATATTTCACAGTTAACGGACCTCCAACTGCTTCCCTCCAGGTAAGAGATCCTTCTCTTTTTTTCTTGACTACTCTTGATACCGCCCATCATACACCCATGGGTCTGCCCCTTTTCTTTATATGATGAGATATCATTAGCTCTAGACCTGAGTCCTTCATGATCGACAACATACCATGTTACACAGTCTCTGATTCCATAATTCATTTTCACAATGTTGTTTGATGAAAACTACCAAGATTCGAGGCTAACACGAATCACCGATAGGATCTACTACTGGCTTTCGACCTAGCGAGTCTTTCAGTATCACTCATTGATATTCATGGTAAGTCTGGACCATCACCGCCAAGTAAGTCACCACTGTTTGTACAGGCAAAGTACGCTGTGATTCTTAACCCGTCGCGAGTTGAAATGTACGTGTAATATGCACTTCCCATTGTAATTTGCACCGTCGCTTTCTCGTTGCCCGTGTTTTGTCACTACGCGCGAGATTTGAGGAAGCTTGCAGAGCTATCCCATTAGTGTAGAAGCGAGCCTCACCACTCTGTGGTGTGCTGTAATCGGAATTATTCCTCAACCAGAGTTTCTCCTAAGGTTCGACCCAGCCAAATTATTGTCTTCTCGTATACTTTGGCGACGCTCATATGTAATTCGTTATCTTCATCATCTGGCGCATGCTCTTGGAAATGTGAAAAGTCCAACGTCTGTGCCTCAGTCTCTGACCCCGAGGCGGGTGTCATTTGTTGGTTGGGCCTCTCAATCGTACCAGTCATTACGTCGTCACGTTCATTCTCATGCTCCTCATCAGAGTCATCTTCCACTGCCCAGTGAAATTGCCCGGCCCCAGCACCACTAGTCTCAGTAGAGATAAGAAGACTGCCACCTTGCGTCGGCGATATGTTGCCTTCTTGTTTGATTTCTGGTGTCTCGGTCGAAAACGAGTTCGGCGATGCAGCTTTTTGCCTCTTTGGCGACAGAGTTGACCGGTCAGAGTGCAAAATCTCACTCTCAGAATCATCTTCTGCCTTTCGCTTGTGTGCTGCGGATATTGGAGCGGGCACGTCGAGTTCGTCCGGAAATAAAAAGGTATCAACCTCGGACTCGCCACTCATCTTTATTGCGACCAGACTTCGCGTCTCATCTGCTAAGCTTCTACACCTCACCATGTCTGTGCGAGTCATGCCTTTGCTCGTGTCGCCTTCGAATCCTGGCAATGCCTTTCCGGTCCGTATGTCGTGTCCATACAAGAGACTAGCGAAGCAATGGTCTAGCTTTTTGAGGAGAGCAAAAGTCGGCCGGGGCGACGGTGGAAAAGCTGGAAGGTATTCGGTGATGGCGAGGGCAACGTTGAGGAGATATGGAACTTGAAGACTGGCTGGGAGGAACAAAGTCAGCGACAGCTAATTGGCAGAGGTCTTACCCAAAGACACGTGGTAAAAAGATGTATCTACTCACGGGTGCCCGAGAACCAGAGCACATCAACTACCTCGTCCAAATCCTTGCAGACCTCGTCGAAGCTTTCGTAAGCCGACACCAGGTCTTGCGGGTCTGGTATGCTATGCTTTTTGACGTAGCGCCTGGAAATGTGTAGCAGCCTTCGATAAACATATTCCCTCGCATAATCCTCCTTGCGTGATCCGGGTACCAGAGGCTTCGACCGAGGATGAGGCAATCCTGCTGCGGCGCGACTCGATGCTGTGCTTGGTGCAGGCGACGGGAGCGACGGGAGCGACGGAGGGAGGAAGCCGCCGGCATTGGCGAATGCTGTCGGAGTAGCTGCAGTCATATCTGTCATGTGCGCAGGTATTGAGCGAGCATTTGGATTCAGATTATCTGCGCAAGTACCAGTAGTCATGGAATAGAGGTGTTATGAGAGTCCAACAAAGGCAAAGGCCATTGGCAAGTGGATGCAACACCAATGGCCGAGGCCTAGGTAATGTATCAAATCAGCCTTGTGACGCCATTCCAGCAGTGCTAGAAAAGCTAGGTATGTTGGGTGGTATCATTTAGCGGGCCCCACTTCTTTTTCCAGAAGACAATGCCGCCCATCCATTAACATTTCAGCCTCGTTGCAACTTTTTTCGCGGCCGCATCCTACCTGTCCCACGGTTCAATATTGTATCGCTTTGCCATCTTAGCGACACCAAGCCAACACACCCTTGTGATTGATTCTATCTCTTTGCTACTCATAATTCACCGCTAAAATGCCTGCCCCCCGCCGTCAGCAAAAGGGTCTCCTCGGCTCGACCTACGATGCCGTCACATCCTCAGAGAATGCCGCCGTTGTCAGAAGCGTAGCCGTATTTGGTGTATGTGCACAGAAATCGAGATGCCGTCTTTCGATGCAGGAGCTAATATCGTCTCTTTAGGCTGCTGTCGCTTTCCTGGCCAGCTCTTGGGCCGAGCTCCTTCTTCCGCCGTATGTCCATTACGAGCCGACATGCGCAAATCTTCTTGTCCATTCGACTGACACCCTAGCAGGCAATAAACGGATACCAAGTGGTGGGCATCGACCATGTACACCAATACGACGAATGAAAGAGCCACAAGGGTGGATTGTACGATACTACATTGAAATGTAAAATTAGGCTGGTTGTGTACTGCGATGCCGCAGTCGCACGCTGCGGGCATCATCCGGTATTGGCAGCAGCCCACGTGGAGAGGATTCTCCCTACTACACTATGAGATCATGGAAGATGGAATTCAGCAATAATAGAGGCATAAGAAATATGCCATATCAAACTCCTCAACTGTCCACTTTATGCCGTTATCTGTTGCTCCAGCCTGGAAACCGAGCCGTTCATTGGCCAGATTCCTATGACTACCCGATCGACGTGGACAAACTTCTACGGATACATGTCACTCCTTGGTCTGTCGTTAGATGCCGCTTTGAATTTGCTATCGGGCTTCTGGCGCCTCGACGGCTTGTAGTTTGAGCACTCGACCGTGTGCTCCCAAGCGTGCGCCTCGGAACGTCTTCTGCTCCAGGATCACCTTGTTCAGAGATGTGTCACGGTGTCTGTTACTGCTCTTGATACTTGCTGATCGTACAATGGTCGTACTCGCAAAGATTCAATCATTCTGCCGACCACGTCAGTCCAGATTGTTCAATGCAGATGTTACGAGTAAACGATGGCCAGTATCTTGGGGAAAGCCACCGCTTTCCAGCATATGAGGTACATTTCAATGCCTCGCTGTCCCACGATTGCGTCTGAACAGCTCTGATCCTCGCGCGGCAGCCAATCAGTTTCTTATTCTTTGCAGTGACTGTACATTTACAAGCAATTATGCCCAGATCATTGAAGCAGAGGAACTCTCTGCCTTTTCGGTCTAGACTTTTGATGCCGGATGATAGCAATATAGTCCAGTGATTTGCCTAATTATTGTGTTAAAAGAAACGGCTTGCCTAATCAACCTCTATTGTTGGCAGAGACAATCAACAGTGCAATGATACAGCAAGCAATGTACAGCCAATTGTGATAAGACGGAATACTATGTATTTTCCGTGCTGCGTATTCCACAAGCTTCGGCTTTGCGCTGCCGCTTCATCCCTGCAAACACTTGGTCCGAGATATGGACAAGCAGGGATTTTTGTACTATGTGAGCGAACGGAAATACTTAGACTCGGTATTCAAGACGACAATACATCCCGTCCTGATGATACCGTCATGGACATTGATTAGATCACGGCCGAAAACCCTTGAATCTTATCAAGACGGCGTTAGTTTCGCTAGCTTTGAGCTCTGGATTTGTCCGGTTTTCGAGCCTCGGGCTTCTTGGGATCCTGTTCTTACTCAAATGCTCTTGGAATTGAACACTTGGCTAGACTCCAATTGATTCGACATTGGCGTTTGACTTGCACTCCCCTCGATTTCGGTAAACCCATGAGTCGAGGAGACGGGGTGTAGGCTAGGGATGCTTTTTTTATTTTCTGCACAAATAAAATACGTACTTTATTTGTAAAATATCGTATAATATGTTCAATTTTACCGTCTGTGCACGCAAATAGGTGTTGACCCATTATTCTTAGAGCACATCGGCTGCTGGTGATAGGACAATTCGGTGCCAGTCGGGATAGCAGAATTACATAAGCTAGAAACGACCCACTAATTTCTGTATTTGGTTGGAAACTGGGGCAGATCCGTGACGCCCTTACCCGGGGATATTTTATCGATTTTGTTAGGTAAAAAACGGGATTATATGTGACCGTAAAAAACCCGTATAATATATAAAATACGTGCAGAAAACGTCCCTAGTGTAGGCGACCACAGGACCACGGACTATACTTCCACAGCTGGCATAGCCTGTCTGCAATTACCGGGGAGAGCAGCTGAGGCGGGCTGGGGACAACCCCACAATCCCCAATTCATGGCGCTGCTATGATATCGTGACCATCATTGACAAGCATGATTTGCAGTCTAATTTCTCCGCAGCCGGGGTTGGATTGTTGTGCTACATGGCAACAAGATGCGCTGCGGTTCTGCTAAGGTTAGTTCCTTTGTGCAACGATGAAAGCCAGGGGAGGGGGCGATCCGAGCGGCGGGATAGGCTGCTTGAGAAGAATCGCCATGAAAATTCCCATATGAATAGAGCGGCTTGTCAACGCTGAGCTACAATGGTCCTTTTCAAAACTCATCTTGCAGTCAAGCCTCACGATGCGCGTATCTCTTGTCGCGTTCTTCAGTTCGGCGGTTGTGCTGGGAGCCACCCCGTCTCTTGGCTCACCGGCCAAGCGATCATGCTCCCAGGCTGACCTGACCGTCAAGCTGGACGCTGGAGTTGTTCACGGCACCGTCGAGGCAGCCAACCCCGACGTACGCCAGTTCCTGGGTATTCCTTATGCCAAACCGCCCCTTGGCGACCTCAGATTCGCACCTTCTGAGCGGCTGGAGTCTTTTGGCGAAATCACGGCCGACACCTTACCACCAAGTTGTATGCAGTACTTGACCAGTCTTGCCAGCATCTGGACGTATGATGTCCTCCAATTCAACGAAGATGGGCTCAATACTACTGGGCCACAGTCGGAGGATTGCTTGACCATAAGTGTTTGGGCGCCACGAGGCGCCAAGAAGAACCTCCCTGTTCTCCTTTGGATATACGGAGGCAGCTTCAAGACTGGAGGAGAAGATGTTCCCTATCAGATACCCACTCAATGGGTCCAACGGACACAAGACCACATTGTAGTCTCTTTCAACTACCGAGTCAATATCTTTGGCTTTCCCAATGCCGCTGGGCTAGACAACGACAAGCAGAATCTGGGTCTGCTAGACCAGCGTCTGGCTGTTGAGTGGGTGAGGGACAATATTGCCCAATTTGGAGGTGACGTGAACCGCATCGGTAAGTGCATCAAATGACCACGGCTGTGTTATGCGTCTTTCATTTGGCAACTCGGACTTGTGACTGATTTGTATGGGTAGGGCTCTGGGGTCAATCAGCAGGAGGCATCAGCGTGGCGTATTATAGTTACACCTATCCTGAAGACCCCATTGTTTCGGCACTACTGATGAACTCTGGAAACGAGTATCTTGATATCACTTCACCAGATACCACACACTCCAACTTCACATTCATGGCTACACAATTCGGCTGCGGCGACCTCGAGCCAGAGGAAGAATTGGCATGCATGAGGACGGTTGATGCTTCTGCCATTGAAGATTTCCTGCACGTTTACATTGATAACGGGACCGAGCCCACCGTGTCGTTTGCTCCCATTGTTGACGAGAAGACTGTGTTTTCCGACTTTTATGACCGCGCCTTGAATGGAAGCGTGGCGGCCTTGGTGAGTGTCAAGAGGCGGTGCTCGTGAAGTCAACGGTTGCTAACTGAAACCAGCCGACGATCATGGGTTCCAACTTGGACGATGGTATTCCGTTCGTCACATATAGTCCCGAAGGGGTCAACCAAACATTAGCATACGAGGTTACGACACAGTACTTTTTCTGCCCTACATTCAAGAGTGCCAAGTAAGTAGATTTGGTCTCCATAGATTTGGAATATGCACACTAATCTGTAGCTAAAGTAATCGCGTTGCTGCTGGAGCGCCAGTCTTCCGGTATGAGTATTCGGGCAATTTCAGCAACATCTCACCCAAGCCATGGATGGGTGCTTGGCACAACTCGGAGCTGCCGCTCTTGTTTGGCACTCATGCGAATTATCGTGGACCGTCCACGACATTGGAGATTGAAACCAGCATTGCTCTTCAAGATGCCTGGCTTTCTCTTGTTGCTGATGGAGCTGCAGGCCCCGTGGCGCTTGGTTGGCCGCTGTACAATAGGGATGCTGGCAGTCTGCTCAGAGAATTTGGCAAGGATGTGGCTGCGCAGACGACCAGTTTTGAGGATTGGGAGAGTACCTGTCCTGAAGCACTTCAGCCTTGAGTCTAGTGGCACAATGAATCCCAAATATGGTGGCTGCAGCAGCTGTGCTTCTAGGGAACCGTCACTTGAAACTGAGGCACGGCCGATTCTGTCAGCTTGCTTCAGTCGTGGTGAAAGTACTTGAAATTAATTCCCATCCCCTTGGCCTGAATGCTTTGTCGATATTCCCATTCTCGAAGAATCGACTTTGGTGAAGTGATCCGAGTGTATATTCTTGATTAATCCTTTAGTATCTATACTAGTACCTAATATGACCAAAGCACCAAAGTGGTAATTGCGCCGAGCCCAATCACACTCCAGAGGTTAAAGCTGGAGTGCAACTTTACATTACCCGCGTTCTCGGAAGTTTCATTGCTCGAAGAACTGCTGCCATTATTGTTGCTGAGACCTCTTTGGATGCCATTAGATGCCAGTGTTGCATCTACAAGAGCAGCGAAACTCCCATTGATGTGACCTGGGGATCGCCAGCTGGACCAATCGTGAGAAAGCAGACCCCAAGATTCATCGTAATCTTGGACACCTTCGCGTATATAGTAGCTTCCACCCAAAGACCAAATCATCCACCCAGCTTGCTGATCGGCTAGGAATTGCTCGATACACGAAGCAAATGTGCCTTGCCAGGTTGAGTCATCCTGCACAAATCCAAACTCTGTCATGACTACAGGGAATGGGTTTGGCGCATCGCTTTGCAAGGCTCGAAAGCCGTCTGTAAGAAGTTCTTCATTCAGCGCAGTACAGTTTTCGAGTCCGGGTCCCTTGTTGATATTATCGTAATTGTGTAGTTCTAGAACAATTTTGTTGGCCGTGGACTCATCAAGCTCGAATTTTCCAGATCCCGGACGGAGAGCCGTCTCATTCGTAACGGACTCAAGTGTGGTATCCGAATTTAATCCCGACAAAAAGATGAGGATGTCTGCGTTGGCCGTGTTGATCGCTTCTACGCCCTGTTTCACATACTTGTACCAGTCCTGCCAATTGTAGGACTCGGCGTACAGCGTGGAATTTCCAAACGGCGGGCGCAGCTCATTTCTGAGGGACATGGAAATGAAGTTGGGCCAAGCCGATGCCTTTACATGTTGTTAACATGGACGGAATCGAGTCAACCAAGAATCACCTACATGATCTGCCATGTATGAGAGGCCTCGCGTCCAGTTGGCGACGGGAAAGTCAGAGTCTCCCCACCCTGATGAGTGCCTGTTAGCACACCGTTCGAGTCTGTAGTCGGACATGTTCACCTACACCCATTGTGATCAAAGTAGGTGCAACACCAGCCGGCCTTGGAAAGATGGTTATCGAGGTGGATGTAAATTTCATTTTGCTGTGCCTCGGCCGCAATCGCGTCAAAGACCTTAAACTTTAGCTGACAAGCCATCATGGCAGACATCTAAAATACTCACTTCCAATCTAGTCGTGTCGTTCGAAAAGGAGGGGTTAAGAGAAAGCACCTTTTCAAAGATCGCGGTTCCGTTCTCCTGGCCCAACGCATCAACGAAAGCCGCTTGAAGAGGGATATCGTGACCAGCATTATCCTCAATTTGATCAATCATTTCAATTGCATATGTCAACCGAATAGAGTTGATGCCTATGCTTTTCAACAGGGCCATGATATCAGATATCGAGCGGTATTGAAGCCCTTCAGGAACCATGGCATCCAAGTGCCCTGGCCAATTTACACCCGCTATAAATATCAGTGCATTGTGTTACAGCCTCAATTCTCCGCAAGCTTACCGTATGTAAAAGACATGCCAGAGGCATCTACAACATATTGCTCATTGGTCGTGAACGGCCCATTGGGCCATGGATCCTCTCGTGGTGCCAGCAAAGTAGCATTGCAAGTGGCTATCCAAAGAACGAATGTCGCGCAGAGAGCACGCCATGTGCACAACATCATGACTGCATGCCTTGATCACGGTTGGGAAGTAATGAGCGATGATGCCAGAACAGGCTATGTCGATATGAAAAATAGTTAGGGGAAAACGATGCGCAGGTGATGAAGATTGGCAAAGAGGACGAGTCTGGAAATGGAATACGAGCTAGGGAAGCTCGATGATGAGGGATGCACTTTTCTTGCCCTGCTTCCAAAACGCTCGATCTGCGCCCAGTGGTTCCAGCGTTGTAATGTGTAGATCAGTGGCGAGGCCAATGCAAGGCTTGGCCGCAGGGGTCCGTATGACGTTGGGAGAAACAACATTGAACTAACTGACGAATACATCATCCTTTCCATTGCACAGCGACCAGGCACAACCAATCTACGAAGAAATTGAAGACCTGATCTCTCTATCAATTCTTGTGCGCATGGAGCCTAGGTATTCATAAGGTCTAAAAAGATGCTGACAACAGCGCCCGCTTGTAGTTCTGCTGTTCCGAATTTCGCCAACTGGGTACCCCTGTCGTCGGGATCAAGCTCGCCGCCCACGGGCTTTTGCGAGTGATGAGGATCAAGGGTGATAACGACTTGAAGCCTTAAGCTAATCAACACCTTCACATGGTCTTTTTCTTCTTCAAAGTTTGGCCAGTCAACGGGACCAAACTCCACGTTTCTTGTATGATTGCATTCCTCGTGCAAATGTGACACCCCCGGTGCCCTTGATGATTCATCGGTCTTGCTTGCTGACGGCTGGATACCAAAGCAGCGTTATAATCTTGAAGAATATCTAGACATTTTTCGGAAACAATTGCATGCTTCAGTATAGATTCTATGGACTCTGAAATCTCCATGAACCTTTCGCGGTAATACACATCAACCCGATTTTACTTCATTGAGTGGCAATAATTTTTCAACTCTTGTCCCCTGCAGGTTATTTTCGATATCCTGCTGGCGTTTACTCTCGTCGACCACTCCAAACAAGACATCCATCTGCTCTAATGACAGATCCTACGTTGATCACGTCAGACCAGACGACAAGTATTGGAGTAAAAGATGTATAACATACCTTGGTTTCAGGGAGTAGCCAGGCAAAGATCGCTGCAACAGCATTCAGGGTGCCAAATACCTGGAACATGTCAGCTTGGTTTGCTTTACTCTCAACCCGGCCACAAGCAGCATGGAATTTGCGGCAGTGGTACATACCATCCACGTTCTCCAGCCAATGTGTAGTATTGAGATGGGGGTGATTTTCGAAACCACAAAATTCCAAAGCCAAATGTTTGCTGCACCAATACCCATGCCGTAGTCGCGTATGCGGGTGGGAAAGATTTCGCCAATGTATATCCACTGCAGAGGCCCCCATGACACAGAATATGCCACGACGAATAGATAAATCAAGGCCATCATGCCCTGTGCGGATGGAGATCCGGCACCATTGCCTTCCGCAGTCGGAGGATGGGTTTTCAGTACCGCTCCGAGCCCAAAAAGAAATACACCCATAAAGAAGGCGCCAGCGACCATGAGAGTTTTTCTCTTGAATATGTGCACGCCGCCGACAATGAAAACAATTGTGCTAGCAAATTTGATGCATGTGAAGACTCCTGACGCCATGAGTGCAGCGTTCTGCCCAGTGTATCTGAAATAACGTTAGTTTGTGGCTCAGGTTTCCATCCTGTACAACATGCTGGCAAGTCTTGCTACAGCTGGTGCGCAAAAGAGGCATGTCAGGACTTCTTACCCGATCTGTGCAAAGACGGTCGGCCCATAATACAGGATAGCATTATGTCCACACCACCTAGATTTCTTATTAGCTTACCGCACAAGTTTCAAGAGTTGCTGGCAGACTTGCATGGCGAATAAACCAACTCCGAGCGCCCACATCAGTCTGGCTAGATTCCTTGACTCAAAGAGCTCTCGTATCGTGCGACCTTGTGTTTGAGCCATCTCTTCGTGTATCTGAGCACGAATCTCTGCCATTTCACCAATTATCTCACTACAATCAGGAGTCGCATTCCTTAGATAGCAGAGACTCTTTGTAGCCTCATCGTATCTGTCCTGCTTCGCCAACCAACGAGGCGATTCGGGGATAAAAAAGGTTGTAATCATGACAAGTGCTGCAAGAATGATCTGTAGCGACAATGGAGTCCGCCATTGAGTCGCATTCGAGTCGAGGTGTACGGAGCAGCCATAGGTCGTCCAATAGGCCAACATGCCCCCGCTGACGAGAAACATTTCGAAGAGCGACATCTGTTCTCCAGGTATCTGTGTAAGTTTCCACGATCTTGATGAAAGTCAAAGAAGTGATCAAAAGTCAACGCACCATTATCCCACGGAGATGTTTCGGGGCTGCTTCCGCAACAAAGACTGGCGCGACATTCGAAATCATGCCAACTCCAAGTCCAGCGACGATTCTTCCAGCGTAAATCAAGCCCAAGGTCGGGCCTGAAGCGGCAACTTGGAGGATGCCACCCACAAGAAAGAAAGCTCCGGCGATAGCAAGCATTATCTTTCGACCGAGGTACTTGTTCAGTATTGGCGGTATAAATGTTCCAAAGAAGGCGCCAGCGTTTAACAGGGCAATGATGTTGGAAGATGCTTCTGCATATACAGCTGTCGATGATGCCAAGTTGAACTCGTCTTTGAAGCTTTTTAGAGCTACGACGCCTCCGGCGACACCTGTGTCGAAACCAAAGAGGCATGAACCGACATTGCTAAAAAGGTATCAGCACGCAAGTACGCTGCAACTTGGACCTTGAAGCTCATCATTGTATCTTTTTGCGATTGACGTTTCTCCGACTGTTGCATGGCCATTTGGCACTTACACGGCTGCTGAGACGGCAATCGCCGCTCTATTCTTCTGGAGGCTCTCCATTATCGTCATTATGGCAACAAGGCACCACGGAAACCTGGCTATGACCTGTTCAGTTCAAAGCATTGGGCAAATTCAGAAATCATGGAGCAAGATGGGACACGGTGAAAAATTCATAGTATCCGTCAAACAGGCACGTAGCTAATAATCATTTGCATTGTTCACGTGTCTCACTCCACGCATATGCGGCTAATCATTGTTTTGATAGCGCCTGTATTTTGGCATCGATAAGATCAGAATCGGCAGTTTCCACCCGACGGGCAAGTTGAATGATATGGGGACAAAGCACCTATGCGATCATTCAATCTGGGCGAATGATAAGGACGAATACCATGAAAGGAGCGATATCATTCGCATTTTCATGAACTTTATTCCCAACAAAAGCGTGCCAGCAGCCACCTCTGCCGAAGGATTTGATCTAGACTTGGGATTGAAATGCACGTAGCAGATAAGGCGCTTGACCAGGGGCAGACATTTCCTGGGGTTTGGGAACGGGCCGAGATAACCTTTCCAGCTGGGTGGAACACCATGATAAAGCAAGCGAGTTCCAAAGAAGAGACGTGTTTCTGCTTGTTCTTTCGATTGATTGGTGGGTACTAGCCGGATATGCTTATTTGGATGAGACCGCTGCGAACCTACCATGTCGTCCTCGATGACTCCTGTTGCTGATCTTTAACACTGAAGCCTGACTGCGAGTGTACTCCCATTTTAGACCAGAGCTCTGTGTGGTGGAATCGCATTGGCGCTGCGTCAGCAATGCCAGCCCAGTGCCCAGCATCTAGAAGCGAAGCCGGCATGGATTTTGTACTACCACAAGACTTTCGGGCAATCCATATGTCCGTGCTGCATCAAATCAATTACTATACATTGTGGCTAAATGAAACACACTTGTGGGAATGCCACAAACATGTCGCTTGGTTTCTTCGCCTGCCAAAAGGGGTTGAGAGTATGGAAACGGTGATGACCTCTCACGTGATACAATGGGATTTTGCTACATGGTATTGTTTCTCCAATGTTGACAATCAGACTATGCCGAGGATCTATGATGGAACACAAGTTTGTCGTCAAGTAATACATCTATTTCAGGTGCGCTGTTTCCTCCAAGACAAAGTGACTTTGTTCATATCTCTTGCAAGTTTAGCTCAATGCTGGAGACGAGATGCCGGGGGAATAGCAAGCTTGGAAGCAATACTCTGAACGCCTCACTGCAGCACTGCAGCACTGCACTACTACCCTCAACCATTATGGTTAGTGCCCCGCTTCAGGGATTCACTGGACCTGGCATCCTTTTTGCTTCTCAAGCTCCTGCAAATGGCAACTAGATCGTAGTGAGCACACGGTCGCGTCTCCCAATTGGAGATGAGCTTATCCATAACAAACAAACGACAGTCGCTCAGCCACTGCGCAAACATTTATGTGTGCAATTACAAGATTTACCGATGATCCCTCAAACTTTGTGTGAACCACGCAATGTCGGACCAGACAATGATTGGGTGCACCAGTTTCGGATGTTCTGGCGGATGCGAGCCGGAGCGGAAGACGGATAGGGAGCGGACACTGTGCTTATTGGTCGGCAGTCACCTGGGAAGGTTTGACGACCCGAAGCTAGCAACGTCAGCGTACATCCCCGATTCTATCGTATATGGAAATTAGAGAGGCAGATGTCTTGTAGTGTGGGTTTACGGAGAATCTTTGCTTTCACGTCCATAATTCTTCTTACCCTTCTCGTGGAATTTATCCTCTGTTCCAAAGTGCGTTTACCCAAACTCTGAGGACTTGGATATACAGCCAAGTCATTTTCATCACTACAATTATCTACCTAGTCAATAATACCATTGATCGAGATTCTAGAGTCTAGGGCATTTTGTCTAGTGGGTTTCAGATGGCGCCTTCACGCATCGCAGATTCTAGCAGCGAGCCAAGTGATCATAGTGACCATGGAGATCACAGCGACTTGAGCGATGACTGCGGCTGCACTGCTGGTCTCTCGCACAGTTCCGTTCGCAATATTCCCGTCACAGACGGCTCATCTCTTTACCGCATCGACACACATACACACATTATGCCATCAGAGCTCCCGGATCTCTCTTCCTATCCAACAAACTCGAAATCTAGCCCGTGGTTGAACTTGCGCCCATCAAAGACAGGAGATGCCGACCAAATAGACATGTACGTCGGTGATGCCTTTTTTCGGACCGTGGAGCCCAATTGTATCCATGCCGAGACGAGGATAGCCGAAATGGATGCTGCTGGGGTTGATGTTCAGATCATCAGTACAGTGCCCATTTTGTTCTTCTACGACGAACCGGCAGAACCAGTCACAGTCCTTGCTAGGGCACTGAATGATCACATTGCGGGACTCTGCTCGCAGTATCCGGACCGATTTGTCGGACTCGCGACGGTTCCTCTCCAAGACGTCAGCGCGTCGGTAGAGGAGCTCAAACGGGCAAAATCTCTGGGACTGAATGGAGTCGAAATCGGCACAACAATTGGAGAGACGAACCTAGACGATCCCGTCCTTGACCCATTCTGGGCGGCTTGCGAGGATCTGAACATGCCCGTTTTCGTCCATCCCTTGGGATACTCATTATCAAAAGAGAACAGCAAGAGATGGGCAAAGTATTGGGGTTCCTGGCTCGTGGGCATGCCATCGGAGACAGCACTCTCCATCTTGGCTCTCACCTCATCCGGTACTTTGTTGCGGCACCCTCGATTGAAGCTCTGCTTTGCACATGCTGGTGGGGCTTTCCCAGCGCTTCTCGGCAGGATACAGCATGGTTATGACTGTCGACCAGATCTCCTCGCAGGCGATGCTGGCGGTGTGAGTCCCTCGGACCACATGTCAAGAGGCGGGTTCTGGGTCGACTCTCTGGTGCATGATCCAGATCTTCTTGAGTTTTTATGCAAGAAGATTGGCCCAGAGCGGATCGTCATGGGAAGCGATTACCCTTTTCCACTGGGAGGTGAGTTGCAAATCTTCAAGAGCTTGAGATGACATGAGCTGACAATTTTACAGAAGTACCAGTCGCAGGGAAAATGCTCTGTACCGAGGAAAAGCTGGACAGCTTTCTGACATGGAACCAAAGAGCAAACATGTTGGCGGGAAATGCCATCAAACTATTCAACTTGGGACCAAATTTTCAAAAGTCTTTCCAGCAGAGGCTGAGTGTTTTTGCAAAGAAGTCAAGTTCAGCGGGGAATGTCAAATTGGAGTCCATGATACCAAACTAAAATTATAGCATAGCAGTGATAATGAATTTGTATTCTTACACATACTTTTTGCTTTCAGAAGAATGAATTCTGCCCATGGTCCGGCGATGGAAACGCCATTCCAGAAGAGCTGAAACCAATATCTAACGGAAAGTCAAGCTGACTTGGTATATCCATACTCGAGTCCATGGCACCCAGAAAATTGTTGATAGTGTTATCGAAAAAGCAGGGCTCTTGAGATACGGTCTGCGGTATATTGGCTTGTTGCGAACCTGGCAAAGGTGGATTTTGGGAGCCAATCTCGTCTGTACAGTTCCCGGAGGGTGCTGGTGCGTGCGCCATTTCTGGTTGTTGCGATGAACCGTGGAAACAGGATTTCTTTTGTGCACTGCCGCTGCCTGAGCCGCCACTTGCCCGCCGCTTTGCCGGGACAGATTTCCTCGTATCATGAGACGGACACCCGAAATCATGGTCATCGAAATGGCAATTGCGATCGCCTCGGAGTACCTGAAAGGTAAACTCGAGATACTCTTCGACAGTGCCTTGGCATTTCTTGGCGCCTTTCCATGATGCCTCGAGATTCTGGAGCACTTGCATCGCATCTTCCACATCGCGGAGTGCTTGGTACACAAACCTAGGATCATCGCTCCAACGTGCGCACGAGAGAAGAACCAGCGCAGAAACAAAGACATATTGGCCGTGGAATACCATGAAATGAGTCTTGGAGACGCACTCGAAAAACTCGGTCGAACCTCTGATGCAATCTGTGGCAGCTTTGGCACTTTTCAATTGAGCCCAAGAGCCTGCCAATGGACTGGGTCGATGGGGGTTGCGAATAAAGGCCCGGTGTAGTAGTATGACTGCAGAGAAGAAGGATGATAGGGCCACATGTTTGAGAGCCAGAGACTTTCCAGACTTGGCTGTCTTGATGTGAGCAGGAACCATGTCCTTTGCCCAGATATGCAATGCATCGTTGGCATCTCGCACTCGCACCCGCAGTTCTTCTCTCTTCCCGTTGATAGCCGCATTGCACCAAGAGTTTGCATTCCTGACCGAGTTGACAACCTTGAGAATGTCACCAATAATCCGGTATAGATGAATCATGCTCGTGAAACCGGCTACATCCATGTTTCGCGAACCATCGCCACAGCTTGGCATGTCGGTATCGCAGTCCTCGTCGTTGATGGAGAGCGGCCTACCCAGGGCTTCATGACGTCGTCAGCATGTATAATGTGTGCTTTCAGAAGCGGTAGACTCACCAGTACACAGCTGCCTTTCCAGAATATATAGGCACCACCATGTATTACTACGCCTGTCCCATTCATCTCTGGGTAGTCGCAATTTCTCAGATGAGCGATGTAAGCCAATATCCTGAGCTATGCGAATTGCCCGACCTATTGAAATCCAGGCTTCGGCTTGGGAGCCAGTCTCTGCCAGATACACACTCAAAAGACCCAATGCTGTGACCATGTCTAGTCTTCTTCCTCTGCGTTGCGCCGTTTTGCTCGAAGGCATATTGACATGATGCATGGCACGATTGTAGAACATGGGCCCTGCTGACAACCAGTGCCTGCCAGCGGTGTCAAAGATGACGTTGTCGGCTGATATGAGCGGGATTGAAACAGCAAGCAGCGCATAAAAGACGGCGGCGTGGCCGGGATCCCAGGTATTTCCATTCATCAGTCTCTGATGGATTAGTCGAATTTCGTGTTCGGCCATGATGGGAAAGAGATATTCAAGATCCTTGACGTATGTACAGACCAAGGCATCAACCAGATCTTTTGGTGGTAAATCAAATGTTGCAGCTGACTGTGTTGCGAGTCCACCCGCAGTGTCGTCAAAGTGTGTCGCCTCGAGACTGGTAAAGAAACTCTCTTCGGCTTCGTATCCCTTTCTCTCCAAGCCTTTTGTGATGTATCTTCGAAGCCCGATGCAATTTTCCACCGCAACACTCACCGTAGAGCCAAGACCAATATAACGCAGCTGGCCGTGACTGTCCGTATCCAACTCACCAAAACCATCTGCATAACGGCGTCCGCTTCCATCGTGCCCAATCAGAGAGATTTGAGGTTCGGGTGGGGTCTTGTCTTTGGTGAGAGGGCCTTGAGTACAAATCTCAGGATCATGAATCTCTTCGTTGGTTCTCTGAGCGTCGAGAGCCTCCGCGTCCGCATTCGGCCTATCTAAACACTGCCGACTATCGCTGATGGGTGAAGAGACCTGGGCGACAGATGTATCGTGAGGAGGACAAGCTTCCTCAATCAGCGCAGTCTGACCTTGGCCGCCGCTGGTGCCCTCGGGACTTGTGATTTCTTGCAGGCCGAGAATCGTATCTCTGCGGGCTGGTGCAGTCCCGAGCTTATCCTCAATGCGTTGAAGCTGGTCGAGATATTGTCCAAACATTTGCTCCATTTGCGCTACACGTGATTCCAGTCTTTCCATCTTGCTAAGCGCGATAGTCAGCTCCAGAGGCAGAGATAGTCCGCGCTACTTTGCGCACCTCGTGTCCGTTGCATTTGTATTCCGAAATGCCGGGGCGTTGAACTCGACATATTCGCATTGTATTTGGTATGTAGCGCAACGGCTACAAGTTTCTGCGCCATCACACTTTACTTTCTTGGTCCGACATTCGAGGCAAGCCCGCCGCACTCTTTGTCTCATGTTGGCAGAGGGTGCATTCCGCTGCTGTGACTGAGAGACTGACGTCCGTGGAAGTAGAGCAACGTACTGCATCGAAGTTCTATCTTGCTGGCAGTGGCTTGGATCGACAGATGCTTGCTGATGGTCTGCTTGATCGTCTAGAGGTGTAGTGATCCCGCCGCGAGCTATAGTGGCCGCCATTGTTGTGGACCCGGTCTCCTGGAGCTGTAAAAGCACCAATCCGGGGTCCAAAGGGCGAAGCTGGACTTGACGTGCGATGCAAGATGTGGGAACAGTCTACCGTCCGTATTTGAAAGAGTGCCCAAAGCAATCGCAGCTACGCATGGTTGTATGGCACAGCTTGGCGGCCAGCATGAATTGACTTGGCAGGCTGTGGGCGGTAGCTGGCAGCGCAGGTGCAATGCCCGAGAGATAGCTAGGTACCTCTACTAATCGGATGGCCCGACCCGACGGACGGCGGGGAGCTGCACTGAAGTCAAATGCCACCAAGGCACCAGCGCAGATAAGGACAGCAAACATGAAGTGACCGAGAAACAATACTATTACAACCGCTTTGAGTCCTACTCGACTTCAATTCAACTCTACATTATTCAATTATTTACTTGAAATAAATTGGCTGGGGAACGTGGAAATACTGATTCGGCCAAGGACGTCAACGCGGGCTTGTTCATTTATTCATGTGTACAGAGTAACGCACTGGAAGGGATGCGCATCATGATCGGCTTTCATGTAACTTGAATGTATTCAAGCGTCCAAATACAACAGCATCCACACGTCAACCTCTCTTCAAGCCCGTGATCTCCAGAACCCGAGCGCCACTTGCATTGGCTTGTCCGAGAAACTAAACAAGTACACGTCTTCCTCTTCCGCAAATATCTGGAACCGATACCACGAAGGAATGCAGAAACTATCACTCTTGGTCCAACGTAGTGTATACTTTTCTCCGTCAGGAGCAAAGACCTCTGTATAGCCCCGACCAGCGTGTACTTGAAAGATGTAGCTGGCAGTCTCCTGGACTGGAGGCGATGCCTGACCAGCAGCCACGCGAGTCGCATATGCACCAATTGTCGTTGATACCGACTTTCCATTCGGCAAAAGATATTCCATGCTTGCAAAGCTTCCTCCGGAAGTATCAAGCTTGCTTTGCATACTTGTCCATGGAAATTTCATGTCTGTCGCTTCTGCATCTGGAACTACCTTGGATTCGTGAGTAGTCGCACCGTATTCTTCATCTTCGTTTCTGTTAGCCTCTGGGCCAAGTGCGTCTGGCCAATATGCTCACCGTAATGCTCCGTAAAATCAACGGGAATGTGCTTGAAGAGAGGAATGTTTAGGCCGTCTAGCCAGATGACATTATTCTGCCCCTCGTTGCCGTGATCATGCCAGTTCCAAACTGGAGTGATGATTAGGTCGCCAGGCTTCATGAACATTTTCTTTCCCGATATGGCAGTGTACCCTGATCATTATAAGCATATGCATTTGGGTATGCTTGACAGGGATTGAAATCTTACCCGAGTCACCTTCTATCAGGAATCGTACAGCAAACGGCGTGTGTCTGTGGCATATTGCCTGTTCGCCCGGGATAATGAGTTGGTGAGCCGCCAGCAAGGTATCCAAAGTGAATGGTGGTTGCTTTGGACCGGGGTTGATCATCAGGACAGCCCTTCTCTCAGCCTCGTTGGCATCTACCAGGTCTGCTGCCCTCAGTAGCAGACTCTTTGTCTCTTCATACTTCCACACAGCAGGAATATGCTTGCTATGGGGGATTGGAGCGCTAGGAGGTGCACCTTGGAAGATATGAGTATTGAACGATTGAACACATTTTCATCTTTTCACGGGAAACATACCAGTGTTCCAAAGGGGCACCAACTCATGATCACGGATCGTCTTCTCTAGTCCTTCCTTGGAATCGACAGTGGACTTGAGTTGACCATAAAATCCCCCCTTTGCCGAGATGGATTCCTCCGGGATTTGTGCGACAGAGGGAGCCATATTGCGAGATACGATGTGACTGACGTTGCGGATGTATTTCTTGAAGATTATTGTTCACGGCCTCGATATATACACTTTGGCCTGAGCATACAATCTGCGCAGGTAGGTTCGCTGATGACTTCTAATACGGATCTTATCAGGCTCGGCCTCTGAGACGCAGCAATTTGAAAATTGGAGAATTCTAGCGACCACAGTCAAATCCTCTGAAAATCCGACATATCGGCAATGGTCAAATCTTGGTGGGTTGCATGCTCAAACTGCCGGTTACCAGAGAGCGCCTCGAGTATAATTGGCCGATAGAGTCGGTCCGGCCTTCCGCCTATCAAGAATAAAGCTAGATAGGATGTGCTTTGCCGAGTCTCACTTGGAGAATATTGTCTGTAAGCAAGGGCAAATGAAGCAGGCGGTATCCCAAAGTAATGCATCGGCATGCGCACTTGGCTCTTCAATCAGACTCAATATTTGTCATGATTTAGTTGGACATTGTTCAATGCTTCGAGTCGTACTAGGATTGGAGGTCGCGCTGTATTGAGTGTACCCTTACGTAGCCCCAGTGCGCTATCACGAAATCTAGCCGTCCATGTGCTACATGGATAATTGTACCAGCTACGATGAATTCGTTTGGGACATTATGACTGTAATGCATTATATTCAAAGGGAGGGCCTCTAGACATTAAAATGAATGCTAGCTTTACTTGGAATCTATTCTAGGCCGTCTAAATTGACACGAAACTCGGCCTATTTGAAAGCAGATTGCGGTGCTGTACGTGCGCCAACAACGGGTGAATCAATTGTGAGCTGATCCCACTCATGAGCAACCAGAGCTGCCGCACGACTCTTCAAAACTGCCTCGTGAGATCTCGGTCTCATCTCGGCTTCGTAGGCATCGATAGCCTCCTTTTGATCAATGGTTCCCTTGTGTATCTTTTTCAGCTCATCCACTAGTAGAGCTGCGTCCAAGATGCCGTGATTCGCCCCCTCGCCTCTGTACATGGTCATTGCATGGGCTGCATCACCGGCCAGCGTGATGCGACCGTTCCGATTATCCCATTCTTGACATGGAAAATCGCCCAAACGAAGAGGCGTGGTGTAGTCCAGGTCATCAGGAATATCCATGACAATGCTGCGGAGTGGCTCAGCAAAATCTTTGGCTCGTTCCTTCATCATGGCAATACGCTCAAAATTTGTTTGAGGAATAGCATCGGCCACTGCGTCCTTCATGATCCAGGAGATAATCACCAAGCAGTCAAAAGACAGCTGACCATCGGGTTCTGTGAAGCATTCCTGTGATCCGTGTGAGTTTTGCCCGTCTTGATTTCCCGACAGTGCTTCATACCTGAACAGAATACCAAAGGTAGTTTTGTGTCTTTGGGTGCAGGGCCTGGAATAGGAGCGGGTCAAGCGCTCGCACAGGAGCAGCTTGTTCTGGCGTGAAATGTCGCACGACACCGACTAAGTGTACAGGCAGCTTCGTAAGTTCATAATGCTCCGGCATCAAGTGCCTGCGCACATTGCTGTTGTTGCCATCTGCTCCGACAAGGATCGTCCCATCTGCAAAGGTTCCATCCTGGAAATGGGCGCGCACTCCGCCTTCAATCTCTTCTACCCTCACAAGGTATTTTCCATCTTGGATATTCAAGCCATCAGTAAGCACATCACGGAACTTTTGACGATGCAAGCGAAGTCTTCTCTTGGAGGGAGGAATTCTGAATCGTGTCTCGCTGGAAGCGACGTTAGTAACAATTGGCTGCAGAGGAGATTGACTGAATGAACCCACCATGTTTCGGCATTGAGGAATAAAAAGTTGCCTTGATCCTTCCTGAGAGTTGAATCTACAACCGCCTTTGGAAGTATTAGCTACAAGTCATGACGACCACCATGGCTAGGGCGTACTTTTGGCAATTTCGCAGCTCTTTCTGGCCCAATGGTGCGTTCAAGGGCATCTAGCACCCAATGCAGTGTCAAGGCCCATCCGTGCCGGCGGCACTCTGGGAACTGTCAGCTTTGCACACGATGGAAGACTCGACTGGCCACTCACCATCCGTGTCGCGCTCAAAAACCGTGTATGGGATCCCATTTTCGCGGCATCCTTGAGCGACGGTCAGCCCTACAATCCCACCTCCAGCAATCAATACATGCATTGGTCGCTCGGGGTCGGGCGATATGTAAGAGCCCATGATGAAGCAATTGCTTGTAATGTATTTGGTAGACAATTATCTTTGCGAGACGCGCAAACGCGATAGAAACAGGTGAGCAAAGATATGAGAATTACTACGTGAGAATGATTCCAGAAACGATGCCTATACCAGAAAATCCCAACAAGGAGCAAACCGAGAGTTGATGGAGATATGTGCGACTCGTCAGATGATTCATCCTCGTTCTACATGCATGATTAATGTAGCTGATGCGCACCAGGAAACAGCCCTTGGTATTCGCTCGGATTCCCGGACCGGCCAGCGGGGCATTCGCTTAGAGCACTTCGATTGGGAGACCAAAAGATATGATGTGAAATTGGTTATCGGTCTCAATTGACAGTTGTTCTGTTTTATTTTGAGCTAGTCTGGAATGCATGAAATAATTTGGGCATAGAAATAGGTTGTATTTGTTGCAGAAGCAGTCGGCACATTTGCGCAGCGCCAGTGAACCGGAACATGATCAACCTGGGCGCGGACTGCTCGAAATCCTCTAAATATTCCACTTCAATCCTGGCCAGATCCAGAATCAGCAATTCTCGCGTCAAATGAAAATGGCTGTTGCAATGATTCAATTGAGGTCAAGCCTTGAGCCCAGACCTCGGAATATATCCAGACCAAGTTTCGCAGTGGGAGACTGCCCATTAATTGACCTGCACAAAACGGCCCTGTCCGAACACACCTGGGGCCAGACGGCATCCCCTGATCCAGGGTCTATTGCCTGCTAATTGATCGTGCTAAACCCCCGCAGCATGCTAACCCCAGCGACCAACCAGACTCTGTCGCGCTCCAACGGCTGCATTGTTCTTCTCTCCAGTCGACCCCTCTCAAGAAGCTTCATGATAGAGAGCTGTGCATTTGATCTCGACGTTTAGCTTGACATTGGGCAGTGCCGCTACCTGGACGCATGTTCTGGCTGGAGCCTTTGTCTTCTCGGGCCAGACCTTGTTCCACTCCTCGTTCATACCGGCGTAATCCTTCATATCAGTCAAGAAAACTGTGGCATCCACCACACTCTCCAAGCCTGCAGTGCCGTTGGTGGCTCCTTGAATGATTGACCCAATGTTTTCGAGTACAGCCTTTGTCTGCTCACGAATGTCAAGTGTGTGATTGCCGTCGGCGTCTGTAGTGCACCCCGCGTACGTGCCATCACCCCGCCGCGACGATGTACCCGAAACGTACAGCGTCTTTTGTGTGCCCGGCACAATGCGCGCGTGTGGATAATTGGCGAGTCCTTGAGCTCTTCCTGCTGGCAAGAAGAACGACTCGCCGTTTGGTGAGGTAGCTGACATTGTTGGCGAGTGATTTAGCAGTCAAATTTGACAGTGGTGTGATGGCTCAATGATTTGGTGAGAGATCTGGCTGCACTCAAATGCAAGATGTTTATCTCGGTAATCATTCATATGAGGTTCTTTTTGGGAGGAAAAACATATCGAGCTGCAGTGATTTCGTAATTGCATCGTCGTTCCGCTCCGATGGTTACTTTCGGATGTTGGTCTTTTCTTTCCGGCCACAGCGGATGTGCACTAACCTTATGGCCCCCGCATGCCGGCACAGTATTCAATGTTGCTAGTGCGTTCATCACCGGCTTCACCCGCCGTCTATCAGGTCTTGGAACAAATTGTAGCATTGTGCAGTCTGTGGAATTCAAAGCTACTCGCGCACTTTGGCGCATTGATAACAACCAGTCAAACTTACAAACAACCCCCTATTGATCCAAAAAGGCCAAGATTCTTTTTCCAATCTTATCATCTGGAAGCCCTATGGCTAGAATATTCGAAATGTGGTTGTGACCTGCCATCACCTCGAATAACGGCATTCTGTTGTACTTTTTTCTGTATGCTTCGACAAACCTCAAATTTCCGTCCACAATTTCATTGGAATCGAACTCGGCCACCATGAGCAATAGCCGTGGTTCATCGGCGATAGTGCTGTTTTGGAATACTGACGCGCCAGCTTTTCCAAGTATATCTTCTTCGTTTTCCGACTCATGATAAAGCATCATGTTCTCTCGTCTTCTCGCTTGCTTCAAGTCATACCATAAAGGTGGACTGAGGAGAATCAGTCCATCGAGTGCAACACCAGCATCGGCCAGGAATCCCGCCCAGGTAGCCGACGCTAAATGGGCGCCGCCAGCCGATTGACCCACGGCGATCATCTTTGCTGCGTTGCCTCCATACTTGGCTGCATGGTCTTGAACCCAGCGCAATGCTTGAGCCGTGTCTCTGCCGCCAGACGGATATCGTGCTTCAGGGAGGAGGCGGTATGTCGCAAGAATGCATAGACATTTATTGCTTGCGAAATAATTGCCTAGATACAGCACATGAGCATGTTTTCGCATGGCCAAGGAGTAGGATTGTCTAGAATGCAGCACTTACCAATGTGGCCATGCATGGACGGCGTTATATCATTGTCGCCAGAGGTGAATCCGCCTGTTCAAACATTTCCGTGAGTAGAACATTCAAAAGCCAGTGCTCATTCATGGCCAAGCATACCTCCGTGGAAGAAGACAACCACCGGCAATGAATCATCCGGGTCCAATACCGCTGGGCTGTAGATGTCTATCCTATGCCTCTCGTGATCCCCGTATTTGATGCCCTTTTGGACCTTCACGGCATGTGTAAAGTTCGCGGCTTGTCCGGCATGGAGGGGCTCGTACAACTCGTTCATTTCTGAATTTGTTTTGAGCGTCCATGTGTTGCCATGTCTGGCTATTGCTTCTTGAATCTTTTCCATTGTAACTTGAAATTTTGCGCTTTGGAAGGAGTTGTCTCTGTCCCAATCATAATTCCTTGAAGATAGAGTTGACTACCACCACTCATGTCTTGAGGCCGCTTTTCGGATATCCCGCTCATGGTACCATGAAGATTTTGGCGGGGTAGGAGGACGCGCTATAGAGCTGATAGAGTTGGTCGCTTACGGTTACGGTCCGTCATATCAGAACCAATCATGACCGTTTCCGCTTCCGACGAGATCTCCCACGTTGCCAGGGGTGTTTGGCTCTGGATGGTGCCGCCGCACAGTGCCGGCTCTAGGCGAATCTTGTACGGAATACAGTAGGCACACTAGAAGCAGTCGATGCAGGTGGGGTTGATGGATATTGAGATTCTACAGCTCTGGCCATGGTATCTGTCAAAACACATGCAGTACCTTTGCAAGTCTGACTTTGCCATTGCGACAAGATATCTGGCAGTAACACACATTTTTGTCCAAAATCATGGGATCATTATCTACGGAAGCAGGGTGCCAAGCCATCCGTGAAGCTTGGAATTGCACCTCGTTGGAAAAGGCAGAAAGCTTCTTGACTACTCAAGGTTCCAGTGCACCGCTAGAGCTGGAGAACTTTGTCTCCAACAAGTTCAATCCTTCCACGCAACATTTGGACGCGATCAACCCGAAAACAGGCAAAGTCTTTGCAAGAGTGCCCGTCAGCAGTGCGCAAGAAGTGGACGAGGCTGTCAAGAATGCTACCGATGCGTTCAAGTCATGGAGCAAGACAACTGTTGCAGTCAGATCAAAGTATCTACAAAAAATTGCGCAGCTTATCCAGGAAAACCATGAGCTGTTTGCAGTGTGGGAGAGCCTTGACCAAGGCAAGACTCTAGCACGTGCGAGGGTGGAAGTTGACCGCGCCATCTCAAACTTCAAGTAAGAGATCCTTTGCTTATCAGGTAACGGGAGACTAATGATGCGCGGCCAGCTACTTTTCTACCTTTATTTTGCATCAAGAAACTGCTGCGAGAATGATTGATGGCGTCGCATTGACCTATGAGCACCGTTCTCCTGCAGGAGTCTTTGCCCTCATTTCGCCATGGAATATGCCCTTGTACCTATTGACGTGGAAGATTGCACCATGCCTGGCTTTTGGATGCACTGCCGTGGCAAAGCCGTCCGAAGTCACATCCATGTCGGCTTTTCTTCTATGTGAGGTGTTTCGCCAATCCGGGTTGCCGTCAGGCGTCATGAATGTTGTGTTTGGCGATGGTCCGACTACGGGATCAGCATTGGTGCGGTCTCCGTTGGTCAAGGGCGTGAGCTTTACAGGTGGAACCGCCACCGGTATACAGATCAGGAAAGACACTGCGGACCAGATATACAAGCATTTGTCACTTGAACTTGGTGGCAAGAACCCGACACTTGTGTTTGACGACGTTGATCTTACAAAAGCAGTCGAGACGGCAGCCATGGCGGCCTTTGAGAATCAGGGCGAGGTATGTGTCGAGCAGCTCAACAGGAACCGCGGCGTTATTCTAATCCATTCCAGATCTGCCTGTGTGGCTCCCGCATCTATGTACAATCAAGCATCTATGACCGGTTTGTCTCGACGTTTACTTCCTACGTACAAGACAATTATAAAAGAGGAGGCAGGATGGGAGCGGTGGTATCATTGCCCCATTATCGAAAGATTCGATCGTATCTCGAGCTTGCTGCTTCAGAGGAAGCGCAGTTTGTGATTGGAGAAATTCCAGCTGCTGATCCTCAAGATGGCCTCTGGATTGACCCAGTCATACTTACTGGCGTCTCCACGTCTTCTAGAGTCATGAGAGAAGAAATCTTTGGACCCGTGGTGACTATTGCCAAGTTTGAAACCGAAGAGGAAGCCGTCGAGCTTGCCAACGACAATCCAAACGGACTGGCAGCTGTATTGCTGACAAAAGATGGTGCCAGGATAAGGAGAGTGGGTGAACAGATCGAGGCAGGCTTGGTGTGGGTCAATTGCTGGCTCGTCAGAGAACTTGGAACCCCTTTCGGTGGCATGAAGAACTCGGGCACGGGAAGAGAAGGTGGCGAATATAGCCGTGATGTCTTCACAGTGGTCAGGACATTGCATATTCCGATGTAAAACAGCGTCAATTGCCATTCATTGACATGGCTAATGTCGACTAAAAAAACAAAATATAAGGACGTGAGCGAATTGCTGGAAAGGATGTATTGAGCCAAGGCCAAGCCAAAGATCCTGTGCGCCAACCCCAAGAACTACTGCAATATATTGCCATTATACAAACCGCGAGGTCCTACTTCACAATCAATTATGCTCAACTCCCAATGGAATGCCAAAATATTTCTTGCATCCGATGAGACTTTCCTTTTGGAGTTTTTCGTATGTTTGAATTTCGTCTAGGATTGGCATGCCCAATGACGCTTGCAATGCATCCCGGCTAGCACCACTCATATCTTCCTGGCCGGAGCTATCGTCTTGCGACGATGTCTTGCGAAGATTGCTGCGAAAAATGCCCGCAGCGCTGAGTGGCAGAAAGTCTTCATATGTCATGGGCTCATAGCATATCGATCCTTGCTGGATCAGGTCGTCCACCGTCATGTTGAACCTGTCATCATTCAAGTCGGCCTTGTCTGTCGACACGTAATATCTGAACCACGCTAGACCGTATTGCCGTAGCTCCTCCCAAGTATCAGGAAATGCGCGAAAGAGGTCGGTGTATGCTTCGGGATCTTGTGGCGTCACGCCATTCTTCCAAGCCTCATTCACAAGGTGGTCATAGAGCGCTCGGCCCTTTTCAGTCAGGGCGACTCCACGCTGTTCAATCTCGCCAAAACGGGCTGTATGACTTCCAAGGACCATGCCGTTCTGTGATCCGCTTTGATCTAGGCTGACGGGAAAGAAGACGCCCTCTTTTAGAGCTTTGAAGCTGGTCTGTCTCAGGAGGATGGGACAGTTCCTGGCTGGAGGTCCTTCGATGATTTCTTTTAGTGGTATTCCTTGCTTTTCCATTTGAAGTTGAACCTCATCGATATCTAGTGTCCGGGGAGTCAAGTGATTGATGTGAGGACCTGGAAAAGCCACAATGTCTGCTAGCAACGGATTCTCTTCCTGGAGTTCTTGATATTCAGAGAGGGACACGGTAGCTGAGCCTCGCCACTTGAACGTCTCGATTCCTTCGGCAATGAACTGATCCGCTTGATTGGCAGTAAGACCGCCCGTGCTTTCGGCGAGAGAGACGAGCTCGAGACATTGGTCGGAAAATATTTGACGTCGGGACAGGATCTCGAGAGCCTTGGACCGGAGTTTCACGGATATACACTCTGGACGCAAGACAGAAACAAATAGTCTGAATGGATTGACTGACAAGGACTCGAGATCGGTGCATCGGAAACATGTCGCATGTATCGGCAAATGTGCTGGCGGTTGTGCGAGATCGTAGTAGCCCACTGGTTGCATACCCATCACGGCCAGGAATCGTGCCATTGCCTTCATCTCCTCGGCGGTACCGAGTCTGATTGCACCGTGCCTTTCGTATTGTAGCCTCTCAAGTTGCTTCGTTTGTCGCATGGTCTCGCGGAGGGCGGGATGAGAATCAAGAAAGGCTTCATTGACATTTGTCACAAGCTCGAGGAGATCGGAATACAAGGGCACCTCGTTTCTGTAGACTTTGGACTAGTCGTGCGATCAGGTCATCTTCTCGCTATACGAACCACTCAACTACTTACCATTTCAATCGAAAACTTGTGTCGGATAACTGTCGGCGACAGTTTCTCGCTGCCCATATTCACATCCATTGTTTAGATATCACTCGGAATGCTTCAACTTGTTTGGCAATGTGCTGCAATGTCGTACATTCAAGCGTATAGTGATAATGTAAATAGTTCTGGAATCAATGCCAGGGGTTCAATTCTGGGATATTGAGATCTGGTCAACTGAGTCTGAGGATACACTTCCGAGCTTTCCCGGCTTATAAAACAACCCATCACATACTAAGGCGAGACGCCAATACCATCATATGGTCAGGAGGCATGCTCAAAGCGGATAGTTGATCTAAAGGTTAGGCGAGACACGGTGCGGATACCGGATACAGGCTTCTCATTGATTGGCGGATAGCGGGCGGCCCGCTAGCAGATACCCAGGTGTTCGTGGCTACAGGCTACTGGACTGCCACTTGTGGAAGCTCAGTCAGTGCTCACATCACATGTGTCTTATAATCTACACCTTTATTAGCAAAGATACTGCCAGCAGCACAGGTGTATCGGGTTTTATCGGCTTTGGAGAAGAGGTTGATCCATTCACAAGTCAATAGGATTCAATACTATGGATGTGTGGGTCCTATTACACAATACGGACTGTCTCCAATGATTGCTTGTCTGGCGGTAGAAAACATTAGCATACGCGTTCAAAGCAAGAAAGAGCTGGGTTCAAGTCTTTGACAAAAGCAGTAAGCCATTATAATCGGACGGCTGTGATAAGACCATCGTGAATATGCGGTCTCTCCTGACCTGTCCCGAGTGCCAGAAAACTGGAATTAAACGCAGCTTGGAACAAATATGAAGCTTCGGTAGTGGGCACAATATATATGACGCTGGCTTGTAAAAGGACTTGGACAAGTATCATCAATGTTGGATGGCTTGGGTCAGTGTGTATCAACGGTGTCCATGCTACTTGGGGGTTTTGGCTTCCAAGGTTGTTAGCAAGTTTGTACTTGATGGACTGAGGCTTTGAGTTGTATTTGGGAACTGTGTCAGCGGTCTGGATCGCAACGAATTTCCCGTCGCTGGCAGTGTCTGCTGCGCAAAGAATTCTGATTTTTTTTGTCTGGAGCTATGATATTGCACGAAAAAAGTAAAATTAGAATAGAGAATCCGATTTATGATCAAGCCTGTTCTTGTACATAAGGTACACACCTAGGTACCTATTCAGCCACTAAATGTAAACTCACCAGTCAAAGACTAAAACTACCTAGGCTGCCAGGTAGAGCTAGAAACCTGGGGACCTAAGGGCCCATTTAGGCGTGAGGGGTACTGTAGCGTAGGGTGCACTAGGCCCTTGGATGTGTGGTAGTACCTAATTGTAGCCCATTAGCACCCAAGCTGGTGGGTAGCACAAGCACTATACTTTGTAGGTCCCTGTGCAGTGCCTATAAGGCCCTCTGCGTGGTGCTAGGTGGTGCTGGAGGCCTAAGCCTGAACACCTCAACCACTGGACCGCTTAAACTTCTTATAAAAACGGCAGGGTCCACAACACCACTCGAGATTCATTCCTCTTCAACATGGACCGGAATGGCCCAGGGTTGGCATTGCTGTTCGGACTTCTCGAGACTGTCAACAAGACGAATCGAGTCATACAAATACGGCTGAACGCAGACCTTGTTGGTCACCAGCCATACGAAGATACAAAGCTCGGTTGAATGGGATTGGGTGACGGAATTCGCCGCAAGGAGCAGATTCGCCAGTTTGTCGACTATCTTTCGATGTTGCAGATTACAGATTGGCTATTGGATGCAGGCGACAACTCTCTTTGCCCTGACTCGACGTTTACATCTGTCGACGCTCCCATTACACTCGGTCAATGTCATCGACAAAAAAGGTCTAGAAGGGTCATGGCTGGAGTTTGTCAAGGAAAGCCCCAGAGGAGGGCAAAGCCTTGTATGTCGTCCAGTGCTCGGTGCCTCGTGTTTCCACCTCCATGAGTGGTCCTAGGGAGGTTGAGACAACATCGGCCAGTCTTTCCCATTCGAGCTGGGACATCAACTCACATGGAAACCCTTGGGTCAGTAGTATTTGCTGACTGTTGCCCATCAGGATGTCCAGGAATCGTGGATGAAGATCCCTTTGCTTCAACGCGGGACAGGATAGACGCAAAGAATGACTCAATGCAGCATGGGATGGAGGCAATTATTTTGGCCACAGACCTTGTGCCATCAAGGTATCGTCAACGGAACTACGAAGACTGGCACTGTCATCTATGGAGTGGCTTCAATCAACACTATCAGCGGTTTCAACACAGTGTGACCTCCCACGAGTTGCGCCAGGAAAGCAACGGCAGTCCGTGTTAACATGCGTATTCAAAGCCTAGGTAGGTTCCAGGCTGTCTGGCAATATTTGCTCGTACAAAGAGGCCTATGCCCCCAACCACCATTGTTTGATCCCAAATGCCCAAGATCAACAGAGTTCTCGGCCAGCCAAGACATCTGTGATGGAAGTTGACCGTGTAAATGATCACCAAAGCTCCATCTACAACGATAGGAAAACACCAGTGATGGGAAGTGCACAGGATAGACACGGGAGAAGCCAAATATGATGCACCGCCGTGACTTGGCCATGGTCAGAGTCAGCAAAAACAAGCCAACAAACCCAACAATACGGAACATATGGCGATGATATTATATGCCAGTTCGAGCTTGCAACCTACGACCACAGCGCTAGACTTGACCTCAACCGCCACGCCGTCATTTGCCCCAATAATGAGAGCATCACCACTATTTACGAGAATGTATGTTCACTTGAAAATCTTGTTTAATGCTATGGGCCTTCTAACGTTTGACGCAGTGGTCCACAATGCAGAACTCGTTCAGACGTATGTTGAAGGCTCAACAACTTCGGGATGCGCTCCAGGAATACCACTCGGGCTCGCCATTCATTCGTGAGAGATGTCAGAATTTACTGTTCCGCTTAAAAGACGACATTGAGTTCTATTACCAACTGGAGCATCGCAACGAGAAGATGATGGCCCAAAAGGCCGCGCATGACATTTTGGACGACAACCTGGTCCCCGCCGAGTACGTCGACGAGTACCTCGAGTTCCTCCGCACGAGATCCGAAGGCGAAGGTGAATGGATGACAAAGCTCCTGGACTTCGTCTTGGTGGTCCGCGTCTCTGGCAAAAGACGGTAAAATTTCTTTCAATAAGAAACTTGAGAAAAAATAGAGCAAGGGAAAATAAGTAGAATTCAAAGGAGAATAAGAAAATAATATAAGAGAGAACTTGAAAGAAGAAAAAAACAGATAAATTAGTATTTCTTTTATATTTCTCTCTCTTTTATCATTTTTTCCACAAATGAGTGTATCCTACTAGAAGATACAAAACTATGCCATTATTGCAATAAAATCACTTTGTTCCATCACGTCGTTATTGTGGTATAAGAACGGAGGCGCTGAGCTTACATGCAAACCATGGCGCCAATCGTAGATGCTGGCATTGCGGGTCGCATTTTGAGCTCAGTCCAATCTGTTATGGTGTTAGGGATCAGGATCAAAATGTCTCTGTCGTGGCAGGCGTCGTAGTTGGGCGGTGTTCCAGCCATCCGAACATGCATCTCTAGATGCTCGAGCATCCTGTGGATTTCAGTTCGATGAGCCTCGCCGCAGAATGTTCTAGCACCACACAACAGATGCGACCTCCACCCGGCAGAGTCTACCTCCTCAGGCTCGTCAGGTCTATCCTCGATTCTTGCATCTAGTGTATGGACTTTGGTTCGGATCTTTGGGATGACTTGCTGGCATTCTTCCCACGTCATGTACCGTGGATGCCGATATGTGCCATTTGTAGTATCGATCCTGTCGTAGGATTTATTCTCGATCTGCAGATACGCGACGAGGTCGTATATTTGACTACTTCGATGGTCTTCAAGCGGTACTGGCGTCACATCCATCACTTCCTCGCCTTCATCATTGACAAGATAGCCGTGTTGAACTTTGACCCGAAAACGATCAATCTGTGCTTTGACCGTGGGCCAGATGGGGCGGGCCCATCTCTCGGAGAGGTCGTCTGGTCTCTCGAGTTCCCCATGACGGTCGTGACACTGATCTGGAAAGACTAGCCACAAGAACATGTCCTTGAGTGGCTCGTAGTCGACGTCAAACTCCCGGATGCGTGCAATCAGCTGCTTCATGGCCGACCCATTATTGGAGATTTTGGGAATCTCTAGAGACTGATGGATACAATCGCCAGTCCAGTTGAACTGTTGTAGTACACGGCCTCAATTGACTTTACGGTCAGGGTCGTAGAGGAAGATTCTCGCCAGGTCGGTGTCATCGGCCGCATTGTAGTTGCTGGGAAATCCATGGTGATGCTGGAATTTGACGTAAAGATACCAAAGAGTGTCTCGAATAATGTCTTAAGAGACAGGTGTCGTCAGAATGGTGGGCGTTGTCGGATTGGAACCTTTGCTACGCCTCTTGTCATTCGTGGTGCTGATACGACGGGCACGATCGAGTGGGCCATGGTAATCTGGATGGTGCAGGTTGTTGAACGTGCCCGACAAGTTGCGCCCTTGGCTCCAAGGACTGCGAGATGGCTTCATAGTTTTGTGGCCATGGAAAACAGAGGTTAGTATATGCTGAACGGATTAACATACTCACTATTGCAGTATACCATTGAAACCGTATCCTCAATAACTAATATTTTGTAAAGAAAGTACCAGAAAAAGTTGCAAGGAAAACCAGTAAGCATAAAAGAAAAGAAAGAAAATATAAACTTCTTTCTTTCTCTCTCTCTCTCTCTCTCTCTCTCTCTCTCTTTTTCTTTTCTTTTTTTTTTTTTTTTTTGTAAAAAAAATATTAGATAGAAAGAAAAAGTGATCCGTCAAGAAGATCGTTGTGAGTTTCAATTTTCGGCGCCATGACATTGGTATTGACTGCTTTGCTCTAATTGCAGAAGGTGAGCCCAGCCATACCATGGGGACGAGTACAATGCCAACGAAAGGAACCCAACGGGAGGGACAAATTGAGACAAACGCCAGGAGAGACATACAGCAAACTCCCGTCGGCTTTCAATACCTCTGAGTTGAGTTTGTTATAAGGACTGTCTCACAATAGGACGACATACCACTAAGAAAATCAGCACATATATGCAGAAAAGCCCTGGTCAGCTGCATCTGGGATGGCATTACCACATTGCGCAAAGATTGGAAGAGGTTATACGTTAAATACCGCGCCGCAGTCATGGAAGGACAAAACACTTGCGTTGCAACACTGCCATTGCAGGTCTCGCTGATTCTGCTGTCATTCTGCTTGGCTCGTGGTCGTAGGCTCTGGTATGGCAAGTCATCCAAGCGCATGGTCAAGCTGCGAAGTATGGGATGGCTTGAATATGCCGCTGGGATCAATATTCTTACTTTGCTCGAGCACAAGACGCATGATCAGTTCCAAGGGTACTTGTCCCAAGTAGGAGGCTGCTGTTGGTTATTACTTATTCCAAGGTTAATACCAAGAATTCAGTTGGAATCACGATTATAATTTACCAGCATTTAATAAAAGAGAATTGTCAAGCTCATGGGTGCAGCTCATCGTGTTTACTAAAGTGAGGCCTAAGCAGATTCACATAGCATTTCGGATAGTCCTTGATTGCAACATGACGCCCACTCCCACAATGCCACTCTTGTAAGTATTGTCACCATTGTTGACTCGAGGCGATGAAACCTGCTGCTGATATCCGCGGGCTCCAAAAATTTAATGCACTCAGGATGCATATGAGTGCAGATTAATAATCGACATTTATTTGTGTTCCAGCTGTAAGCATTGCTCACATCTATCTGGATTCTCAATTCATGTGAATGCACGGTAATGTTTTGATGTTGCAGGGAAGTGGCCGATGCCTAGAGCTTAGAAGCTTAGGCCTCGAAGTGGTGCCTAAAGCGGTCCCCTAGAAGCTGTGCTCCAGCAGCTGTGCTCCAGCAGCTGTGCCCTAGAAGCTGCCCTGAAGGTTGGCCACCCCCGCAATACTGCAACCATACCTAGGTATAATTTTCCATCCATATTGCATGAATCCAACGAGATTGCTCGCATATAATTCCCAATTCTTACTAATTCATATCTTGAGAATATTTATTGCACTTATCAGCCATGATACCAGGGATTTTCACGGGATCATAATATTGCATTGGGAAGAAGGCACAACGCACCACAAGCGTCTTTACCCTCCTTACGCGCCACTTCAGAATAAAACCATGGTGCTGCAAATTTGTGAACGTCTGTTGTACTACAGCAAGCGTCAGAGTCCGGGTTATCAGCATCAAATCTTGTCATGCTACTGGTGCGAATGAGTCCAAGACGGTCAGGCTTAATGGGTTTCTCGATTACAATGCTACCTGATGCTTGTGAAGTAGACTGGCCGGGCCCAGACGTGGACGGATTGGTTTCGGGTACACTTATGCTCACTTCAGTTTCCATGTCAATATGTTTAAACGTCTGAATTACATGGACTGAGATGCGGAAGACGAGGTGATCTTATTTGATGCAGTAAGATTTGAGTCCTTTACGCCAACTACGCCACGTGCGTTGGCATGCGTAGCATCTGCACCGCCCTAACCCTCTTCATCATCATTATTCCCAAATTGAGGAGGGTCAATGAAATCAAGAAGGAGATAAAACATGGCGCCACGCTTTTCCTGGCTCATGTCTCTATCCTTCCACTCCAAAAGCAAGTCAAATGCTTCCTCGTCAGAAAGATCCCTGCAATAAGATTTGAAGGCCGCGTATCGTGCATGGTTCGAATGATAGAGCATGAGGTTATCAAAGACCTGTTCGCGTGTCTTCTTCAAGTTATCGCTTGGGTTTTCCACGACGATGTGGGACGCGTCAGTCTCGGATGCCTTGTCTGGTTGAAGCCTCGTCTTTGGCTCCAAGAATTCTTTGATGGCGTCGCGGTTGTCGCTGCTGTCGAACACCAATGGTCAGTACAAGCTGCAAAAGTATCGGTACTAGCGACTTCAACCTACCTCTCTCGCATGGCAACCTCGTCTCGCGTCATGTCCTGTATGCCGTTCTCGTCTTGCATTGAAACGTCGTTGTCGGGCTGCACGTGTTCACTGGCGCCATCTTGGTTGGACTCGTGTACCTCGTTCTCTGAATCCGCCCTCAGCGTCATGAAGAAAATTATCTTGCGCAACTCCTCCAATTCCTCCTCCGACATGCTGCTGATCTCTGCATCCATGGTGACAGAGAGAGGATTGCTTAGGCACGGACAACTTGGAAGAAGGCGCAAGGAGCCGGTGATGAAGAGTTGACACGTCTGATTCGCAAATGAGGAGTCTGTGGTTGGGAAAACCAGCTGGACGGGTTACAGCTGGACGTTGGATGGTGACTTGGCAGGTACGGGGGGACCCGAGGGATACCGGGATTCTGTAGCGTGCGTGCGTGCGACAACCAAATGAATCTCAAATAAGCTTGAAGAGATACACCCGATGGATGCTGAAGATGAATCTGGACACAAGGGTGAATAAGTAACTGCTTGATTGTTGTGGTTGTGGTTGTGGTTGTGACTGTGGGTGGAATTTTTGAATTGGGGACTTTTGGTTGTGCAAGTACACACTTCACATACAAGGAGAAGGAATATGCTCAAGTGTGGGGTCTTGACTCGAGGAATAGTTTTATTACGCGGCGTACGTGCCAATGTAACAATAAAGACAAAGAGCATAGAAAGATAATAATATTGTATAATGTATATAATTGAGTTTGTATTTAGGTATTATCCCTTTTGACCTTTTTGAAGATTATCCAGTCTCTTCGATTCCTATATTCCTCTAAAGCTTTCTGGGCAAGACCTTCGATGATACGGACTTTATCATCATTACCACGTGCCATGTTGACTGCATGTATAACGTCTGAACCAATGATAATGTCCTCATTATTCAGGACTTTATCTTCCAACGTACGGGCGTCAGGCGCATCTTGATGTTCTGCTCCACTCTCATTTATTCCAAGAACAGCAGCCAGCCGGAACCGCACTGCAATATCCAGAAAACTGTTTTCGGAGACTGCTTCCGCAAGTGCGTAGACCCATTCGTCTTCAGATGTTGATAGGCTGTTGAACTGGCGTGGAAACTTGATTGCCAGAGACACAAGCATAAGACTTTGCCAAGTCTCATGGCACTTAGCCAGCGAATTGTTGAATTTGATGATAACATTATCTTTGGACATTTCCGTCCAACGTGCTTCATTGATCGAGAGTTGACGTAGAACGCACTCTAGTAACGTTCCGTGATTCTGTTCGTTTGCACGCTTGCGTGTCGTATTTAACTCCATTGCTTCGTATGCGCTTGTGTTGCCACCAGATTTTGGCCCATGGATTATAGAAGAGGGACGACGATTTTCGCGGCTGGGAGATTCGTTTAATGTAGGATCCGACTATAACGAACAATGTCAGCCACGCGGATGGAGGGCCAGAGACGGGAGGAGCTGAAAGAAAAGACTGCGCGGATACGCGTGGAAAGAGTAGTAGCAGAACTCACGATTGCTTCTTGTTGCGGTCCAGATGTGTTGTTTCTGGCTTCGGGCTGCGTGATAGTCATGCTTGGGAGTTGATTGAATGTGTGAGATTGATTCTGTGTGCTGCTGAGGTCAATGAAGTGCGAACGCGGGCGCAAGAGTCCACGTCTTTGTACTTTTATCTGCTCAATCGCACGCAATTCGGAAGGAACGGCGGCGCGGATTTTGATTTGTGTTGGTATGTGCAAGTTTACTTTGATCGTCTTGGGTGATGTCAAGAGAAGACGTGGGATCAGGATCCACGCTGCGTGGTCTTGGAGCACGTTATAGTGTTTTTCGAAATGATCGCACATGATCGACTGCCACGCGTTGGCTAATTGCGGCACAGTACCGGCTCTAAAGCCGTAGTCGATTGTTTGTGAAGCCGTCGTGTCAAACACAGCATCTTTATCTCTTTGCTGCCACTCATAATCACGAGCATTGTCGGGCGTCTCGTTGACACCGGTCAAATCGCTCATGATGTCCGGAAAGAGAGTCCACAATCCCAGATCATTCGCTACGACATAACCTTTTGGCACCTCGGAAACGCGAATGTGGTAGGACAACCATAGAATGAGGTCGCGGAGCCCTTCATTGTTTTGCAGAGTTGGCATCGTATTGGAGCTCGTGGTGACCTGAAGGTTCTGGAAAGAATCAACGGCATCGTTTATGCCTTCAGAGGGTTCGCCCGATGATTCCATGTTGGCGGTGATCCTTTGTACAGAGTGTTGCAATGAAATCTTGCGACTGGAACGATGAAAAGTCTTTGTTAGCACCTGGGCATGATCTCAAGAAAATGAAAATGTCCAAGGAAATGGAAAACACCGCACCTGTTCGCGTTGCTACTTGTGCTAGAGACTTAGTGGCAGGCAGTCGAGCTGTGACAAGTCACAGAGAGTGACAAGCGAATGACCCCGCGATTGCCCCGGTGTTGCGTTGCTGTGATGTCGTTGCTGGTCAGATGCGTGGATGCGTGGATGCGCAACGCGCCGCCAAAGGCTCTTCAACAGGCGCTCGTGATGATGAGATTGATTGGAATGAAAGATTTGATGCACAGGTTCCAACCGTTGGGTTGAGGTTGAAGGAAGTTTGATTGTCCCGCGATAGCGCACAAACGCGGTAAATTTGTTGCTGTCCAGGAAGCACACTGCCAACATAAAGAGGGAATGCGCAGAAGTTGGATTATGTGTTCTCGGCAAGGGCGCAAAATATGCCCAAGGTTGTCAGATTTGCAGGAGGCAAAGTGTTTGGGATGCTCAATCACAGACCGCGACCAACTTGGAATGATTGATGCTCGAAATTGGCAGGAGATTCTGGCATCTATTGTTGTTGTTGAAGGGATGTCCCGCGATTGATCTCATCTTTGAGCAGCCGCAACAATCCAATGACAGCTCTGCTGCATTTTGTCTCGACCACGCACGGGTATTTCTCAAGTTGATGCCATCCACGCCCATCCATTACTACGAGGCACCGATTCGACTCCAGGCAAATGACACTTGCCACAATTTACTGTGGCGAAGATTCCCAAAGTCATGCCGCTATTTGTCGCACATGATTCTACGTCTTCCCTCCTCACCGTTTGCATATCTCTGGTCCGCCCTACTTGACGCCATTCGGCTGTTCTACAACAATACAGATTGCAAGTTGAATGTTGTTGCGTACTTGCCATTCTCCCATTGTTAAGATTGTCGTCAAGACACATCGCTGCAATTTCACGGCATCCTTTCAACACCGCAGTTCCCTTACATTCCCGATTTGACCACTGATGATTAATTTCATCGACATTGAGCATCTTTCTTTCTTTGTTTCTCGGACGCCTCATCACGCGTGCTTCCCTGGAATCTTTGCGCACCTTACGTACGCAACGTCTACTCTCCAGTCCCGATCTCTTCTTTCTGCGCATTACTTCCGCGACTTTCGAAGAGGTACAATCGTCACTTGACTACCTTCCCTAACACAAACACTCTTACTTCAACTCAACTTCTCGAAGGCAGCTATCTTCCAAAAGCCTGTTAAGGCAATTACCGGTTCTTCCAATCGCCTCCGTTTCTGGTGAGTTCAGATTCCTTTCTTGTATGCCTTGATATTTTCATTCATCACCATATTACATGCCACTTGGAACAACGCATCTCACAAGAAAACAAGGTGTCAAGAGATTTCCATACCTTGCCCATCACTCCTTGCCAAACTTTCAATCACAATTTACCAAGTGAGTCTCCCTTGAGATTTGTGCCTGCCATTACCGCTCCATTAACAACCAATATCAACTCTATCATCCTCCCCACGCCTCCTGTCCATCACATCACTGCATACTAACATCCAAATCAGCCTTTCTAAAAAAGCATCAAGTCTTTTATGATCGCGTAACCAAACATCATCATGGGCGACTCCAGCAACCACATGGAGTGGTTGCGTGAACGCTTCTTCCAACAGCTTCACCTTTACCCCTCAAATGACGGGCGATACAGCCGATTCAAATCCATTTGCGCCGACCTATCCATTTATGAGCGGAATCTTTTGCTCGAGGAGTGGGGAGCAAGACTGTCCGACCAGCAGAACCAATCAGATTCCGATCATTCTAGATGGGCTCACGTGAATGATCTCGGCTGGTATCAGATCTTTGATGATGAGGGTGATGAGGACTTTAGTCGTTTCAAGCGTGATGAAGAAGAAGAAGAAGAAGAAGAAGATTTCAGCCACCCTGAAGCGGATTCCGACATGCCAGAGGTTGATACCGAGAATGGAGCCAACTTGACATCGGTGTCTGAACCCATGTAAGTCGGACGTCTGGATACAGCAATTTGGAAAACTGACACGAGCAACAGTGTGCCTGGAGATACTGCTCAAGATGAGTCCAAAACGTTAACTGAAGCTGGAGCGGGCAACAACTCGGAACATCAGCGTCAGAGTCCCGGATTACCTGTTGAACTAACACGGCCCACTCGAAGCGACTCCCAGCGAGCTAAAGGATCTTCCTAAAGACTCGTTGTCTTTTTTACACATCGCGACTTGGAGAACTTGACTCGACAGTTGCTCATCGATTTGGACGGCATATTAGACAAAAGTATCGGCTCCAAGATCTCATCAACTCTTCCACTGCGACACAATATGGACAACGCCAACGCAGATAAAAAAAAAAGCACGTGAATCAGACGTCTGGCTGGATGTTTGAGGCCAACACAGTCAAGTGTCCTCTGTTTCAACAGCAAAACCAGTCGAAGACGTTAGGTGAAGCTCGCTGCTTTTCTTACTAGGGAGATCTCGAGATAATTAATACGAGTATCATTGTGACTGCACAGGCGTTCCAGGCGTGAAGTGAAAGATGCCGTGTGAAAATATGCTGATTTGACTTAGGTGCTATAATGCCATTATGCCTGGATGATCTCGATTGATTGACCAAATGTATTGATATTGCACTAACGTCTATATTAAATAGCTCTTCAGCACCTCTTTTTTATACAACGTAAATGGAGTCAAACATCTTCAATGCTTTCTCGATTGCATCTTTTCCATCATATGAACTCATTAACTAATCCCCGGCCACCGACTTCCAATCTCCAGAATTCCAAGTCCTGAACTCATGCCTGTAATTGTCAATTGCATCACATTTCCTCGCCAAAGCTATTGACGCAAACACGTTATCTCTTCTTCTTGTCTTTACGCTCGGACAATCCTTGCGCGGAAACTCGTCATTTGTCGCTAGGTCATCGCACCCCCCCACCTTCCAACTTTCTCTTTTCCTCTTCCCATCATCATTGCAAAGTCTGCAACCTAAATCATTGGCCATTAATTATTCCATTGAGTTTAATTAAGGCTTCTTTTTTTCTGTGGTGAGTTTATCCTCTTCAATTAAAATTGCACTCTTTAATTACTCCGACGTTTACGCAGCGGCTCTTCAAGCCTTCCAGCCATTTGTTTTTGGCTCGTGAGTGGGCCGGACGGCGTGATTGCAGATATTTTCGACACTTCTTTAAGTCAAAGTCAACCTGCCGCCAACGGCCAGTCACAGCTATAAGAACTAGCCGGTCGACTTCGCGTTTCTGCGCTGTTACACTTAGGTTGAGGCAATTGTCAATTAGTAAGCAATAATCCCCCTTCACCGGTCGGCTCCTTTTTTTACTGCATTTTTCCATTTAGCAGTGCTTTCAGGTTCTTGGTATTTATCACAACGTCTAATTCCTCCTGTCTTTAAGCGTTAACAAGCGCTATACTCGCCTCATCCTACTCGCCGGTTGCCGCAGCTCGAGACCATGGCAGACAACGACCTCCAAAAAGAATCTCAGAGTAATCATTCAGCCGACAAGCATTCGTACCATACCGATCTGTTGGGCAACACGGCCATGTTTAAGCAGAATTTGGTCCCTAGACTGGCGCATGATACAGAGTCACAGTCTCCTGATCTCTCAGCCAATCAGAAGCCCGAGCATCTCCCCAATGTACCTGGCCAGCACGACACCTATGCTGCACCTGATGAGATGATGGGCAGAGACAAGCTGAGCAGACTTGTGCATTCAACAGACCAGGCTGAGGGAAACCTTCGCGAGCCTAGTGCTCCGGGAATCAATAGCTACTCCGAGGAAACACCTCCGGCTCAATCTGACCTTGATCAGCCTCAGCAAAAGGACATGATGAATTCTTCTACGCCTGGCCACGTCGGACCCGACGTCACGCAGACTGTGCGAACTCCCTCACGCGATTCATTCCAGAAGACCCGCCAGGACCAGAAGTCGTCCGAAGCGCACGTAGCACGCAAGAGACAAATTGAGGAGTTGGACAGTATCATCTCGTCAAGTCGCAAGAAGTTCAAGGACGCCAAGGACAGCGCCATGCAACGCCTTGAGGACGAGTTGAATTTGGTCACGGGGTCATGTAAAGACGATGAGTGCTACAATCGAATGCTTCAGTCGGACCAGCCAGCTCAGCAGCAATTGGCCAACGATTTCAGAGATTCATTTATAATGCTCGATGACGTTAAAGCTGGACTCATGGTGATGCGTGAAGCCCGGGGGGGCCACGGCCAGCCACTCACGTGGCTAGTTCGTGCCCCACCCAGCTTGCAGTCAAGCCACACATAAGTAATTGTTGATCAAGGTGGTGCTTTCCTATTGGAGTTTAAACTGGTCTGATATGGGTGTCAATTGTGTAATCTATTAATCTATATTCTGCGCCTCTTAGTTTTAATGAGGTGTACGCTTATTTGGGTGGCCCCGGCTAATCCCCGGGAGGTCCCGTACATCTATCTGGACACCATGGTATTGATCCGTGTGCTCAAGCACACCCCAGTGTATGGGAACCATAATCCACCATCTGACACACCCCCTTAAATCTACGGTCTATCGTGGATCTGGCCATACTTAAATCAGAGTTGCTAATTAGCAAGATATGGCTTTTTTTGGGGTTATTCGTCTTAATCACGATAGGCAACTTTAAATCCCATCTATTGCAGAAAGTTCTGCCATTTGCTAATTGGCAAGCTTTTCGTTAATCCATCTGCTATTATCTTATTTAAGGGTCTATAAATAACTTTAATCCTTCCTCTCTAGGCTTCTTATCGTAGCCAATAGTTATAGATATCTATATAACGGAGCTTTATTTTCAATAACGCGATCTCGGCGTTAATTAAATTAATAATCTACTTATTATTATATTTAATAATAATAGTGCTATTATCTAATTATATCAATAATTCCTTTAATAATCGATTAACGAATAGTGTCTTTTTAGCAGCTTATGCTAATACAAATAACTTAGCTTCTATGGTGGAAGTAGTAACTATATCTTATTTATTTAATCGCCAATTAATTAGTTTTCCGAATAGCTTTATAACGAATATTTGGGTACTTTTGCGATCGATGCTATTATCGGCAAATAATGCGTTACTAGCAACTACCAAATCAAAGGATCCTCCGATTTTAAATAAAAATTCCTTAATATTAATTAAGTAGATCAAAGCTCGATTAGCAGCATTTTAATAGGCTTAATTTAGGTTATTAAGGAAACGGGCCAATCTAGCTGTTGCAAATGCGATATCTAATTTCGTAAATATAGCCGCGAATAACAGTAATCCGATCTTTTTCTAATATTTCTATATTTCGTATGGGAGCGCTATAATTAATCGAAGCATAAGTTTTTCGTAGCTTATTAGCGTTGCATAAATTTTTTTTTTATTTGCTAATTTAGCGATTTTTTTAAAATAAGCCCTTTAGGACAGCCAGATTATTCTAGATACACGATTTCTAATCACTTCTATCCCAAGGAACCACTATATTGGCTCGCCACTACTAATCTTATACTTCTCTATAAGGTGCTATATCAACTAATTAATAGCCTTTTTATCTTTATTCTTATATGCGATAATTACGTCGTTAACATAAAAAAAAACTAGCACTCCCTTTTTAATAAATGCGCAAAACTTATATAATATCTAGGTATAGCCGATTTCGGCCAGAGTTTTTATAAATTCTTTTTATTATAACAGCGGTAATATCCGTAATTTATAAAGTGCTTTATTTAATAATAATATAGTGTTTTTTTTTCGGTATTTATCCGGTATTTTTATAAATATATCTTGATTAATAGGAGCGTATATAAACGCGTTTATTACGTCGTATTGGATTAGTTTAAAATCGAATTTTGCTACGATCGCGATTAAGGTACAAAATAATTTTTTAGCCAGTATAGCCGCGTAAGTTTCCTGGTTTTAGGACTTCGCTTATTGATTACCGCGAACGACGAGTCTTATTTTGCATTTTTAAAATCTCCCGTACTTATCGAATTTATATACATATACCTATATATAATTAAAAATCTATTTGCCTTTTATTCGTAAATCCTTCCTATTAATCTCGGTCCAAAATCGCATATTTTTATAACTCTATAAATAATTAGCTTTTACTTAAAAAAATAATTTGCTAAACGGATAATAATACAACTTATAATACCATTTAGGGAGAGCTGGAATTTCCGCTTTATGAATTTTCACCCTTTAACGAAAAGAGCGTTCTAGCTTCGCCTTATCGTTTTAATTATTGCCTTATCCTACTTTAGGAACGGCTTTATAACCAATTAAGAAAGCTGTTTGCTATAGGATTATTTTAGGTCCTTTTTCTAATAGCGCCGTATCCTTAATCGTAATCGCCTTTATACTATATATTAATAGGGCTAATAAAGGTGTTTATAATAAAGTCTAAAAGGCAAATTTCGCAGTAGTAAAAAAATATTATTTATCTTTTTTATTTAGCGCTGCTTCCTTACTTTTTTAGTTATTATTTTCCTTTTAATCGTTTTAATTATCGCCTAGCAAAATATTTTTTACGGCGGTATTTTTATTTTTTAGTTTTTATAAGATCTCCTCCTTAAATATTGCGTAGTTAGTTACGAAATCGGCGATAAGCTAGGTATTAATACTTAAGAGCTCGTTTTTAAATATGTCCTATTTTCCGTCGTATAGTTTTTTTTCGTTTATAATTATATTTTTTGTATTAATTAATTTATTCTAATTAGGAATTTAGATTTTATAGATATTAGATGATTTATATCTAATTAGGTATCCCACTTATGCCTTAGGTGCTAATCGCTATAAACGGCCGAATTTTTATTATACCGTTAGCGTTATTGCGTACGCTTTATATCCGAATGCTTTAAAATAGGTTTAGTTAGGCTTATAATTTGGATTTAGGACTTTTTTTGCTTTTGTAACTGCTTTATAAAATTTTATATATAGTATACGCTATCGGGAACTATAATTCGGCGTGCGATTATATAAGTATACCGCGGTTTTACCGATTTTAGGCTAGAATTGGTAAGGGAGTTTTGCGCTAATACGCATTATACGTTTTTTCTCTTTAATTATACTTTTTGAGCGTTTAGCAGCTCCGTTTTAGGCTTATATATATAATACTAAAGGCTCGAATTTAATATATTTATTTTTAAAGTATCTTCCGATTACTTATTTAATATTTATAATTTCGTTATCGTATTCGATAATTTTAACTTTAATATTATATTGGGTTTTTATTATGCCTAGGAACGATCGGAAAGCGTTAATTAATATAATAATAGTTTTTTCCGTAAAATAATAATCTTATATATATCCCGTTTGCCGATAAGTAATTAGCATTTAGGACGTATAGTCCTTAATTCCTTTAATGTAATTATAGAAGTTAATAGCTAATCGCTTATTATAATTTTTATTAATTAGTCGCGGCGCTCGCCGTGGTTAGCGCGTGATTTTTGCAAATACGCAGGCTTTATATTTTATTATAATTAGTCCTTTAATTTTTACCCCCTAAAATAAATAAATAAGGTATTCGAGAGCTGCCGGGCCTGGATATCCCATTTTATAGTATTATCGTATAGCTTTTCTAATTAATAATAGCCTTTTTATCTATATTATATATTTTTTCTGATAAATAGCAAATAACGCCAAAGGTAATTCGTAAGGTTTATATTCGAAAACATATTATCCGTATCGGTTTTAGAGTATGCTGATTAAAAATCTATTTTTTCGGCGTAGCGTTATAAGGTCGTTTTTATTATCCTAATAATATCCTTGTCCTTATAATTAACGGAGTGATATTAGTATGGTTAGCAACCTGGGATAATAGGCTATATTATTTAATAATAATATTCTAGATCCGAGCTGCATAATTATTATACCGTACCTATAAATAGGTAATTTCCGGTCGCCTAATTAAATAAAATCGTAATTAAGAGCTTGCCTATAATTAATAAGCTTTGCTTTTATATTTATAATTAAAATCGTTATCGCTAAATTTAAGATAACTAAATAGCGCAAAAGGTAATCTTCCGCGGATGCTACAAAACTGCTTTATACGTCTGCCACCAATCGTCCGTTCCGTTAATCTATATTAATCGAAAGCGATTTTTTTTTAGTTATTTATAGTGTGCTGGTTCGGCTAGTTTTAATTTTTTTTATACTGCGAACCTGCTTTTATAAATTAAAGTTTTTTTTAAGGGCCTTATTTATTTATATTTGCATTTTATCTTTAGGGACGAAACCTGGATAGGCTTTCTCTAGGAATACGTAAAAATACAAATTAAAAGTATAAAAAAAATAGCAAGCAGGGCATCCAGTATCCTTTTGCCTTTTATTATAGATAGTTCGTCCACCCCTTTTTTTACGTAAACCAGCCGCATTTAATTAAGGAGGCATTTAATCTTTAACAGGGTAAGCGTTTTTATTTTATCCGTTTTAGGGTTATTTATTAGCTTTACTAACGTAAATTACAAAAGCGCCTTTCCTAATTTTTAGCCTAATCGGCTATTAAATGCTTAAGCCTTTACGGAAGTCATTATTTATTACCCGATATTCCAAATTCCTATCTAAAATGCTTTATTTTTTATAAATTTAATAAAAGGCGGCCTATTATAGCATAATTAAGGTAACTACATTTAAAAAATCTATAGCCTAAGCCGAATTATCCTATACTTTAATTATTTGCTTTACCTAGGCTTTCGCTATAACCATCTCTTATTTATTAACCTAATTAGCAGCTTTTTTTAATATTCTCGGAGGCTTGAGAGCTTTTAAATATTATTTCTTTGCTTTTTTTTTATCATTTATAGCTAATTTGCCATAGCGAGCCCTTAAATTTTCGTATTATTTATATAAAGGCTCGTTAATTAAATAATACGTGGAGAAGAAATCTAAAAAAATCGTTATAATCATCCATTTCGTAATCTCCTTAATCGCCGTATATTATTTAGCGTATATAGCCTCTTTTATTTTATAATAATTATAATCGAGGTTAAACAACTTTTAACCTCCTTTAATAAAATCCGTAATCGTTTATTCCCCGTCTTTTTTATCTTATATAATCGGATCGTCGCCTACATCTGCAGCTTCGAGGGTAGCAGCCGCGGTTTTTATATATTTAGTTTTTTTGATATCCGGTTCGACTGGAGTTCTAATTAGAGTCGTTTTATTTTTAAGGTAATTAGTTAATCCGGTAATCTATGCCTAAATCCAAAACATATATTCCTAATTAATCCAATCGGAAATTATCTTCAACAATACCGTCAAGCCGATTCCGGCTTCTTTCGTAGTTATCAT